CTTGTCCGTCGCTGGAAAAATTGAATTTTGTGTAGCTATGAATTAGTTATTTGAATTAGTCATTTGAATTAGTTTCTGAATTAGTTAGTTTCATTTGGTTGTGATTTTGCATGCTTTGAGTAGAGGAATGGATGAATCTTATGATCGTTCTCTGTGGTGGGTTGCAGGGTATTTGTCGGATTGGTGTTTGGTTGGAAGGGTACGGACGTGATTCTGTCTATGGAGTATCTCTGATGCGACCGTCCTAATCCGATACTCCAAGTGAGTTTGATCTTCGTTTTGTTTGATCTATTTAAGTAACAGAAGAACCAATAGCTTTAGAATCTTTATAGGCATTGAGTCAATCCCGCAGCCAAATCTCGACGTTCTTCTTGTTCTTTGGTTTGGTTTCAAGAGTTGGTGATTAGACTTCTTGGAGACTAAGAGATTCGTTTTTGAATTTGAGATATAAGATGATATATTATCAGAGGAAGCTAAGTACTTACATGTGAGATTAACACATGTTTTGGTAAATATTTGATTAGATAATTTTATATCTCTCGCAGCAATCCATGTAAAATAGTTCGCAGTTTATAACATCTCTGTGTTATTGTCTTTCATGCACACCACATGTTCGATGAAATTACTAAACGATTTAATCGTTATCCAAATCCTCACTTGTTTTCTTAAATGTTGCAGGAATCAGGGAAAGTAATCATTTTTGGCTTAATTCTGATTTGGGTTCTTCTTACTTATAGTCCTCTCACTAGTCAACATGCTTCTGGTTTCGCCTGCTTGTAGAGGTGTTTATCTTCAGACCATAGATCCAAATCCAGTTGATTTTTCAGCCAGAGGCTCTTATGCAAGTTGCTTTCAGGTTACCATTTCATCTCCTGTAACTTTGATCTTATTGATTCCAGTCTTAAAGTTGTAAAGTTTGGATTTTTCTTATATATGCAGATTCCTCCTTCAGTATCTCAAAGGGAGTGTTTGATGAGGTTAGGAACGGTCTTTTGTTTTAATCAGAAGCATAGAGAGCAGACAAGTTTCAAGAAACGGCATGTATCTACGCAGAATGTAGATCTTCCTCCTATTTTACCAAAGAACAAGAAGAAACCTTATCCGATTCCTTTTAAGCAAATTCAAGAAGAGGCTAGGAAAGATAAGAAGCTTGCTCAGATGGGTATAGAGAAACAGTTAGACCCTCCCAAAAATGGGTTGCTAGTTCCAAATCTTATTCCTGTGGCGTATCAAGTGATAGATAACTGGAAGTTGTTGATCAAGGGTTTAGCACAGCTTCTCCATGTTGTTCCCGTCTTTGCTTGCAGTGAATGTGGGGCGGTTCATGTGTCCAATGCTGGTCACAATATTAGGGATTGCAATGGTCCAACAAATTCACAGCGACGTGGTTCTCATTCATGGGTTAAGGGTACCATCAATGATGTTCTCATTCCTGTTGAGTCGTACCACATGTATCACCCTTTTGGGCGGCGGATTAAGCACGAAACACGGTTTGACTACGAAAGAATCCCAGCACTTGTTGAGCTATGTATTCAGGCTGGAGTTGAGATCCCTGAGTATCCTTGTCGCAGAAGGACACAGCCAATCCGAATGATGGGGAAGAGAGTGATCGATCGAGGTGGATATCTTAGAGAGCCTGATAAGCCTCAGACATCATCAATATCATCTCCACTAGCCGAGCTTGACACGCTTGGTGCTTGTGAAAGGTATCCGCCTCCCACACCAGAGGACATACCTAAGATAGCACAAGAAACAATGGATGCTTACGAAAAAGTGAGATTGGGGGTGACGAAATTGATGAGGAAATTCACGGTGAAAGCATGCGGATATTGTTCTGAAGTGCATGTAGGACCATGGGGACATAGTGTGAAGCTGTGCGGGGAGTTCAAACACCAATGGAGAGACGGGAAGCACGGATGGCAAGATGCTCTTGTGGACGAAGTCTTTCCTCCAAACTATGTATGGCATGTGAGAGACCTTAAGGGAAATCCGCTTACCGGAAATCTGAGGAGGTTTTATGGTAAAGCCCCTGCTTTGGTTGAGATTTGTATGCACAGTGGAGCTCGGGTTCCTCAACGCTACAAGGCCATGATGAGGCTTGACATCATTGTTCCTGATTCACAGGAAGCTGACATGGTCGCGTAGGTCCTTGGACATGTTCATAGTAGAACTCCATTGTTAGGATAGAAAAGCTTCAAAATATGGTTGATAATAAAATGAGCTGGCTAGCTAGGATCCTTCCTCATAGGATACGTTAGAAATCTTGTCATATAGTGTATTTTACAATTTGGGTGTAAAATATTTTAGAATCCTGTGTAGAAATTAGATTAGTTGACTATAAATATTTGTTTGATTCTCTGTTCTCGGCATCTCACCAGTCATTTGTTATTATAATCGAGACGACCTCAGTGGTATTTGTTTAATTTATTTCTTTGTTTTGAAAGATTTTAAAGATGTTTTGATCCAACGATTAGTTGTTGAAAAACCAAATGATGGAAAAGGATTTCTCGTTGGTGCGGAAGGAGGAGGAGGAAGAAGATAGGGCGAGTTATTTGTCAGTGGAGATGATGAAGAAGGTGAGCTCCATGGCAGCTCCAATGGTGGCAGTTTCGGTTTCTCAGTTCCTCCTTCAAGTCATCTCCATGGTTATGGCTGGTCATTTGGACGAGCTCTCACTCTCAGCTGTCGCAATCGCCACTTCCCTCACTAATGTCACTGGTTTCAGCCTCATCGTTGGGTTTGCAGGTGCGTTAGAGACTCTGTGTGGTCAAGCTTTTGGAGCAGAACAATTTGGAAAAATTGGGGCATACAGGTACAGCTCAATGCTTTGTCTTCTCGTCTTCTGTTTTCCAGTTTCTCTTGTATGGATCTTCATGGACAAAATCTTGGAGCTCTTCCATCAAGATCCTCTAATCTCTCAGTTAGCTTGCAGATACTCAATCTGGCTCATACCGGCTTTATTCGGATTCGCTCTTCTTCAACCTATGACTCGCTATTTCCAGTCACAAGGATTAATTCTTCCTCTCTTCGTGAGCTCTCTTGGAGCTCTCTGTTTTCACATTCCTTTCTGTTGGCTTCTTGTCTATAAACTGAGATTTGGAATCGTTGGCGCCGCTTTGTCCATCGGTTTTTCATATTGGCTCAACGTGTTTTTGCTTTGGATTTTCATGAGTAACTCTGCTTTGCATCGTGAAATGAAAAACCTTGGTTTGCAAGAACTCATCTCGAGCATGAAACAGTTCATCGCCCTCGCTATCCCCTCTGCAATGATGATATGGTAATTTATACATCTACATCCAAGAAAAACAAATCTCAGCAACATTTAGAGCATTTAGAGCTACTTGCTCTGTTCTGATCTAAAATGGATCCTAACTTTTTTTTATGTTCTTTTTTTTTTGCAAGTAAAGCCTGGAATGGTGGTCGTTTGAGATTCTACTACTAATGTCTGGACTCTTACCAAACTCAAAGCTCGAAACATCGGTGATATCCATTTGGTACATACATATCATTTTGTACAAAATTTTAAACAGTCAGCAAGCTTGTGATCTTTCAAACTTTATTCATTGAGCAGCCTCACAACATCGGCTTTGCATTTCGTTCTGGTGAATGCGATAGGAGCATCCGCAAGGTTTTACAGATTTCAATTGTTCACAAGGATCTGATTTTTTTCATGTAAAATAATATCTCTAACCCCTTTTTATCTTGTTTAACACTATAGCACATATGTTTCAAACGAGCTAGGAGCTGGAAATCACAGGGCAGCTCGAGCGGCGGTTAATTCGGCTATTTTCCTGGGTGGTGTTGATGCAACAATAGCAAGCATCACACTTTACAGTTACCGAAATAGTTGGGGTTATATATTCAGCAACGAGAAAGAAGTGGCTCACTACGCAACCCAAATCACACCCATTCTCTGCCTATCCATTTTCGTTAACAGCTTTCTTGCCGTGCTATCAGGTAAAGACGATTATACTTTGCTACTTGAAGCCCAAGAAAAGTATATTCAACTCTAGAATTCTTTCATTACTCAGGGGTTGCCAGAGGAACAGGCTGGCAACGTATAGGAGGTTATGCAAGCTTAGGATCATATTATCTTGTCGGAATCCCGTTAGGTTGGATCTTGTGTTTTGTCATGAAAATGAGAGGGAAAGGACTTTGGATTGGTATACTCATAGCCTCCACTATCCAACTAAGTGTTTTTACCATTGTCACCTTCTTCACCAATTGGGAACAAGAGGTATATAAATTACTAATCTTCTTTACTTCTTTTTATGGTTACAGTTTTGAATCTGGTTTTGGTTTGAGTTTCAGGCAACGAGAGCCAGAGACAGAGTATTCGAGATGACACCACAAGTCAAAGGCAACCAAAAGACGCAAATTATATTGGAAGAGGATACACAAGTTTTACTTGATCATATTACAGAAACTGTTTAAAAGTGTAAAACCACTTAATGCAACTCTATTGGTCTACTTCGTTTTAGCCTTCTATTTACTAATTTTGGATGCTTTACATTTGCATGATGTGCGATTTTAAATGATGCGTCTTGAGAATATGGATTCTTGGTTTTTAGTTTGTCAACAAACTACCCATTTCACTTAATAAGAATTTGGAGTCCAATTTCATGCACATAAACTAAGAGAAGTGACCAAAAACCTTTTGCCCAAATATTCATTCTTGTGCGAAGTTATGAATTCCTTAAATAATATAGAAACTTTGAAAGTTTGGATGTAATTGTTTCAAAAAACATCCACAAAAAACTATCATAAGTTGGAACGACATAGAGATGATCAATATGGTAGTCTAAATCTTTCCTTTGAAAAAACTATCATATTTTTACTATTTTTATTAGATTTTTTTTCGAAATTTCTAACAAATAACTCTATCTCTATATGAATTGTAAAGTAGTAAATCTTCAACATCTATGCATGAATATATGTGTTTGTAAACGTTAAATAAAAATGATAATGCAAACATAGTCGCTACACGCTAACACTAGTATAAGGTAACCACCCATATATTTTAGACCAATTTTAAAGAAATGTAACATGTACTTCAGGAGAAAAATAAACAATTCTTAAGAAAGAAAATGGATAGTATAATTGTAAGAAGGTTTAGTGAGCTACATTTGGGCACAATCAGTCCTCTTAAACGACACAGTTTCAGAAACTGTGTCGTATCCAACAAGGAAGTTCATTTGCGCCAAGTTCCCATAGATTGTTAGCTGTTCATTTTCAGCAAATGCAAAGCAAGACACATCTTCAGACACTTCCACAAACGTATTCACTTTGTGGAGTTTCACATCACCTCCTTTGAAATGAACAGTTATGTCTGGAACTTTAAAACTAGAGGTGTCTCTATAACAAAGACTCAGAACTCTATTAGGATCTTGCAATCGCTCTACTTTGATTGTAGAAGCAACTGCAGATTCCAGCTTAGAATAAAACTTGGATGGCAATAGAGTTAGAGTGGTACCCGAGTCGATAACGATGTTTCCTTCTTTGGTTCCAAAGATTGTGCCCGCGAAATGAATTTTCTTGCTTCCCACGCTAATGGCTTCTAGGGTTAGGAAATAGAACGTGGAGGGATCTTTCTTGACTAAAGGGGTTGACACAACTCCATCTCCCGAGACAAAGCCGTTTGTTCCAAAGTTGATCTTGCTTGTTAGTCTGGTTTCAGATGTTAAAGGCACTAAACAATAGGAGAATTTACCGTTGATGGATTTCCCGAGTTGTGAGACTAACGATGTAGATCCTCCTCCGAGTCCGATGATCCCTGAGCCAGCCGCGTCAAAGATTCCAGTGTTGTCGTGTCCGCACCCAATGATCACGTTTCTAAGCGACACAGGGCGAAGACGGCTAGATCCAATCGTCAGGGTGTCAGCGGCAACGTCACCTTTGGTGTATGAATTGTCACCGTATGAAATCGTATAGGAACAAAGAGTGGAGCTTTCTGTTTGTAACAATCTTTGCAAGGATTGCACTGAGTCCAAATCAAGTCGCTGCCCGTATCCGCAATTGCTAGTATCGGGAACGGGGGAGTCCCAATCGATATGTTCATGAGATACTCACCGCGGTTTGAAGTGATAACTGATTGTGGTGAGTTTGGTGAAGCATCATCATTGCTGAATTGGAGTGTACTGCGAGCAGAACGGCGGACAACATTTCTCATACGTTGTGAAGAGGTCTCATCGGGATTGTAGAACGGTGATTTGGGAGAATCGCGGTGGATCAGCTCAAGGGTGAATCCATGTTTCGGATAGGCGTTCACGTTTGAGAGTAACAAAAGGGACAAGAGAGTTGCAGAAATGAGAGAAGCCATTTTGAGAATCCTTTAAAAGACATAACTAAAGCTATTTGAATAACCATATTGTTGACTACATCAATGAGTTGACTTATTTGTAATGTTTTATGATTTGAGGTAATTATTAAATGCTAAACGTAGTTATGGTAATAAATGCAACAAATTAAGGATGTAATGTTCTTTGAATATTGAATATTTTTTTTCATTAAGAGAACCTGTGAATATAAAAAATGTATACTTGTCTATTGTATAACTGTGATTTTTTTTATTTTTTTTGTCATCTGAAATTAATTAGAGCTCAAAAGAGCCAGTTGTTTACAAATGTGATATGAAGCGGTTCTGTACGAATTTTTCGTGCCAGATGATCCGCTTTTACATTAGCATTACGAGAAATTAAAGATAAAGAGAAGGATGAGAATTCTTCCTTGTCGCTCTGAAATTCCTCCAAGTACACTGAAAACGCCGGCCATTCGGTTGAAGAAGACACCATGTTAACCAGATCAGAACAGACTGTGATGGAACATTAATATTTTAAAATGAGTATAAAATCTAACCATCATTCAAAAAATTTATATAAAAAGTATATGGTCAAAATCCAACATGATAATAATGATAAAAGTTAATATTGATACTTTATCCTATAACATTTTAAAATAATGTGTACCTCTTTAGTAGGTTTAAAAAATTGGTCTAGGTGGACGCTTTTGAACTTCTAGATGTCTCTATTTTTGTAAATTTAGTAAATCAAATTGGCGTTCAAAAATCAGTAATCGATCAATCAAATCTGCCTATTTGATATCGTTTTAAATAAGTAAAAAATTAAGACAAAATAAAATAAAAAAAATACTTGATTACTAAAACATTTAATTAGTCTAAATGTTTTAGTTATGGGACTAAGTTATTTTAGTTTCATGTACTCTAGGTGTGAATATATATAACAAATTGGAATATGTAACGTTTTAACATTCAGCTCCTATTAAAAGCCTAACTACTGCGTAATAATTTTTTGAACTTAACTTCAAAATAAACTACTAAAAAGTTTTTAAATCGTTAACAAAAATAAATAATGCGCCAAAATAACTTATTAACAAATATAAATAACACACTAAAATAACTTACCACCAAAATTTTAAATTGACTAAATAAAAAAATATAATAGCCTCGAATTTATAAATTTTAAATTATTATCTAAAAACATAGGATTAATTTTCAGTTTTACTTTAAATATAAAGGTAAATGGTGTAAACTACTGCCTTTCAAAATATCTTTTATCCCAACTAGGTTCACTTTTGATACTATGAACAATTATAACTTTTTTACATCCAAATCAACCACAATTTAAAAATGGTTCGGTCGATATTCATTATGTTTGATCACACGAACCATGGAGATTTACTTTCTTCGTCTTTTCCTTTTGCTTGTTTTCAAAAGTCACATGAAATACATGACTCAACTTCTTTGCAGCATTATGGTAAATATGTCAAACACATAACCTATGTTTTGTTTCAGGGAAAACCTTCACTATTGCATTCGCTATTGCTGCAGATTGGTCAATAAGAATAGTTTTTGGTTGTTTTCCAAACATTGCTCCAAGAAAAGTCTCGAAAAGCCACTTATATGACTTAGTGGTTTCATCATATAAGAGAGCAACACCAAACACTACAGTTTGCTTATGATGATTGACCCCGACAAATGGAGCAAATGGTCTATCATATTCATTGGTCTTGTAAATTGTGTCAAAGCAGATGACATCTCCAAAAAAATTATAATCACTTATAGACCGATCATCTGCCCAGAAGATATTCGTGATCATATCGTCTTCATCAAGTTGCATTGAATTAAAAAAAGATGAATTATCCTCTTTCTTTTTTTTGAAAGTATTCCAAAACTGCTCCAGCATCTCCCTTTACCATTTTTTCCATTCGCTTTCGATAAATATAATTACGATAGTCTTTCTCTAAAAACACCAGATTTTCTCGCCCTCCAACTTCTCTACTCATCATTTCAACAGTTGATTTTGCTAAAATTCCTGACATCTCGGCATCATCAGCATGTTGTATTTGAGCAACAGAGAACGCCCGGTTTCATTTCAACAAATGCTTCATAGGCGTCTTTACTAAATTATGGTTATGATTCTGGTTGAAAGACACAAACTTATATCTTCCCGTCCTCTAAAGGTAGCAAGTCATATGAGCTTTACAACCACACCGTGTAATTGGCTATGAATAACATGTCTTGATCTTAGGTTCCTTCTTAAACCCTTCTTTTCAGCAAACATAGAGAAGCCTTGCTACTTTATCATTTTTTTTTTCTTTCTTTGTTGTTTCCTTACATTGAAACCATGTTCGCCTGCAAATTTTTTATAAGCTTTATGTGCAATTTCATCAGAACTAAACTCCATTCCAATACACAGTTCATCTTTCTTCTCTTCAGTTTTAAAGTAGTCCTCTTTGTTGACTATATCATCTTTTTCTTCTTCGAATTCACTGACTGAAGCTTCGCCTTCGCTTACTGAATCATATTTTTTCTTATCACTACTTTCCATTCTAATCTGCACTAATCGATATAATATTATTATATGTATTTCTATTATGTTATATAAATCTTGCCAATAAAACAAAAAAATAGCACGGTATGATCTTACGACCAAAAAAAAATTATGAGGAAGAAGAACAATTCTTTTTGTGGTGCAACAAGAAAAAACTTTGACAATTGAAAACTAAGTTAACAAAAAATAGAATACAAATTAAACCATACCAAACAAAAAAAATAATTCACGTTCTAACATGGTTAGAAAACATAAACAACGTCCTACTTATATGATATTGAATACATGAACCTAGTAGATAGAAAATCTTCAATTGACTAATTTTCAAATTAAGAAACTTTGATGTAAATATAAAAATTATTTTGACTTACGTTTAAATTGTGTAGAAACGTGAAACTCTTTCTTTTGCTAAAACTATTCTCTTTTGGTGATATGTGAGAAGAAGAATAGCAAAAAGTTATGAATAAGGTTAGGGTTAATGACCATATATAACACTAGATGAATACCCACGCTACGCGTGGGTTTGTTTTAAAAGTTGTTAATAACAAAATATTTTGATTATTCTTGTTGCTAGTTAATCACCCGCTTTACGCCGCGATTTTTTCCGGTTTTTTTTATTTTGATTTATTTGATGTTATATTTTGATAAATGTAATTTTTAATTATCTAATCATTTACTCATACAATGAACAACTACTCTTAGTATTAAAATACATTTTCAACCAACATACTCAACAATGCATCACTCACACAATCCGTAAACAATCTTTCCTAAACCAATTTTATAGATGGTAATGTTGGGATTATAGAACCTCCAAAATGTGATGACCTTACGTACTCTTCACCCTCAATGTCATATATAGATAAAAAAATTAAGAGAAAAACTTACTCAAACCATTAGCTAATCCACTATACTATTATTCACTCATATTTTGAGTTAAGATTACAAAAATTAGCGAAAAAAAATTTGGAGTATATAAAACCAATAAACATGGAAAAAAAACATAAAATAACAAAATAAGTTAGTATTAGTAAAAATGAATATGTAAAATTAAATAATATATATAATTAAATAATAAATATATTATTAACTTGTGAAATAGATTTTCAAATTCATATGGGCCATCCCTCATGGGCTATTGTGTTTTCCCCATTTGACATTTATAATTAGAAGCTGATGTGTAAAAAATAAAAACTGACTCATATTAATGAAATGTTTTGATTGGATGGAAAGAAAGCTGATCTGGCATCTGCAGAAGAGCCTAAAATGCTGACGTGGCGACCATATGGAGAGAGATAGTCTTCTTTCATATATACTAGGGGCTATCCCACGCTACGCGTGGGACTTATGTTCTAATTTGTGTACTACCAACTTTAGTTTTCTATATGAGATAGACATTAGTTCATATTAAAGAGCCATTTCCACAATGTTTTGATAAATCTTTTCAGTCTCTAAAGCGTTTTCAACTCAAGTAGAGAAATGACAATTAACTTTGAGTATATAAGTGTTACTAAATCATTGTAATGTTGCCCATATCCTCGAATAAATGTGCATGACTTAACTATCTTTTGTTGGGGTTATTATAGTTGTGTTTCTCGTCGAATTCCATTACATAACTTCTCAAATTTGGTATAGATAATCATGGCCTTCTCTAAAAGAATTCCTATTATCACCTCCATGATCTCGAATAACATCTAAATGTGGATTTTGTTCATCCGAAAATTTGACTCAAGCCTGCAAACAAAACAGAGACTAAAGACACAATTTGAGATCAACAAAGAAGACTTTATGAAGAAAGGGCTTAATATTAAAAGAAGGATCGCAGTTAGACAAACGTTTCAGAGTCATAGCAGAAAACAACTATTACACTGGTGAGTAGAAAATGAAGATAGAAGGTGGCCTAATTGATGCTTAACTAAAACTCAAATATTTTATTTTCTTTCCCATTCCTTTAATTTTACCTCAGTACATTGTGTGAGTGCAAAGTCAAATCCCTAACCATGAACCATATATTTTGTCAACTGTTTTAAAAAGTAAATGACATGAGAAGAGAAGACGTTAGACATGTACCTTTAATGAAGAATTTAGACATGTCAACTCCCAGAGGCATGCATATGAAAGACAGAAATGTTGGAGAGAAATTAGTCACTCTTCGTAACGATATATGGGTAGTTGTGGAATTTAGGAATATCAATCAATTGGTTGGAAACATTAAAACACAACGAAAGGAACACCCATGAAAACCTGGACACAAATTGGGTGTTTTTAGTTGTCGAGACGGGCACATTTGTTTTTTTTTTCTACAGTGGGCTTGTTTGAGTTCATGGACTCCATGATTGCTCTGCTTTTCCTATTGTGAAAACAATCTCACAATCGACATCCGTTGTCCTCGAGTTTTCTTCACTTGATATGGTGTCTAAGGGAATTAATATTGTTCTCAATGATACATGGGATAGTAACAGTTTGGCGAGAAGCCTGGAAATTTTATGATCTCAGCTTGCTGATAATTCACATGTCTATTAGCACATATTCTACATGTAGAATAACCAAAAGACAATGGTGTAAAGAAAATATCTGGACCTTAACGTACATAGATATATCTCTAAGAAATTATGTAAATCATTAGAGTAACACTTACTTTTGTCTAAGTCGATGGAGGAACTGAGACCAATAATCCTTTTTCTTGGATATTTTTTTTTTTGGTTATAAAGGAAACCCTTGCATGATTGGGCAAAGTAGAACCCTTGCATCATAAACTAAACCAAACACGCCTTTAAATGGAACACCCTCTCGAGTTCCTGCAAATAATGCGTGCTTATATATCCATCATCATCTTCTTAGTCAAGACATATAAAACTTGATGAAACTTACGGTGCATGGTTACTCACAAGTCACACCAATACATTTGAGACCAACATAAGTTCTTTTTTGCTTCCAATTCACGCCAATACATTTGAAACCAACATAAGTACTCTGCAACATAAATCCTCTTCCTTGGAATCTTAAGTTTCGAAGAACAGATGTCGGGTTTAAAAAGATGTATATAATGTAGGAAAAATTCTGACTCTTCTGCGTTGGAATTATTTAATCCAAGATATCCTTTTCTCCATTCCGCATGAATATATGAACTAACCATGCTTTCATACCAAAATCCTAGGTCGACATAAGAAAACCAAAAATTAATTAAATTAGGAGTGATCAGTGGATAGAAACTACCATATACCAAATGGGTTCTAAAGTAATATTAGCCACTACTGAAGACGTTAAGATGAAATAATACCATAAAGGAACATACCTAGAATTGCTGTATTTTGATAAGTTTGAACCAAGAAAGAAATATATCCGGCTTGATAATGACTGTCACTGACATGATTTGTGGTTTTTGTTCGTTGTAGAGTGAGCATGCATCTCGAGACGACCGTTGGTTAGGTTCACTATTTTTCTTCTCGGCTCTGTCCATTCTCTCTAATTCTCAATGTTCAAATCTAGAGATCAACAACGACCACTTAATTCTACGGGAAAGGGAGCGATTGATTTTTTGATATAAAATAAATAAGATTGAAAGTGAAAACCCTAGAAAACCAAAATAAATCAGAATTTCTTAAATGTTCAAAATTAGTGATGAAGAACTTGGACAGTCAGATGAAAGATAGATGGAGGAGACGAATCGTAAACCAAGTTTAGAGAAGTGATAACGTTTTGATTTTATATCAAAGCTTTTTGACGTTTTAAGAAGTGAGAACCCTTTGTAGCTATAAATGGAGGTACACGTGGCCTTTGAGAAGTAGTTTTCACGACGCCTGCTTATGTGGCAACTTCTGAGAGATTTTGTAAAAGCTGAGGTGGACACTCTCAAAAGCCTCAAATTGTCCCTTTTATTAGTATAGATGATTCAGATTTAGCGTTTTTTATTGACTTATTAAGTTTTTTTTTTCCTATTGGATTTAGGAGTCTTACTTGAATGAGAGAAGTAGCCCCCACAACTAATTCAATTTTGATTTTTAATGATTAAATCTGATTATTGTTTTTGATAATATTAATTATTTTAATTTCTTTAATTAGATTTAATGACAAGGGGGTGAATGAGAAGGGCTCACCCCTAGGGGTGAACCCAAGAATTGTTCCATCAAAATTTGTCGGAGATTGCAGATGGTATTTCTCAACGAATTTTCTATGAAATTTGATTTTTTTTTTTAATAATTTAAAATATTTTGATATTAAATTAAAGGGAGACTCACAAAAATGCCCCTTTTTCAATACCCCTTTTAAAAAATGCCCCCTCCCTAATAGCTTCCCTGAAATTGACTATTTTACCCTTAATGAGGCTTTGACCTAAAAGACAAAATTGTTCCCCAGTCAATCTCCTGTCATCTTCACCGTCGTCGGACGATGCCATGTGCTTGATATTCACGCCGTCTCCTGTCACCACACCACCGACGAGACCAAAACCTCATCTTCAATCTGTCGAGAATCTTCATCTTTGCCGACCAGAGCTTCGCCGGGAGTTAAATCGGCGAGGATATCCTTCATCTATCGTCGTCGTCGTAGTCGATTTGGTCATCGATTTGTGTCCGCAGTCCAAGATCCGAGTCTGCCTCAATCTGTCATTACCTCTTTCACATATCTGAATTGAGTTAGTCCATCAATTGATTTTTAAGAGATTCGCTTATGTGTTTATCTATTTTCTCGATTTGGTGGAGAATAGGATTAAGAATTGGTCTAACTGTGTAATCTCCTCGATCTGGTTTCTCAACTTTCTGTAATCACACAAAAATCCTCTTTAATCTCTTCTTCTTCGGTTTAAGTTTTATTTCACAGTTTCAGTTTTGTCAGTTGTGATTTCAAAATCGATTGTTGTTTTTGCTGCAGAGTGATGAATCATGGGATTAGATTATTGTTTATGTGCAGTGGATTACATTTTTTGTTTCCCGGAGAAGAAAGGCTTCTTGCATAATGGCCTAATGGGTACCTGTGTAAAATTTTAAGACTGGAGAAGATCTTAAGACTTGATGTTATATTGATTAGTTTGAGTTTTATGTGGTTTTGGTGTTTCTGATTTGTGTTCTTAAGAACTTTAGAACAACGATTGTGATTTGTGTTGTGGATGTGATCTAAAATATATTGTAAACTCTTTTAAATCCACGTTGTATAACCTTTAAAATACTTTGTAAAGTCTTTAAAATACATGTTGTCAAACCTTTAAAATACCTTGTAAAACCTTTTAAATTCACGTAACCTTTAAAATACTTTGTAAAACCTTTAAAATACCTTGTAAAACCTTTAAAATATATGTTGTCGAACCTTTAAAATACATGTTGTAAACCCTTTTAAAATACCTTGTAAACCTTTCAAATACCTTTAAAATATCTTGTAAAATCTTTAAATTTTAAAACCCTTATAAAACCTTTATAAAATATTTTCAAAGTTTTATAACTCATCTTATACCGTATAAATACTTTGTAAAATCATTAAAACACCTTGTAAAATCTTTAAAATATCTAGTAAAACCTTTTAAAACACATTGTAAACCCTTTAAAATACATTGTAAAACCTTTTAAAACACATTGTAAAACCTTTAAAATACATTGTAAAACCTTTAAATTACATTGTAAACCCTTTTAAAACACATTGTAAAACCTTTAAAATACATTGTAAAATCTTTAAAATACATTGTAAAACCTTTAAAACACATTGTAAAACCTTTAAAATACATTGTAAAATTAACTTCACTATTTCATCAAATCACATGTATTGAGCCACATTGAGTCACTTGTATAATAATAGCAATCACTTTAACAATTAAAGCACTAAATATAACAATCAATAGTGTTACATGGAATTTTCTTAAGTTACAAACTTACAAAAGACACATAAAAGTTGAGTAAAAACTTTTTGGTACATAACAACATGTAACGAAATCATCATCAAATTTTCTTCTATTCCAACTAATGGAATCGTATCAGAAGACGAGTTAGGAGAGTTTGGACATGTTTGATTCATCTTGTCAAGCTTCTTAGCAATGCCCAAAACTGCAGCGACTTTACGTGATTGACTACATCGAGGATGCTGGTCTTGAGGTGTTTTGCTTCAATCTGCAAGGACCTATGCTAGCTGAGAGTCTGTGCCATTTGTCATGGAACCAAACGTTTGAAGTGGAATAAATAAGAGATGATATACACAAAGTTGAAGCACTAAAATCATTAACAGTAAAAACAAACCTTTAAAAAAACATGTAAACCTTTAAAACACATTATAAAATCCAGAAGTTGAATAAATCAGAGATGATATACACAAAGTTGAAGCACTAAAATCATTAACAGTCAAAAACAAACCTTTAAAAAGCATGTAAAACCTTTAAAATACGTTGTAAAATCCAATGGGTCATTGTTAGACATCTGCGTAAAAACCAAGCATTAAAAGTATAAAACCATATCCAGTAAAAACAAAAGCAAAAAAGTTTAAGAGAAACAAACCTTTAAAAAGCATATAAGACCTTTAAAAAATGTTGTAAAATCCAGAATTCAAAATCAAGCAGTAAAATCAATCATTAATAGTCGAAAATGATATCAAAAAAGCTTCTAAAAGAAAAACCTTTCACAGAATCACAGAATCTAACCTGTAAAAGACAAACCTTTCAAAACAGAACCACATAACCACAGAATCTAACCTCTAAAGACAAACCTTACAAAGAATCTAACCTGGAATCGATGTGGGACTCGAAAACTGAACGAAAAGGGGACAGAAGAGGAATCTAACCTGGAATCGATGTGGGACTCGAAAACAGAAGGAAAAGCGAAATCGGAACAGAGAGAATAGATCTGAAATGAGAGCGAGATCGAGATCTGTAATCGGAATCGAGATTTGAAATCGGAATCGAGATTTGAAATCGGAATACTCGCCGATCAACGTGAGAGAGCGAGAGAGAGAGAAGAGATGAGGGAACCGATAGTTCTTAGGTTATGAAAGGAAGGGTAATTTAGTCATATTAGAAATAATTTAGGGGCATTTTTAAAAATGGTAAGCAAAAAAGGGCAGTTTTAAAAAAGGGTATAAGAAAGATGGCATTCTTAACAATTTCTCTAAATTAAATTTATAAAAATCAAACATATAACTAAAAATCAAAAATATAACTAAAATGGATTTCAAATATAATAACATATAAATTTAAAATGATCTGGTATATAAATTGTAAACATACGTATATTTTTGAGTTTATTTATTAGGGTGAAGCTCACCATCTTCATAGTAAAATGTTTGCTAATTTGAAACTAAGTTGAACTTTTTCACTTTATTCGTTTCTTGAATATTTTGTTAACATTTTCCAACTCAACAGTTTCTTGTTTCAATATAAGATACTGATATTATAAAATACCAGAAATACACTCCTAAACCTAATTAACGACCTTATCTAAAATAATAATAATTATAAACTTAACTAACCACCTAATTCTTGTTATAGAAATCTCCGCCTAACTCCGATTACTCCCCGCTTAATCGCTAGGCCCACCCTATACGCCTCGATTAATGACTAATCCCTTGAAGAAATCGGTTATCCGATTACTCTCTGTTTAATCCAATTTTTTTCCGCCTAATCCAATTACTTCTCACCTACTATTGTATAATCCAGTTATTTTTATATTGCAAGTATAAAAGAACTTTTTTTTTTCTGATTCAGACATTTAAATTGAGGATGTGTTCAAAATTTTATAAAAATCATAAAATTTTGTCTTACAAATATATTTTTATGAGTTTACTACAGTTTTGAAAACAATATTAGATTAATATGTTTAAAAACATTAATATGTCCCCGATTAATCTCCAATTTTAATCTTATTTTCCGATTAATCGCTAGGCTAATACCGAGCGTCCGACTAACGCCTAGTGATTTTTCGAACAAGAAAATCTAACTAACCAACTAAGAATAAAAAAGTATTTCTAATCATTTAAATCTAAAAGTTTGAAAATCTAATCTGTTTTAGGGTTAGAAAGAGAGGACATCCGATTTGAGAGAGAGAGTGAAATTCAGAGTTGTGAGAGAACGAAAAGAGAAGGCCTTATTTATAAAATAAATTGTGTCAAAAACTTGGGAGTTCAAATTTCGGCAATCAAATCCGTCAAAAACAAATTTTCATGTTTTGGCAGTAAATTTTTTTTTTGAAACCATCGGAAATTTCAGACGAACAATTAGTTATAAAAGTAAGGTTTCACTCTCCCCTTGGCATTCTTTTTAAAAATAAATTAAAATATCAAATAATTAAATCCAAATATTGAATACACTTATTCAAAATTCCAAATTGTCCAAATATTGAATGCCAAAATTGTGTTTTTTTTTTTTTTTTGTCATCTGAATTTTCACTAAAACCTCAAGAACTGATACAAGTTAGAATTACAGAAGCCGGCGGACGAACATAATGTCTCCAGAAACTTAGCCCAAAAAAGGGAAACGAAGCCCCAACATCAAAACGGGGAAGCTAGTTTAGATTAGCCATAAATTACAACATCAGAGACCTAATTCAAAAGAGGAAAACCCAAGGAGGAAGAAAGAAACCTAAGCTCTATAATTGAACAAAGGAACGATAGACTCACACCAATCTTCGCCAAAATTGTGTTTACTTCCAAATATTTGTTGCATTAAATTAATTCCAAATCGTCCAAATATTAAATCCTAAATCGTGTTGACGTGTTTACTACGCTCCTTAATATGTAATCAAAATTCTAAATACGTAACTCCAATCCATATGGAATGTGAAATCGTCTTAGCTCTTCTCCTTAATGTACGTATATATATAACGGAAATAAATTAACTCCAAATAACTATGGGGATTCAAAACAAATCGGGATTAGATTTAGGATTGTATTTCTGGTATTTTATAATATAAGTAACTTATATTGAAACAAGAAACGGTTGAATTGGAAAATGTTAACAAAATATTCAAGAAACGAATAAAGTGAAAAAGTTCACTATTGTTTGCGGGGTCTATGCCTCTCAAAAAACATAAGATAGATGCAAATAGAAAACAAGAACTAAAGAAGTAAATGATTCAAACCTGGATCAGATTGAGCTTATCAGCAATGTTTCAATACATTGCTTTCTTCCAGTTGCATATGAGACAAAAGAAAAAGGTAATCAGTTACAGAATTAAAAAATGAGTAAAGAAACACACTGAGAAATATTGGAAGTTAGAGAATTCTTGCCTTGATTCTGGCATGATCCTCCACTCTTTGATGGGAAGATAGCTCCTTCAAGTTCTATTATTTCTTTCATGACTAACATTCTCCTTCGGTTGGAAGTCAAAGATTTAGGTACCTTTGTGACGACTAATATACTTTGTATAATGTGTAACAGTATAATAAAAAAATGGGGCATAATTTCTAACATATACAAATACATTCTATGTCTTAAGAAGCTGCTCATGCTACCGATGTTCCTCAAGTTCTACCTTTGCTCATTATATTTTATTGAGTTGCTACTTGAGGTGAGAGACTTCAAAATCCTATATACAGAAAAATTAAAGACAGGAGAAGTTTCATTTTAGTATCACATACTTATAAAATCCTTTTTCCTATAGTTCTATCGAAAGAAAACTTCCCCATTCTCGTGAATCTGAAAAATTAAGTTGAAGCAACTCTGATATCTTCAACACTTACTATCCAAAAATGACTGAAATACATTGACTGAATATACTTCAGAGGAACAACAAGACAACGACTAAAGTAACGCTAGCTATTACTATGTAGAGGTTTAAATACAAAGTTGTTACCTTTTTAGCCCGAAATCCCTTAACGGCGGTCAGTGAGCCATAGAGTTCACTCAGGTTAGAGCCTTTTGAAGCCTTTCCTCGGTTTGTTAAGTTCCTTCCTTCCCTGAGAAAATTATAATACATCACCATAACTAATAGGAATAGCTGATCACTTAATCATTTTAATAGTAAATTTTAATCAATTTCACAGAACCTGAACTGCAAAATAAGTGGAAAACTACTAGATTTGCCTTCAGCGGAATCAACAAAAGAAGAGTCAGACTTCAGGCCAATAGAAGAAAAATAGAAGCACTACAAAGCAATCACAAGGAAAGTCAAACCATACTATGATGATAACGTTTAAGACGGGTAAAAGTATAAACACCATTCCAAACAACAGCCCTCTGCTTGTGAAGTGTCACAACGCATGCAACTAGAAGAGACCCTTGCACATAACTCTCTTCCCGATACTACATAGAAAGAAAAAATCACTAATTAGTATGATGGTAACAATGCATATAACATTGCTCTAAACTTTAAGTAACAAATATAGGATTTACAGAGGAAGACGTAAGTGACATACACGATCCTTATGAATAGGTTAAGGCTTCCTTCTTCATAGCATCATTCGTTAAAAACTTTAGCAAAAGGCCAGAACGAATGATTAACTGACTCGTGGCCCTTCATGAGTAAGCCACTTTTGCAAATTCTCCTGAAAACGTGCATCATAAGTAACAAGAACAAGAGATATACAATTTAAATTAATAGTTACTATACATCAAATGTGTTAAAAGATCCTAAACCTGATAAACAAGAAAATAGCCAAAACAAATAATAGATTGTACATAGACCTGTAAAAATCATCGAACATGTTTACGACAACCATGTGAGACCTGTCCATTAACTTCGAAAGGAGACCTACCCACTATCTTTTCGAGCTTCCTGAGAAGAACCAGATATTGAGACAAACTCTTAGCAAAACGTTGGGAAAAAAAACAAAGTCAACATAAAAAAAGTGGATATTACGGCCCGAGGGGTATTGAACTGAGTAGCCCAATGTTATCTATGGTATTAGGATCATCGGGATCATCGAGCATCGAAGTTCTTTTTTGTCTTGATTATGTCAAAATGATGATAAAAGTGTGTGTTGAAAATAGAAGTATCAAGGAGCGGAGAAATAAAATCAACTAGAAGAAATATGAAAAATCATCCATTGAAAAAACTATATTTCGAATAAAAGATAGTAAAGAAAGAATATAAGAGAGAAATTATATACCTGAATCAGTATCTTCACATAATGGTGTAAAAATAATGGTTGGGGTTGCTGTTGAATCAAGATACGATCGGCGGTAAGTCCTCAAACGTATCCAGCACCACCTTCTGCAACTCCAGGGCATTTTCAGTCTTACCAGAGTAATTAATTGCACAGACAGAGAGGAGGTTATTAAAAAACAAGTCTTCAAGGTGCAGGCCAATTGGAAACACTGATGTATGTGGTGATGAAAACATACTAATGGGTTTAAGGAGGCTCCCTCTCCTCTTCACATTCATAAACCATTCCAAATCATTGCACATGTGTCTGTCTGTCTCAGTCCATTTGGGCCAAAAGTCAACTATAGTAAAACGTTGATCCTTGGACAGAGAAGGAGTAAAGGAAGACCTGGCTGCTGCAGTTTCACATTCACAGTGGTCCATGCAATATCGCCAAATGAAGAAGGGAAAGAAGAGAACTTGAGACTACCTTCTTGGACTCTGGCTCCTTAATCTAGCTGCTGCATTTTTCTCTCATGATTTCTACTTTTTCTGCTCTCTTTTTTTCTTGCATCAAGATTTTTACAACCCACTCTTAAGACCTTTTTGCGAAAACCTACGGGATTGAAGCTTTTAATGGAACCTTTAAACTAGAGTGGCGTATTTCACTTTCAAGTAAACCAAGTTTTTTCTTGAGTTGTTCAAGTGCCTCTCCTGTTACACTTGCTGCCTTATGTTTAGCGTGCGTTATGTTGATATCCTGTTTTAGAGTTTAAGGTCATCGAATTGCAGAGATTATCATAGTAAGACAGAAAAACTTGGTACCTAATTTCCAACATTTAGGAATTCATTTTCTCTCTTAAGCAGCTGCTCATGCTGCCGATGTTCCTCGAATTCTATTTGCGCAGCGCAGTATCCATCTGCATTCAGATATTGTAATGGATACTATGATAAGACAACTGGAAGTGACCAAAACCCATATCCTTATAGTTGAAAACTTGCTTACAGAACATTATTTTCATTGAGTCGTTGCTTGAGGTGAGAAACTTCAGAATCCTATATACAGAACATTAAAGACAAGAGATGTTTCATTCTAGAGAATACAAAGCTTAAGCTTAAGAAACGAAATTCAGTAAGCAATACAAAAAGGACTGAGAAAATTGACATAATTTTTTCAAGTCTAATTGTGTTGTTGTCTACCTCTTAAGCGTCTATTTCTTTAGCCTCAGATTTCATCTTCCCAAAATCTTCTTTCAAAACTGTTTTACCCAATTCACGTAATGAAGATGGGTCCGTCAATTCTCCAGCATCAGCATCAAGAGAGACAAGTACACACAGAATTAGTTTTGATATGGTAAGAAATTACAGCTCACTTCTTTCATAAGAGGACTGAGAACTTTCAAATTCATGACAAATCACAAATATATAGAAGTTTTATTGAGACCAAAATCAACTGAAGGAAGCTAAGTCAAGACCCTTGCCTGGCAGGCTGGCACTGAATGCAGCCCAATGTAGAGCAGACAACCCTTTTTGCATCATGGAAGTTGATGGTAACTCATCGCGGAAGAGTCAACCCAGAACGGGACTTGACCGACTTCATGCAGCCGGGGGATAGCCAAGAACACAACCTACAAAATCCTCTGCTTCCGCAAATTTGCATGACCACCTATAGCTAGTTACTTCCTCAGGACTCAACAAAAATGTCCCAAACCATGAGCTGTTCGAAACTTAAAATTGTAGATGAGAAAAGAGTTATCTCCAAACAAAACCACAATGAGAAAAAGATGAAATATAGGATACGAAAATATGATACCAGTTCACAAACTATACATAAAACAGAAAAGCAGAATGAAACTACTGTTGTAAAGCGTACATGGGCTTACCACTGCTAGAACTATTAGATTATCGCGCAGAAAAAGTGTTAAATGAACCTAAGATATCCTTCTTGGACTCTGACTCCATAGTCTATGAGGCAAAGGAATCTTCCTCTAATGATTTCTATATCTCCCGCCCTGAGTTTTGCCTGGATCAAAATTTTCACAAGCCATTCACAAAACATATACAGCTATAGGATTGAAACTTTCAATGGAACAATTAAGTTGAAGCGTCTCTGCTATCTACAACACTTGTTGACTATCATTTGACAAAAAACAGCGGAAGAAGAAAATACATTGACTGAATATACTTCAGTTACCATTTACCAGTTTCCATAACAGAGAAACAATAAAAGAATGACTATTATAACCAGGTTCCACAGGGTGTGAACTTTTACATATTATACATGTCATACAAAATGATATAGCACCAACGACATAAGAACAAAAACATGCAGTTAATTAACCCATTAATATACATTTGTGTCTACAGTGTATTACTAAAGACAATAACCAGTGGAACTAATCCATCAAATGTACTATTTTGACTATATGCAGAATATGTTTGGTGCCGTAGTAGACCAGTACCACAGCAAAATATACATAAAAATATCGAAACACAAAATGGAATGGCTTCACAAGCCAACATGAACTCTAAAAGGAGCACGCATACAATAAATTTTAAATAATATATATATAAAGTTAAGAAAGATGCATAAGAAATACCTGTCAATATGTGCTTCTTGCAAAGTGACTATAAGACCATATTTCTTCAAGCTAGAAATTCCAAAGCCCACAACTACTCCCGCAAGACCAAAAGCTGCTCCTCTATGCTCACCGTACTTACCACTCTCCATTAGCTTATCGAAGAGCCTCAAAAAAAGGGGCAAGGGCCTCCTCCTCCTAACAAATCATCATTGAAAACAACGATAGACCTTAAGCCACTAGGAACCAAAGGTATATCAAAACTTGTCTCGGTAAGATCTCAAAATTTGTAGGAAACATACTTGCTTTGATAGCACAAGTGGAGAAAGGCATGTTAAGACTGCTCGTTGCACAGAGTCTGATGGTGTGTTCAACACCTCCAACAGATTTTCCACAACATTATGGACTTTAGGATCATCCTGCCATCATTAGTGAATATATAAGATAGAGAAGAAAATCATGTGCACCGTGACGAGATTTAAACAAATGGTAGAGTAATCACTTTTGCCAAGTGCTTTGCTAGTGATCCAGTGAATATAACAACACCCTCACGAACCAGGTCATATTCCTCTTCATCAGATGCCTACATGATAAGAGATATGATGAAGGAGCTTTAAAGTAATCATGAAACAAACAATGTATCCAGCAGGTTTTCAGTTGCTTGAAGAACAAACCTATTTATTTAAATAATTCTCAAAGATGGGGAACAGCAATGAAACGTTTTCTTTGCCATGCTTATCAATAATCATGATACCAGCATTGATCATCTTTCCACGAACATATGTGTTGGGATCAGCCTGCATATGAGATAAACGCTCAGTTTCATACAATTTTCTGAAAGTCAAAAGCTTCAAGCTATAGTTTCTGAAAACAACATAAAATGTGGGTTTCTAGGTGATAAATTGTGAAACCCAAATCCTTTGCAAACCCAAACCCAAATCTTTTATTTGACAAGCATTCATCTGACAAGATGAGAAGAAATACCAGTGCGCGGGATATCAAAAAGGTCATAACAGCAGGATGGTCCTTTGTTGTCAATACGTCAGCAGCAGATTGCAGTGCTAAGGCAATTCCTTGCCTTCCCATCCAACCAGCATCAAAGACATCCTCGCCAGACGTCGCATCACGGATGTACAGAGAAATAAAGTGTAAAGACCAATTAATCTTTAAAGAACCATATTTATTGCCACAAAAAGTAATAATTCAAGAAATGCAATGACCTGGATTGATGTCGGGCTTTAATGAAGAGAATCTGCCAATGCTTGTGCTGCAGCTAAACGGACATTGAGATTTATATGAGAAAGTGCTTTAAAGATTCCTGAATAATCAGTCCCCAAATCATGACCATGGCCATATATCATCTGCTGATTCAGCCACTGACTGCAAGCATAAAGATCACAGAGCATCAGATGGTGCAACTAAGGAAAACAATAACTTTGCCCTAGTCAAGTACACTACGGAAAACAATAGGAGGACAATAAGTTAGAATAATATCAGCAGGAATGGTAAGAAACACACTGGAAAAATGAAGGTATCTACAGGAAGTGGTCCTGATTTACAAGATACATATACCTGTGTATAATTCTCTCAAAAAGGTAACTAGCTGTTACAAAACACATGATTAGCAAGACCCATCTCCTCAAGGGCATCTCCTGTGAACATTTTAGCGTGTTGAGGCCTCCTCTTTGAGCATCAGTTCCCGTGCCTCTTCCTTCACCGTTTTTCCTTTGTCTGCAATTATTAATTCGTAGAAGAATATATATATTCTGGGGACATAATATTAAGACCAAAGAGTGCTTCGCTAGATATGTACCAGCTTTCTTGGCCAACTTTGCAGTGTCCCTTCTCCCCGAATTTGCAGCTTCTCTAGCCTTTCTTTAAAAAATGATTAGAAGAAGATATTATTAAATCCAATATGCTACAAGTTGAATCATGTAACAAGTGTTAAACATAAAAAATAGAATAAAACAATGCAAGTACCGGCTCCTGGTTTGTGTACTTGGCACCAATCGTCTGAGCAACATAGATAGCTTGTTCATTTAAAATCATCCCCTCCGGTGTTTGAAAGATCTGAATAAAAACGTAAAATATTAGAGTTTCTACTACTCAAAACTTGCAGATGAAAATTAATATTTACCCATTGCACTTTGTATGAAATGTCAGAGTAAAATATTAGAGTTCAACAAGTGTCTAGAGAGAGAGGAATGAAATTCTAACTCCATAATTTACTCAAGAAAGACGAAGTAAAAGTGAGGAGATTTTTTAAGGTCAGTCTCTCCAAGCATATCATGAGAGAGTCGATCTGGAAGGTCTTGTAGATGCTAGAAAAAATAAAACATAAGTCATCAGGAAACTATTTAAACGGTATAATCCCTTTGATTAGTAAAACAATTTATGTTTTTAAAAACCATCTTAAACACTATATGTATCCTCTGGTGCCAGAGACACCATTGTGTACAAGGAATATACTGCCGCTTGCTGCTCGGGAGTCTTAGGACTTCATTAAACCCATTGGTCCAAGTAGACTCTGAAAGAATCATTCAAATTAATAGTTGATTAGTAATGCCAGGAAACAATTAAAAACCACAAGTTTCGGTGACATAGAAGTCATTAACAGTCGTGAGATTACCTGGCAAACACTTTCTCTATTGGTAGAAAAAGTGTATGAAATGTCAAAGTAAAATATTAGAGATCAGAAAGTGTCTACAGAGAGAGGAAGGAAATGCTAACTCCATAATCTACTCAAGAAAGAAAGAGTAAAAGTGAGGAGATTTTTACCTTACTGTCAGTCTCAGAGCATAATATCAGGAGAGAGTCGATCTGGAAGGTCTTGTAGATGCTAGAAAAATAAAAGATAAGCAGTCGTGAGATTACCTTGCAAACACTTTCTCATGTAGCAACATCATAACCACGAGTTTTGAGACACTTTTGCAATCTCTGCATATATCAGAAGGTGTATATCACTATTAAAAAATTGCAAACAAAAGAAATATGGGTAAGTAGAATTAACCATGTCGAATGACCAATGTCAAGATTACCTTCCAAACATCTTCTCTTGTTCCAGTACCAACTACGCTGGGATGATGCGAGCAGAATATGGCTCGAACAATCCATGAGCTTGGAGGTCCAGTAACTGCTGCCGATGAAATGACAATCAAAGCCTTCACTAAAACCTCTACAGAAGGGACGAAAGGAGCTTGATGATCCACGGGATTATCTGCGTCACTGCAGAGGTGCCAAGTTAGTTCCTAGAATGAATAAGTCGTTACTGTTAATAAAAAGACAAGATCAGAAAAATAATAGTGATAACATTAGCGATAACTAAACACAGAACAGGCAGCAGTATACCTACTGGCTGGGTGGGGTGAAAAGAATTTAAGAATACAAAACGAGCTTACCATTTCTACCTGGTTCTAGAATAAACGATTTGGTCCCCAGTTATGGTGGAAAGGAAATCCGAGAAGTCGTATAAATGAGTAGTGGCTAGCTGTGAAGTTGCGAGGAAGATATTCGTAACAGAATTGTAAGCTGTTTTACGAACATTCCAGCTTGGATGGCAAACTACAAAGAGAAGTAACTACATAGAAAAGAGATGAAACATATGTCCAGAACAGGGAGAAACACGAACTCTCTTAGGCTACCTGTGAGATAGTTAAAACTTCTACAAACAGTTAAACAACGAATCTCACACATTAGGCAGGAGGTTTACCTGGAGGAGTGTTCTATTAGGAGCACTTCAAGAAGGTCGACCAATACTACACAATCACCACTTGAAAGTTTTTGAGGCCTTTCTGTTGTGACATGCAAAATACAAGAAAGAAAACGAAGAAAAATGCAGCACACCAAAAGGTAAGTACCCTGCCATGGTAAAATTAAACTCATTTTGAGATATCAAAGTAGAGGAAATACAATTTACCAGTTTCCGCAGTAGAAGAACAACAAGACAATGACTAGTATAACCAGGTTCCGCAGAGGTTAAAGATAATTCTTAATCTTTTATTACATAAGCAAAAAAAAACATGTAAAACTAATCAACATGGGCAAAAATAAGCTAAATAACTACTAAATTCAGAATTTGTCACATTCTGTTGGACTCCGGGCAAAACTTGATCAACATCATGCCTGAATGCTTCACCACAAAACAACATTTAGAAAAACAAAATTGGCAACGTGAGTTAGCCTAAAAAAATGAAACCATCTTGCCTGAATGCTACACCAAAGAACCATAATATCATAAAAATTACCTTAATTTTTGAGTCTCTCAATCCATTTGGACCAGAAGTCAACTATAGTAAATGTTGATCCTTAGCCAGAGAAAGACTAAAGGAAGACATTCACTGATGTAGTTTCACATTCACAATGGTCCATGAAATCTCTCCAGATGAAGAAGGGAAAGAAGAGAACCTCATACTTCTTTCGTGGACTCTGGCTCCTTAATCTTTGAGGCGAAGGCATTGAAGGCTTTTTCCTCGCAGGATTTATACTTCTTCTGCTCTCTTTTTTTCCTGCATCAAGATTTTTTACAACCCTTCTTAAGATTTAAGTTACGGGATTGAAGCTTTCAATGGAGCAATATCTTACCTTTAACCTAGAGTGGCGTAGAGAATGATTAGAACTCTACAACAAGCAATACGAAAAAAAATGTTATTAGAAACAAAGACAAAAAAAATTAAAGTATGAACTACTCAAAACTTGCAACTGAAAATTAATATTACCCATTGCACTCTGTATGAGATGTCAAAGTAAACTATTAGAGCTCTGTTTAATACCAACTCATCAAAATTCATTCCCACCACAGTCTCTATACTTGCGTTTTCTGGTAGATTACACCGGGTTTGATCTTAGCTCGTATATGTTCCAAGTCTCTTCAAACTCGACGATATCCCAAAAAGAACATCAAAAGAGGATTCTATATGACTATATCTCATACTTACATTATATGGAACTGGCTCTGACTTATAGTAGCGTGAAACAACTCCATGAGCGAGTCCTGAACACAACTCCTAAATTACAAATCGAAAAGAGGATCACATGAATCATTTACCATATGAATATTTGAAAGGAAGAAAAAAAAAAGTAAAGCAGATTCATACTTCTATATTGTTTGGTGAAGGATCTGATTCGAGCAAATACTTGGAGTTCAGGTTGTTATCAAAAGCATCAATAAAAACTATAGATTAGTCCCACATTGGCTTAGCATTATATTATTAGTAGATCACAAAGTGTCAATCACACAGACTGAGGTCAACCGACTAAGGTCAAGAATTATCAGTGGATCACAAAGTGTCAATCCCAGCTTCTATTCTGAATTAGGTCAAGAATGGCATTGCAAGGTTCTCATTTGTTATATCGACAAATATTAACATAAGCTAAAAGAAAAGAATAACCAGTTAATAGAGAGTCTAAACACAAATTTTGTCTGGTCTTTAAGATTCAGCATAAGAGAATTACCTTCGATTTAAATTTTCTTACAATATCTTCAAGAGCCTGAGCAAGTTTCTGAAAATCATCAGCCTTGGAGAAGAGCATAACCTGACAAAGGAAGTAAAGAAAAAACAAAGCTTAGATTAAAACATAATCAAAAGCAAACAAAGATAGAACCAAAACTTCTAATCTGAAGCTTAACAGGACTAGAGTAAACCCAAACAGTATTGGTATCAGTCAATTTTGTAATCAACGGAAACTTGTTGCTGCCTAGAAACTCCAATATCTTCTCCATTTTGTAAGATCCATCTGCATTGCAGACAGGTGTTACCGCTTCTCACGATATAGATAGCAGGAAAATGATCTGATAATAACAAGAGAGGTCTTCAAAATCAGCAACAACCAACAAGCTTACCATATACAGTGTACCTTTCAGCCTCAATTTTCACCATCCCAATAAACACATTACTGCTTTTAAGGTCAGGAATAAGAAGTTTCTCAACATCGTTGTCGCTTGTTTCTACAAACTGGATTTCATCATCTGATTTTGCAGCTTTCACGAATTCGTTATGTTCAGAACCCTAAGCAAACAAACAACACACATATCAACAGTTACATTCGAAACCGACTCTACATTAATGATTTCCCAGGCTTCAAAATACCTCAAACTTGTTCAGAAATCTCTGAGCTTCAACAACTGAATTAAGTGTAATGATTGGTGCACCAGTCTTCTTTTGCACCCAAATTACTATATCATCCCTGAAACATTGACCAAAACATATCTCACAAATCTCATAAACGATTCAATCAAAATCAGAACTTGCTCACTAAAGCCAGATTTTAACCTCAAGACATTGAAATTGACAACAAAGAAGCCAAAATTAGAGATAACTTACGCAGAAACTCCACCATTGTAAGTATGAGAAGTGTCATAAACAAAGAGAAAAAGCGTACGGAAGCCCTTAATCTCAAGCTCCGAAGCAATCTTCGAATACAGGAGATTCTTACCTTACTGTCAGTCTCTCAGAGCATAATATCAGGAGAGAGTTGATCTGGAAGGTCTTGTAGATGCTAGAAAATTAAAAGAAAAGAAGTCGTGAGATTACCTTGCAAACACTTTCTCTATTGGTAGACAAAAAGTAGCAACATCATAACCACGGGGTTTGAGAAAATTTTGCAATCTCTGCATATATTAGAAGGTGTAATTAAAAGAAATATGAGTAAGTAGAATTAACCATGTCGAATGACTAATATAATGTTAAGATTACCTTCCAAACAACATCTCTTTTTCTAGTACCAACGATGCTGGGATGATGCAAGTAAAATATGGCACGAACAATCCATGAGCTAGAAGGTCCAGCAACTGAATGATAATCAAAGCCTTCACTAACACATCTATAGAAAGGAGCTTGATGATCCACGGGATTATGTGTGTCAATACAGAGGTGCCAAGTTAGTTCCTAGAAGAATAAGTCGTTACTGGCATTTAGGTCCAAACCTTTCAAAATGTCAAATGAATCAAACTGTTAATAAAAAGTCAAGATCAGAAAAATAATATGAGACATCAGCGATAACTAAACACAGATCAGGCAGCAGTATACCTACTGGATGGGTGGGGTGAAAAGAGTTTAAGAATACAAAACGAACTTATCATTTGTACCTGGTTCTAGAAGAAACGATCTGGTCCCCAGTTATGGAAAGGAAATCCGAGAACTCGTCTAAAAGAGTAGTGGCTAGCTGTGAAGTTGCGAGAAAGATCTTCGTAACAAAATTGTAAACTGTTTTACGAACATTCCAGCTTGGATGGAAAACTAGAAAGAGAAGTAACTACATTGAAAAGGGATGAAACATAAGTCCCAAACAGGGAGAAACGGGTCAGAAAGCATGAACTCTCTTAGGCTACCTGTGATAGCGATTTCAATGAAAATGCTTCAATAACCGTGAAATCAGGCAGGAGAGATAGTTAAAACTTCTACAAACAGTCAAACAACGAATCTCACACATTAGGCAGGAGGTTTACCTGGAGGAGTGTTCCACAAGGAGCACCGCAAGAAGGTCGACACATACTACACAATCATCACTTGAAAGTTTTTGAGGCCTTTCAGTTGTGAAATGCAAATATAAGAAAGAAAACGAAGAAAATGAAGCAAAGCAAAAAGTAAGTACCCTGCCATGGCAAGAGGAGATCACAGTACCAGAAGAAGTATTTAGAAAATATTACCAAAGTAATTTGCAGAAGTGAAGGCTCATTTTGAGATATCAAAGTCCATAATTTCTCCGTCACCATAGTATCCCCTGGAGTTCAAAAAACAGCGGAAGAAGAAAATAAATTGACTGAATATACTTCAGTTACCATTTACCAGTTTCCATAACAGAGAAACAACAAGAGAATGACTATTATAACCAGGTTCCACAGGGTGTGAACTTTTACATATCATACATGTCATACAAAATGATATAACACCACCGACAAGAAAAACAAGCGGTTAATTAACCCACTAATATGGAATATTGACTTGCAAGGCAGCCTTTTCATGTGAATATACATTTGTGTCTACAGTGTAGTACTAAAGACAACCAGTGGAGCTAATCCATCAAATGTACTATTGAATGGATTCACAAGCCAACATGAGCTCCAAAAGCAACACATATACAATAAATTATATATATATAAAGTTAAGAAAGATGCATAAGAAATACCTGTCAATAAGTGCTTCTTGCGGAGTAACTATAAGACCATATTTCGTCAAGCTAGAAATTCCAAAGCCCATAACTACTCTCTCAACACCAAACGCTGCTTCTCTACGCTCACCATATTTATCACTCTCCATTAGCTTATCCAAGAGCCTGAAAAAAGGCCAGGGGCCTCCTTCTAACAAATCATCAGAGACAAACGACGATAGACCTTAAGGTATAGACTGATATACTCCTCAGGCCAGAGCAACTAGGAACCTAAGGTATAGTAAAATTTGTGTCGGTAAGATCTTAAAATATGTAGGAAGCATACTTGCTTTGATAGCACAAGTGGAGAAAGGCATGTTGAGACTGCACGTTGCACAGATTCTGATGGTGAATTCAACACCTCCAACAGTTTTTCCACAATCTTATGGACTTTAAGATCATCCTGCCATCATTAGTTAATATATATAAGATATAGAAGGAAATCAGCAAAAAGTTCACCTTCCGCTTCATGCGCTCTTGGTCCCTAGCTGTAGATACAACATCACGTACAAGTTTTATATATGAAGGAAGTACTTCCTTTGGAACTGAACCAATAACCCTAGCCAAAGTTTCCCAGGAAACCTGTTTAAAAGAGAATAAGTTAGACAAGACATGCTTGCTTCAACTATTTTCTTTCTGGTCAAGTAGCCTACCGTAACAGTTGTTGAATCAGAATCACTGAGCATAACAATCAAGGTAGATATCATGTTTGGAGCTTCATCAATTAAGTAAAGCTTGCTACTCTTGAAGAAGTAACCAATCAGATATGCGTAACTTCTTCTAATTGAAGCCTGAAAACGAAAGATTTACAAACCTACATTACTTACTTACTAATATAAATATACAATCTTAAGAAATTACAAACAAACCTGACTATCAGACACTCCTTTGAGAATTTCTCAACTCCTTCTTCATCAATGAAAAGGACCACCCTCTCTGCGGCCTCTTGTGCCAGTTCTTGGACTTCCTGCAAAAAGAAAGAGAATCTTAACCATAGATACAATAGCTTTCATACAAATTTAAGGGTGAAGAAAATCTTAATTATTTACCTTGTTTTCATCTCCCATTGCAGAGAGCAAAATAGGAAGTATGGTCCCGAGATGCGTGTTAAAACCAGCACCAGCAACCTCAGCCAAGGCTCCCAAAGCATGAGCATTAAAAGTAACTCATCATGCTGATGATGCATATGTATAGAACGAGACAAAAGAAATCACATATGAGAGAGGAAGATGGACAAGCTTGGACAAGATGTGTGGAAGAACAGCTGCTGTCCTAACACTGCAATTACAAAAGTAAATTCAGTAAACCATAAAACTTTGAACTGACTAGGGGAAGAAGAGCCTGAGGAAACAGTAGAAGAAAACCTTATAATTTGTTTAAGTCCATCCAAGGCAGTAGTAGACATTTCATCATCTTCTAAGGCTTCCAGAAGAGTTGGGATAATCTCATCCATTGCTTGCAATCCAGCACTCTACATTACAAAAGTAGACGAACGATACATATAGAGTGAACTAGAACAATCTGATAAGCAACACAAGTCAGAATAGGTACCTTATACAGAGTGCTAAATGCTAGTCCAGCAGATTCACGAACCTCAAGAGCATTATAGAAGAAAGTTGTAGAAGTTAAGAAATGTTAAATTTTTAATAGCATAAAGAAACATTCGAAATTAGAAGCTGATGCATATAGAATAAATCAAACCTATCACAAAGTGACGTCCGAATTGTGGGAATGAGCTGATCCATGAAACTCAGCAACAGACTCCTCCCAGCAGTTGCCATCACTTCATTCAGGCCAATGCATACATCCTGTCAATCATGAAATATAATATAATATCAAGCTATTAGATGAATAACATGTGCCTGATAAGTCTGCATATCAGATTTAAGCAAACATTCTAAGCATCACAAATGGACATAAGACAATGCAGCAGGGCACAAATCATGCAGTGATACACAGCTCATTAAAGAGAGATGAAATAAATACATGTCACAATAACTAGAACACAGACACATAAGAAACGGTGGCAGTTGTACTCATAAAATAGCACTGGAAATATTCACTTCATGGTTAGCATGGTCGCAGTAAAAAAATCTACCAAAATAGTTCATCATAAAACCAAAATAACTATGCTCTACGGTGTAAAGTTTTTGAGAAAGAGAGATAAAATGATTGATTCATCACGAAGCTTTACTTGTCTTTTGTCAACATCTGGGTCTGTCAGTCCCTTAGATAATTTTGGAATGATAAGAGGAAGCACCCTTTCACCAAGCTTCCTAACCAGCTCTCCAAGTGATCTTCCTGCTAGCTACACAGTATAATAGACTCATACAACTGCAGGATAAAATATAAGGAAAGAAACAAAAGAAACAAACCTGCTGCCTCTCAGAGGATGGCATTATTTCCTTCAAAGTCTTTGGTGTATTTGCTATAGGTTAGCTGTTACCCTTGAACATTGGTCACCACGTAAATACTAGACTACAGGTTTTGAAAGGAAGGATAAACAACAAGAAAAAAGACAACACAAAAAATGCTGTTAACCTTGAACAATAGATCCCCAAGCAGTTCAACGAAACTTTGACGGATACGCCAATTAGCATTGAAAATACCATCCTCCACAACTGGACGAATAAGAGGTAGAGACCTGCAAAACCAATGTTAATTACAGGATCCAATCTCCTCATACAAGACCTGAGATCTAAATAAACTCAATTCAAACAGAATTTATCAATGTAATCTACCACAAATTCAAGAGTAACAATAATGGCACCTACTGGCTTAAAATTTTAATCAATCTACGGATCATGTTAGGTCAACATTAGCTAATCTAGTTAACTATGCCAAAAAAAATCAGAGAGAAGCTTATATAGTGTAAATTTATACGTTGTAGCATGGTGCTCCACCAGTACATGGCCAGCCCCTAGGGCTGCATCCCGAACAGATTCATTCTCATGGGCAAGACCTAAAACATCATAGAGCACCACCAATTTACTCAATGAGTCAAAACCGAGTTCAGAAGTTAAAAGTCTGCCAAAAAGTAATAGGTCCACCATTCAGAATGGCCGGTAAGACAAGCTGCAAGTACTTCTCGAATTGAGCACCCAAGGATCTTGGTAAGAACTGCGAGTAATAAACAAAAGCTTTTAGAATTTTTTACAAAACTGACATTTAAGGAACATCTAAGGAGCAACTGGTTTCACCTTGAAAAGCGTAAGGTATCCATCTCGGACCGATGCTTTTTGATGAGAACAATGACGAATGAGGTCAGGAAGTATATTCTCAAAGTAATCTGTCCCAAGAGCTGCTATAACCTGAAATATAAGGAGAAAACGTTCCACCAGATGCAGCTACAATTGTTAAGCAGATGCTGAGATAAATGATTTCTAAATTTCTGTAATTCCATTTGCCATACACCATACCAGTTTCAAATGTACTTGATTGAAACATTAAAAGAAGGTACCAAATAAAAGAAGCTACAAAAGCATATATACAGAGACGTTTCTTTAAGTTAAAAGTAAATTAAGAGAATCAATCAGCTTATAATTGAACAGTAAAACCGTAATACTCATGCAGTGATGTATTGGAAAATCGATGTATTGAAAACCGTGAAGATAACAAGATTAAGCTCATAGTATCAAAACACATCTTATTCTCCATACCTCACTTAATCCCTGAGCAGCTCCAGATCTTTCAACATTGCTTATATCAGATTTTAGAGTTTCAAACAACCACGGAACAAGATCTGGGAAATTATCCTCTCCCATTCCTCTAATAAGTGACCCAACAGCCCTTGCTGCAACAGAAAGTACCTCGGGAATTGGATCCACAAGAACCTGAAAACTCCAGAGTTCAGTTAATAAACATCTTATGCAAAAGACAACTCATTATTTTGGTAAGAACAGCAGTTTACCTTTCTAACCTCAGGAAGGAGCAATCCTATGTAAGGAAACATATCCTTTGGCTCTGTCACCAAAGAACACATATTACCGACAATTTGATAAGCTTTCTTTTTTTGTTTCAGAACTTCTTTCTCTCAATCCTCTATGTACTATTGGTACCAATAGTGCAAGCGAGGGGCCATCAACAGAATTAACGAATGCTGTCTGTAATAAGAGAAGAAAAATTCAGAAAAGTAACAGAAAAGAAGAGAAGTATAATCGAAGACAATTAAATACGGGAGCCTTACTTGAAGAAGGATGTCAAGAGAATGTCGTGTGTACTCACTGGGATCTGTTAAGGCCAATAGAAGAGTGGGGACAAGAGATGATATCTCTGGGTTCTTTATGACCTAGAAATAATGGTGAGTGGGAACTCTAGTCAGTAAAATCAACCAAATATGAAATTTCTTCTATTATATCAGTCTAACATACTGAAGTGCTAACTGCCCAGCTGACTGGACTTTTGGATGTGTATCAGTCAAAACCTGTATATTTTTTAACTCATGACACAGATACTACCAAATAATCAAGGGTGGAAAAATTATTCCCAGGATTACAGTTAAGAAGCAACTGATATCTACAAGCATACACACCTCTGTAAGTTTTGGCACAGCCCTAGGAAGGCATTGAGACAGTTGCTGAGGAACAGAAAATGCCATAGCACCGAGGAGCTGTACACTGCTTTGCTTTGTTCTCCATGCTTTATCTTCAAGGCCCTATCAGAAAGAATGAAATCAACAAAAATGTACTGCCATCATTAGGTATACCCAAGTGTAGTGAATATATAAGATATAAAAAAAAGTACTGTCATGTAAGAGCAAAGAATAAATGTAACTAGGTATACCAAGTTTAGTAACTGAACCTTATTTCTAAGGAGCAGCACTTCCATCATTAGTGAATATTTAAGATATAGAAGGAAATCATGTGCACTGTGTCGAGATTTAAACAAATGCTAGAGTTATTACTCTTGCTAAGTGCTCCGGAGAATATAACAACACCCCGAACCAGGTCATATTCCTCCTCATCAGATGCCTACATGATAAGAGATATGATGAAGCTCCGAAGCAATTCATAATAATCATGAAACAAACGGTGTATCCAGCAGGTTTTCAGTTGCTTGTAGAACAAACCTCTTTATTTAAATAATTTTCAAAGATGGGGAACAACAATGAAACGTTTTCTTTGCCATGCTTATCAATCATCATGTTACCAGATTTGGTGATCTTTCCATGAACATCTGTGTTGGGATCAGCCTGCACTTGAGAAAAACACTCAGTTTCATATAATTTTCTGACAGTCAAAAGCTTCAAGCTATAGTTTCCGAGAACAACATAAAATGTGGGGTTCCAGGTGAAAATCCTTTGCAACATGGCTTAGAGTGGGAGAGTTCTTTCATTTGACAAGCATTCAGCTGACAAGATGAGAAGAAATTCCAGTGTGCAGGATATCAAAAAGGTCATAACAGCAGGAAGGTCCTTTGTTGTCAATACATCAGCAGCAGATTGCAGTGCTAAGGCAATTCCCTGCCTTCCTATCCAACCAGCATCAAAGACATCTTTACCAAACGTAGCATCACGGATGTACATAGAAAATAAAGTGGAAAGAGTAATAATTAATCTTGAAAAACCATACTTATTGCCACAAAAGTAATAATTCAAGAAAGGCAGTAACCTGGATTGATGTCGGGCTTTCATAAAGAGCATCAACCAGTGGTTCTGCTGCAGCTAAACAGACATTGAGATTTATATGAGAAAGTGCTTTAAATATTCCTGAATAATCAGTCCCCAAATCATGACCATAGCGGGCCTATATATATATCATCTGCTGATTCTGCCACTGCCTGCAAACATAAAGATCACAGAGCATCAGATGGTGTAACTACGAAAAACAATAGGAGGACAATAACTTTGGGAGCCCCAGACAAGTACATCAATTTATTATAGTTGACACGGCAAACAATGATATAAACAGTATTTGTGTACAATACAAGAAGATAACATAACTAGATATCACATCAAATTATACAGGTTAACCTTTTCAGGGTCATGTAGAGCTATCCAAATGTTGGTTGCTATATTTAACATTCTGAGGAAGGGAGCATTTGGAAACAGCAGGAATACACTTTACAGCGTTTAAGCAGGCCATTCTGACATGAACATCTTTTGAATAGACTCCGTAGAGCGCCTGTAAACAAAAAAAATAATTTAATATGACTCTAGAAGTGGAAAATTTGCTCACAATACATAGTTAAAAGAAATACATTCGCGACATCAGCTGCTTGCAATCCAAGACACAATTCATTCACGCAGGTCCAACTGATGCTTGATATGCGGGAACAACACCTAGCACATGATATAGAACCTGAAGAAAATTTAGTTCAGTTGTTATATTTGAGAAAGGGAAGCAAGTGGTAAAGAACCTGAAAAATTTAGAACAATTTCAGTCGTCACAAATAAAAAGTGGAAAGAAATGAGCACAATGTAATTGACACTATAACTGAACGAATGTACAGTGTAAAAACAGACAGGATTCAAGTCATTAAACTGATATTATCCGGAGTCTTGGAAGTGGCAGCATCGGATCTAGATGCATATACAGAATATGAAGCACATCACTATGAAGTTTGTCCGCTTTGATGACAGTAAAATTCGCTCCAGTATCTGGCAAGACAAAATCACAGGTCATTTAGTGATAGAATATACAAGTTAGAATGATGTCAACAGAAATGGTAAGGAACACGCCGGGAAAATGAATGTGAACTACAGGAAGTGGTCCTGATTTACAAGATACGGGTACACCATTTATAGTTGTCCTCATATGTTTTCCCAATCTTGTCAATTGATGGACGAAAATCAGATGAAGCATCAAGTTCATCAATCGCGGTCAAGCGCAGAGAAGTTGAAATTTCGAGAGCCCAGTTACACAGTGGCTGAACTGTACACCTTGCAAGCATCTCCAAGTTTTCAAAGGCTGCAGCACTTACAATAGGTGATCGCAGCAATGGATCCAAAAAAGTAGCCTGGTAAAGTGATACGGTGAGTGTAAGAGGTTAATCATAGAATTATAGGAGCCTGATATGCCAAAAGAATAATATTCATGTAAATAAACATAAGGAGTATCAGTGACAGTGGCAGAGGAATGAAAAATAATTGTTTCTGAAATCTATTCATTCACTTTATAGCATATGGATAAGTAAAACTGTTATGGAACAAAGCTTTTACATACCAAAAAGGTAACTGGCTGTGACAAAACACAGGATTGGCAAGACCCATCTCCCCAACGAAAGACTTTTTTGAGGCCTCCTCTTTGAGCATCAGTTCCCTTGCCTCTTCCTTTGCCGTTTTTCCTTTTTCTGCAATTATTAATTCGCTGAAGAATATATATATGCTGGGGCAAAATATTATTACTATAGAGTGCTTAATTCAGTAGATATGTACCAGCTTTCTTGGTCAACTTTGCAGTGTCCCTTCTCCCCAAATTTGTAGTTTCTCTACCAGCCAATCCTTTCTTTAGAGAATGATTAGAAGTCTACAACAAGCAAAAAGAAGAAGATGTTATTAGATCAAATATATACTAAAAGTGGAACCATATATCAAAATCAGCGGTATGGGAGTTATTTTTGGAGATAGTCTCAAATTCCCTATAGTTTAAAAATAAGTGACCCAACAGCCCTTGCTGCGACAGAACATACCTCGGGAATTGGATCCACAAGAACCTGAGAACTCCAGTGTTCAGTTAATAAACATCTTATGCAAGAGACAACTCATTATTTTGGTAAGAACAACAGTTTACCTTTCTAACCTCAGGAAGGAGCAATTCTATGTAACGAAACATATTATTTGGCTCTATCACCAAAGAACACATAGGACGAAGAATCTATGGCTTCGACTTGTTGCCGAGCAAGGTACTTCTCTCTTCTCTCCTTCTGATAGATGACACAAAATTTGGTGAATAAATGGGAGAAAGAAGGTATAACAATGAACAAACCAAATATTTTAAATGTTATATAGGTATAGTTATCTGTTACCCATTCGTCTATGACAAGACCCTCCCCGACCACTCGAGGCCCTGTCTCTGGGGGAGGCTTCTTTCTTGCTTCAACTGCAGCTTCAGCTTCATCCAATTGACGATTCATTTTCTCCAATGCCTGATTCATTACATCGTAATTCTCCTTATGAAATGTTCAAACTATAGAATTTAGAGTACATGTGGTCTAATCAGCATGAAAATCTACTTAAGAGCTTATAGCACTCGGGCGGTCCTCATCAATAAAAATGACCCGAAGAACCTGCTCCACTGCTACTTGATCCTTTTGCTCATCAAACTGCACGATAAACACCCAAAAATGCATCATCGATAGACTTATGCCTAAGACTCTCTAAGACGGAGATGAAAACCTATTTACCAGTTGCAATGTTTCAGCCTATAAGAGTCAAATTTGACTACAAATATACTCTAAGCGACTAAGATTGAATAAAATTGCCTCCAACAAATTGACTTTTATGTAAACTGATAAGATTTAGAAAGGACCGACTGATAACATACCAACTCAGGCACATACTCTACTCCTGGTTTAACTTTCAGGCTAATAATCTTAAACTTAACCTTTGCTCTTCTGGTTCAACTTCTATTTTTCATTGTTCTCTGGATGTTCCACAAACTTGAAAACTGCACTTGAACATAAACAAGAAGCAAAAATCAGAGGCTGTAATAAACTAGTTAAGAGTACAAAAAACCAAAGATTTCCAGAATCTCGTTACCAGTAGCCAAAACACCTCCGGGAGGACGCATATAACAACTCTTAGGTGCCGTTGTTTGGAACTAAACAAGAAGATACAGAGTGACTTAGATGGAAAAGCACCAATTATTATATCATTATAACTACATATAGAACAAACTAAAGTCAACAGAGAGTCAACTTCTCTGCATTTGCTTAACTTGTTCCCAAATAAGTATCAAATGCGAGAATCAAGAACCACAAATAAGGATACATAAAACTCCATTACCTTGAATGCAGTATGAGATTTGCTAGTATTCTTAAGCTTGATTGCGCTACACACTTGTTTACCAGGTTCATCTGAAATAAACACAAAGCACAAGTTCTAACTTCGTTATCTAAAAATGGAAATCCAAAACTCTAGAGCATCTTGGCACAAAATCACTTCCACAGAGAGCTTCTCTGTACAAAACCAATCAGAATCCAAAACCAAATCAAGAAATTTCCAGAGAACTAAACTTATTCGAAATCAAGCTAAATCGATGGCAGAAACTCTTAACAAAGAAGACGTACAAGGGAAATACAGATAACTTGAAGGATCTAGTCGGAGACGACGGCGAGCTGGAAGAAGTGATCTCGCGACGGAAGACATAGTCAAGGAAGGTGTAGAGACGGGGGAAACATCTGTATTCCGATGTCCATGGTGGCTACGGTAGTTTTGGTTTGGATTCTGTGTTGAAGACGAAGATGAAGAAGTGGTGCTTCACCTCTGCCAAAACGGACATAGCCTGAAGAGATTCTTCTCCACATTATTTAACTCTATGTAGAATATTTTTGGTGCCCCAATAGGCAGCACCACCGTGAACAGCTACAAAACCTCAGCAAAATATACATAAAAATATCCAAACACAAACTTGAATGGCTTCACAAGCCAACATGAACTCCAAAAGCAACACCTATACAATAAATTTTAAATACCATATTACCATATAAATAAAGTTAAATAAAATGCATAAGAAATACCTGTCAATTTAAGTGCTTCTTGCAAAGTGACTATAAGACCATATTTCTTCAAGCTAGAAATTCCAAAGCCCATAACTACTCCCGCAAGACCAAAAGCTGCTCCTCTACGCTCACCATATTTATCACTCTTCATTAGCTTATCCAAGAGCCTCAAAAAAATGGCAGGGGCATCCTCCTAACATAATTAGAGATAAATGACGATAGACATTAAGCTTCATCAAACCGACTGATATACTCCCCAAGCCAAAGCCACTAGGAACCAAAGGTATTATCAAAACTTGTATCGGTAAGATCTCAAAATTTGTAGAAAACATACTTGCTTTGATAGCACAAGTGGAGAAGGGCATGTTGAGACTGCTCGTTTCACAGATTCTGATGGTGTGTTCAACACCTCCAACAGCTTTTCCACAACATTATGGACTTTAGGATCATCCTGCCATCATTAGTGAATATATAAGATAGAGAAGAAAATCATGTGCACCGTGACAAGATTTAAACAAATGGTAGAGCTATCATTTTTGCCAAGTGCTTTTCTAGTGCTCCAGTGAATATAACAACACCCTCACGAACCAGGTCATATTCCTCTTCATCAGATGCCTACATGATAAGAGATGTGATGAAGGAGCTTGTTATAATCATGAAACAAACAATGTATCCAGCAGGTTTTAAATTGCGTGTAGAACAGCAATGAAACGTTTTCTTTGCCATGCTTATCAATAATCATGATACCAGCATTGATCCTCTTTCCACGAACATATGTGTTGGGATCAGCCTGCATATGAGAAAAACGCTCAGTTTCATACAATTTTCTGAAAGTCAAAAGCTTCAAGCTATAGTTTCTGAAAACAACATAAAATGTGGGTTTCTAGATGATAAATTGTGAAACCCAAATCCTTTGCAACATGGCTAAGAGGGGGAGGGTTCTTTTATTTGACAAGCATTCATCTGACAAGATGAGAAGAAATACCAGTGCGCGGGATATCAAAAAGGTCATAACAGCAGGAAGGTCCTCTGTTGTCAGCAGCAGATTGCAGTGCTAAGGTTATTCCTTGCCTTCCTATCCAACCAGCATCAAAGACATCCTCACCAGACATAGCATCACGAATGTACAGATAAAATAAAGTTGAAAGAGATAGCGGCAAAACCAATTAATCTTTAAAACCCATACTTATGCAACAAAAAGTAATAATTCAAGAAATGCGATGACCTGGATTAAAACTCTACAACAAGCAATAAGAAGAAGATGTCATTAGATCCAATATGCTAAAAGTGGACTCATGTTTCAAGTGTAAAACAGAATAAGTAGAATAAACCCATGTAAGTACCGGCTCCTGCTTTGTGTACTTGGCACCAATCGTCTGAGCAACATAGATACCTTGCTCACTTAAAAGCATTCCCTCAGGTGTATGAAAGATCTGAATAAAAGCATTAAAAAATAATAGTATTCACTACTCAAAACTTGCAGCTGAAAAGTAATACTACCCATTGCACTCATAGTAAAATGTTAGAGCTCAGCAAGTGTCTACAATGAGAGGAAGAAAATGCATACAGTAAAAGTGAGGAGATTTACCTTAATGTCAGTCTCTGAAAGCATATTATGAGACAGTCGATCTGGAAGGTCTTGTAGATGCTACAAAAATTAAACATAAGACATCAGGAAACAAGTTAAACCGTACAATATCTTTGATTAGTAAAACAATTTCCTTAAAATACATATACCATCTTAAACACTGTGAATGTAACCTCTGGTGCAAGAGACATCATGGTGGACAAGGAATATACTGCCGCTTGCTGCTCAGGAGTTTTAGGACTCATTAAACCCATTGGTCCAAGTAGACTCTGAAACAATCATACAAATCAATAGTTGATTAGTAATGCAAGGAAACAATAAAAAACCAAGTTTCGCACATATAAGTCATTGACAGTCGTGAGATTACCTTGCAAACACTTTCCACATTGGTAGCAAAAAAGTAGCAACATCAAAACCACAAGTGTTGAGACACTTTTCAGTAGTGATGGAATAATAGTACATTCTTTCATTTTCTAACCTGTACATTTACTAATACTCACTAAAAACCCAAGCATTGCAACATTTATAATAGGCTAGGAGGATGAGAACATTGGTTACCAAGTAAATACTAGCCTACATGTATTACAAATTCAAGAGTAACAATAATGGCACCTACTGGCTTAAAAAATCTAATCAATCTACGGATCATGTTAGGTCAACATTAAATAATCTAGTTAACCATGCCAAAAAAAATCAGAGAGCAGCATATATAGTGTAAATTTATACGCTGTATCATGGTGCTCCACCAGTATATGGCCAGCCCCCAGGGCTGCATCATGAACAGATTCATTCTCATCGGCAAAACCTAAAACATCAATGAGTCAAAACTAGTTCAGAAGTTAAAGGTCTGCCAAAAAGTAATAGGTTTACCATCCAGAATGGCCGGTAAAACAAGCTGCAAGTACTTCTGGAACTGAGCAGCCAAGGATCTTGGCAAGAACTGCGAGTAACAAACAAAAGCTTTTAGAATTTTTCACAAAACTGACATTTGAGGAACATCTAAGGAGCAACTGGATTCACCTTGAAAAGTGTAAGTTATCCATCTCGGACTCATGCTTTTTGATGAGAACAATGACGAATGAGGTCAGGGAGTATATTTTCAAAGTAATCTGTCCCAAGAGCTGCTATAACAAAAGGAGAAAACGTTTACATACCAAGAGTAAAACTGTTATGGAACTAAGTAACAAAGCTTTTACATACCAAAAAAGGTAACTGGCTGTGGCAAAGCACAGGATTGGCAAGACCAATTTCCCCAAGGACATGAAGCACCAACGAAAGACTTTTTTGTATCATGTGAACAATTTCCCGTGTTGAGGCCTCCTCTTTGAGCATCAGTTCCCGTGACTCTTCCTTTGCCGTTTTTCCTTTGTCTGCAATTATTAATTCGCTGAAGAAAATATATATGCTGGGGGCATAATATTTTTAATATAGAGTGCTTCGCTAGATATGTACAGTGTCCCTTGGTCAACTTTGCAGTGTCCCTTCTCCCCAAATTTGCAGTTTCTCTACCAGCCAATCCTTTCTTTAGAGAATGATTAGCAGTCTACAACAAGCAAAAAGAAGATGTTATTAGATCAAATATACTAAAAGTGGAACCATATATCAAAAATAGAATAAACCCCATGTAAGTATCGGCTCCAGCTTGTGTACTTGGCACCAATCGTCTGAGCAACATAGATACCTTGCTCACTTAAAAGCATCGCCTCAGGTGTATGAAAGCTCTGAATAAAAACATAAGAAGTAAAAGTATTCAAAACTTGCAGATGAAAAGTAATAACTACCCATTGCACTCTGTATGAAATGTTAGAGTAGAATGTTAGAGCTCAGCAAGTGTCTAAATAGATATAGTAAAAGTGAGGAGATTTACCTTAATGTCAGGAAATGCTTACTCCATAATCTACTCAAAAAATAGATATAGTAAAAGTGAGGAGATTTACCTTAATGTCAGTCTCTGAGAGCATATCATGAGACAGTTTATCGGGAAGATCTTGTAGATGCTAGAAAAATTAAACATGAGACATCAAGGAACAAATTAAACGGTACAATCTCTTTCATTAGTAAAACAATTTCTGCATATATCAGAAGGTGTATACCACAATTTTTGATACACTTTTGCAATCTCTGCATATATCAGAAGGTGTATATCACTATTAAAAATTGCAAACAAAAGAAATATGGGTAAGTAGAATTAACCATGTCGAATGACCAATGTCAAGATTACCTTCCAAACATCTTTTCTTTTTCCAGTACCAAGTACGCTGGGATGATGCGAGCAGAATATGGCTCGAACAATCCATGAGCTTGGAGGTCCAGTAACTACTGCCGATGAAATGACAATCAAAGCCTTCACTAAAACCTCTACAGAAGGGACGAAAGAAACTTGATGATCCACGAAATTATCTGCGTCACTGCAGAGGTGCCAAGTTAGTTCCTAGAATGAATAAGTCGTTATTGGCATTTAGGTCCAAACCTTTCTAAATGTGAAATGAATCAAACTGTTAATAAAAAGCCAAGATCAGAGAAATTATAACATCAGAGCTAACTAAACACAAAACTGGCAGCAATATACCTAGTGGCTTGGTAGGATGAAATAATAATACAAAAAGAGCTTATAATTTGTACCTGGTTCTAGAAGAAACAATTTGGTCCCCAGTTATGAAAAGAAAATCCGAGAACTCGTCTAAAAGTGTAGTGGCTAGCTGTGAAGTTGCGAGGAAGATCTTTGTAACAGAATTGTAAGCTGTTTTACGAACATTCCAGCTTGGATGGCAAAGTAGAAATTGAAGCAACTGCATAGAAAAGAGATGAAACATAAGTGCAGAACAGGGAGAAACGGGTCAAAACACATGAACTAGCTTCGGCTACCTGTTATAGTGAAGTAACTGCATAGAAAAGAGACGAAACATAAGTCCGGAACAGGGAGAAACGGGTCAGAAAACATGAACTCATTTAGGCTACCTGTGATAGTGATTTAAATGAAAATGCTTCCAAAACCCTGAAATCAGGCAGGAGAGATAGTTAAAACTTCTACAAACAGTCAGACAACGAATCTCACGTATTATGCAGGAGGTTTACCTGGAGGAGTGTTCCACAAGGAGCACCGTAAGAAGGTCGACACATACTACACAATCATCACTTGAAAGTTTTGAGGCCTTTCACTTATGACATGCAAAGATAAGAAAGAAAACGAAGAAAAATGCAGCAGAGCAAAAGGTAAGTACCTTGCCATGGCAAGAGCAGATCACAGAGAAAGTACCAGAAGATATCAAAGTCACATGGGATAGAAAGAATGAAGAAGCAAGACCTTTTGGGTTTGTTAGGGTCAACATCTCGTTCTTCTTCTTGTTTTTTGTTGTCACTTCGTCTTCTGCAAGAAACTGAATTAGCCCTTCAATGTTTTCTTACTACTGGCTAAAGACTTATGAAGTAAGTTAGTAACATTTATGATAGTTTTGATTTTCTCCTTCTTCTTGAGAAATTGGAGAGCTTCTTGTTTATGGAGTTTCATGAGTTTCTCATCTTCTTTATCAGGCTCATGGCTTCTTCATCATAAATCCTTTTTATATTCTTCTAACAATATATCATCCAACAACTGTTTTACATGTTACATCAGATTGATCAACCACTAATATCGTTTTAACGTTTTATACTTTCGTATAAGTTAGGGACCATACCTTAATAGCTTGCCCGTCTTCTTATATAATTACTTGATTCAAAAAGCTTTGAGTTGTAGTCTGCGAAAAACTGTAAACCAAATATTTTGAAATTATACTAGTCTGAAGCAAGATCTTAAGAGCATAAATTATAATGTACTTAAGTCTGAAATGTGAATTTTACCTGGAGATTAGTGTCAGGGGGTCCATTGTTGCTATTTTGGGCCAAGGATTCTCTGATGTACTTGAGTCTACTTCCAAGTACAAACCATCTTTCTGATCTTCTCTCTATAGAATCACGGAGTAGATGTTAAGAGCAATTAGAGACGTTACACACATGTAAAAGCTCTATTATCCTCCAATTCAAGGGTGTGTCTGAATAGTCTTGTATCGGGTTCATCGTTGTGTCCTTGAAACTCTTTGTTGAACTAAAGGCCAAGAACTTCTGTTCCATTTCCTCCATCTGCCTACATGACAGTTAAATGACATGAAGTTAGGTGATTGACGAAAACATATTCTGGTTGAACCGCACGGGTAAATCAAAACTAACTGAGTGATGAATGTTTTGCTTGTCATTTTATTTGAGGAGCATTCTCCTCTGTTCTGTCCAGGTTTATTGAAGTTCTACCACCTTTATTGAAGTTCTACCACCTTTATTGGCTCTTCTTCATTGGCGGATGGATACTGTCTCACTGGTGTTCATACTTCATCTTGCTCAATAATGTTTAATACTCGAAAAAAACGCAGGAAAGGAAAAGGGATTATGGAGTGTTTACCATATATGTTCCTGAGATCTTTAGGTAGTCGTGTCGCCAGAACTGCAAAGTACTCTTGTCACTAAAAATAGGAGTTTATAGATATCAAGGCGATTAAGTCTCTCTTAAACAACCTGGAAGATATGTTTATATATGTTATGTTCATAGCCGGCAATTATGTTTGGAAGCTTCCTTTCTTTCAGCAGAAGGATCATCAAGATCAAGCTTGGCTATAAGTTCACCAGCCTGTCAAAAAAACATACAAAACTGTAGGAAACCAATTTTTGATTAGCAGTGGAGCGGTTTTTCACCTGCATTGCTTGTCCTTCAGAAGTTTTGAAATGGATAACTCTTGACGCAAGTGAGAGAAGTGGCATGCAGATCTTCATGACCTCACCTGTTGTTTGTAGTAAACAAGTTCTTCTGTCAATGAGAAGACAGATTACCGTCCAACTGAAATGACAGTGAAAACCAACCAAGGAGGTGAGATTCTCTAAAATCACCTTACTGGGTGACACATCTTTCTGTTTAGTAGTATGAAACAAAATCAGAGAATTTTCATTCATCTACAGACCTTCATGTATTTCTGATACAACTTCTAAATTTTTCAACTTCTAGTTCTGTTCGGGCTAGTGAGCCTTGGTAAAACTACATGTTTAGTGCTTTGATATTATACGCATACCGTATATTTACTTCCTGTGATATTCAAAGACACTTGAGAATGCACAAGAGATATATGCTGCAATTTAAGAGAACAAAACTAAGCTACAAAATCAATACGATAAATACAAAAGAGAGTGATGATATTAGATTACCTCTGGAGGAATTCCTTACTTCTCAAGACATAACGTAATCCAAAACCACAGAAGCATTGGTCATGGATGCTTTCTGAAGAAATAGAATATCTCGTCACAAGATAGGAAACTTTCCAAGAAAAATAGATATCTGAGAAAGAGGGTCTTACATAGAGTGCTCCACCGATAACAGCCGGATACCATGAAGGCCTCTCTGCTCTGACCCGCATAGCAATCTTACTTGATGCAAATTCTATCCTGAAATCTAAAAGCAGGGGAGGTCTACCATCTTACTTGATGATCTTGTAGTTTGAAATTGGATAGAAATATAGAATAATTAAAATGGAAAACAGGAACCTACCATTATCTCACATTCTAATGTAGGATTTCGTGGAGATATTCTAGAGCAGTGAGCTTAGTTTGTGTTGTATTCTCAGAGTCCCCTGTACTGCACACCCTCAGCTTGAGGTATTGATGTTCCATCGGAACCTGGACAAAGACATATTAATATATGGTAGTAAAATAACATCTACGCTTTCTGTAAGTCTAACAAGTAAATATAACAGACATTTTACTCTACTGGGTATGTTGATAGTGTCTCTTTTTCTGGTGCGGCTTGCTCTACTTGTCGTGTAGTTGGACTACCTCTTTCTTTAGCTGTAAGAAATGGGATAGATCATAAGTCATAACTCAAACCTCCAGAATACTATAGATCAATTAGATTGTGAACAAGAAAATAAATAAATGCAGGGAGAAATTTTAAGTGTAACTGCAATACCAAAGAAGATAGTCATAATAGTGAGTTCATGGTACAACCTATTTCCTAAGATCTTAACATGGTGAGCTACCTAACAACCTTAAGGTCCTTCCAGTTGTGCCGGAAACGACCGAAGCCTAACCAGCACTTCTCAACTGACATTCCAGTTTGGCCAACTCCCTCTGCAAATACAAAGAAATTTACCGGATATGTAAAAAGAATGTAACAAAAGCATACAGAGACAGAATCGATTAAATCTAACAAGGAAAACTCTATCACAACCATTAAATCTAACAAGATTAACTATATCTCGTCCACATATGTATCTTAAGCACAAGCATTCAACATCATCAATCAATCTTATACCTCCACATGCCAACAAAGATCTCAGTCCGTCTCACTAGCAGAAACTAAAACCTGAAGAGAGAAAAACAAACCTTAAGAACTCGACGTGGGCACCATCAAGCTGTCTAGTTCACTTACCAACCCAAATCATATGAGTATAACAATCGTTGCAGAGACCACGTTAATGATTGTTCATAAGACAAGGGCAAACAGTCATAAGAATTCTAGAACTTGGTTGTTTGATTATGGATGATCCAGCGTTAGTCCAGCAACGTGCATGAAACCGAGTGAATTAGGCTAATCAGATGCTAAAAAGGTGAAAAAACCATTAACTATTTTGCATCTTCTAGACACAAACAATCAGCATCAAGCTTTGTGGCAAATAAGCGATCCAATTTCAAATCTTTATTTGTTTTGTTACCTATCTCCTCGGTCACTTCGTTTAGTGAAATCAAGATTTGAACTCTCTGCGTAGTGGCTTAACCACCAGTGTCAAAGCTCTGATCATCCTCTGAAGATAATGAATCCTCGACTTTGCATCAATCGATTGATGTTATCCCCTTTGAAACGAATCGCGAATTGACCTAAAACTCAATTCTCTTAGAATACAAATTCCAAAAATTTCTTAAAAACTAATCAAATCTCAATTGACATACCTCCGAACATCTAAAGAAGAACCCAGAAAGTATTGTTATAGCGTTGAACACGATCGTGACTCGTCTTCTTCTTCCGCATGATCTCGTCTTTTCTCCGTCAGAAAATCCACCGTCTTCTCCTTCTCGTTCTTCATCTTCTTCAACATCGCCTCCTACTCCACTAGATCGTTCTCCAACGACTTCGTTTCTTTCCCCTTCGCTGAGATCGGCTACAACGGAGGCTCGACGATCTAACTTTTCTGCTTCAACGCTTCTCAATTATTTCGCCGGAGATGGAGATGTTAAAATTTGGTAGAGCGTCTGAGAGCCCAACGGTCAGAATTCGAAATCCAAAACTGAGACTTTTGTGAATTTAAAAGACTCTTGGTCTCCAAGGCTTACGCAGAGTTATATCACTCGTTTCGATTTTGCGTTTTTGACCGTTTGAAGAGTGTTTCTTCAACCCTTAAACCAAAGCAAATTTACATAACCAAATTTTCATTAAACCGACTCCATAAAAAACTATAACCGTTGTTTATTAAAATCGATCTGGTTTAATTGAAGGACACATGTCCTTTGATCTCTAGCGCCTTGTTGGGGATTCTGTTCTGTATCATTTACCCATAAGCTCAATCCAACAATCAGAATCATTCCTTCGCTTAATGTAGCTGCTGATCTTCTCGGCTTCTTCTTCGTCAAATCGTGGACTGGGTTCTTGTCTAAATTTGGGTTTTCACCTAAACCCTTTACTAAGCAAGAGAACACTGTTATTCAGACTTGCGTTGTCTCCTGCTACGGTCTTGCTTATAGCGGTAAGAATCGTTACTTGCTTGCAAATGGGTTAATAGTAATCTTCCTGATTTGTTTACTTTTAGTTTCATGTGTGTTGATGATGAACAATGGGTTTGATTTTGAAGCTGTTTCTATATTCATTATGAGTCAGTGTCAATTGTTAGTCTCTGTTGATAAATAGTGTTTATGGTAAGAATCAGGTAACTTTATCAACAGGATTCTCCATTAGCTTAAACCACAATTTGGATAATCTTGTTTACGTGAGAGAATCATTCATAATACTAAGTTATTCTAGCTACTGTGCAAGTTTAATACGGATGATACTAACTTTGGATCCACTTGATGACTTTGTTGAAGGGAGCTGTAGCTGTTCCAGATTGATGATGATCAAGTGTGGTTTTTTAGTCTTCTTATAGTGATATTCTTGGATTCTTGTTTTTCAGGAGGATCCACATAGCCCAATTCCACATAGTCTTCCCAAAATCAGATGAATAGCCCAATTCCACATAGTCGATATGCAGCAGATGCACATTGATGGCCTCTGACACATGGTGTTCCAAGCCACCTTCATGGCTACAAACTTGAAAGACTCTACATTTCTGGATAATAAGATGAATCATGCCCATCTCTTACTTATGCCTTGGAGCCAAAGTTGAGCCACACACGAAATTGAATCAGCTTCAGCCATTTTTTTCTCGGTAGAACTTTGGTAAGGCATTCATTTTAGTGTAGTTTACTTATAGACATAGCTAGTCTAGGGAGATTTGTTGGGGATTGTTGCTTTGTTTGACAGCTTACCAACTGAGTTGGATTTTGAAAGGAAACTAGGGGAAAATGTTAAATTTGCTAAAGAATGAAGGAACTCACTTGTTTTTTTTTCAAACTTTAGACTGCTTTTATTCTTGCTTCTGACTCTGTTTAGAGCCTCTTGCTCGTTGTAGATTGATTTTATTTTGTGACTATATATGGCTACATTATGGTTATTAGGTAGGGGTGCCTACATAGCATAGTCAATGGGTAAAAATCCAGAGTCATCGTCATGTTTAAACTAGTCCAAAAACCGCAAAGAGCAACACTTCTGCTTTAGTTGTATCGTTGAAATGGTAAGGATTAGGAGAATCTTGATAGGTTTGAGCTGTCTTGTATTTTTAGATTTGTATTAATGTAGCAAAGTTGAGGTTTAGGCGTGGAAGGTTTGACCGTGTATCAGGGAAGGTTTCAAGAAAGGAAGAAGTTGAAGAACAAGAGCATAGATTAATCGTCAGGTTGTTTCTGATACATAGAAACTTGAAAGGGTAAGAACAATCAAGAAATAGAAACTGATCTTGTTTAGTTCATGCTTGTTTTGTTGTCCTAAGCAGAGATAAACACTAGTTTTGTTAATTCACTTCACTCGTAAATTTTTACGTCAAATCTATCATCTTGTAACACTTGCTTATTTCATTGAATGCATAACTCTTTCTTTGAGTGTTTGTCTCATGCTAGTCCGAATTTGAAAGCTTAAGGCCGCCGAATCCACTATCATTTTATATAATTTTTTTTTCAAGTTAAAAATGTTCCATGAACATACAAAACTCAGAAATATTGACTCTGTTATTTGGTTACAAACTTTTTTTTTTGGTCAAAATTTGGTTACAAACTAAATAACCAAATAACATCATCAAAACACGAGTTGTTTCAATGACTTCACCAACCATACATGAATCTTTCGTTTCATTTCGCTCTCATTCCCATATTTTCATGTTCATTAACAAAAACTGCTGTTGGTAATAAAAAAATTCAGCAGAATTTGAACTATGAAATGGAGATAGTGGTCGAGCGAGAAAGAAAATCACAAAGCTAGTATAATCCAACAGTTACACCAATCCGTGCGTTGTTTCTATATTTTCATGGTAAAAAAGAAGTTGTTCTAGTAATTGGAGTATAAACACATTTATTCTGGTGGCAAGCTTTGCAATATGAGAAGCTTAACTTGAATCAGAATTCACCCACACAACTGCAAGAGTCACAAGAGAAGCATAGATTGAAGTAGGCAGCTTCTGCACAACTTTGCCAACTCCCGGGACACCTTCCGTGGCCTTCTTCGTCGCAATAGCTACAGTTGGAGCCACAATCAAAGATATGATCAAACCCTGACTCACCACGTTAAATGTCTCAGCCGTAATCTGCTCAATAAACTTCACAAACTCATCCCTATCAATTTCTCCATCCAAGTTGATATCGCAATCCTGTTAGAAGAACATCACACAAACAATATGAGCAATCAAATTTACCAACCTCTCGGAGTTTCTTCCTGAGTTTAATGCTTTGCAGAAGTCAGCTCTTCCTGCACCCGAGTTGAAGATGAACTGTAAAAGGCGACAAAAGCTCGTGTAAACTCTCTATTTCCACTGTGGTTGAACTTTCTTTGTTGCCAATTGAATCTGAAGGATTGTGTTGTGTGTTTTTAGATTGACGGAAGGGGAAAGATTGAATAAGGTTCTAGACCATCCAGCTTTTCAAGCTGATCCAATTGGTTCGATATCTCAGCATTTGCAAAGTCAACAGCCACCGGAGGAAGAGAATCCGAAGAAGAAGACTAACACAAATGGAAGCAAGAAAAGGAATAAGAAAAAATGAAAGGCTGAATCCATGGATTTCTGATCTTGTCCTATAGAGATAAGTTTACTTATGTTTTGTTTTGTTGTTTTGTTATAGTAGTAACAAAAAACATGAGTTTGGGAATGAAGAATCTTCAAATTTGATCCTTGTTATTGTGCAAATGACACAAATTTTTCATAAACCTATAAAATGTGCTCGAATCACCAACACAAATCATCTCATTAATCACACCATTCAAGAGAGAAACCTAAATTTGTAAACTTATTTTATGGTTTCAAGCTAAATCTTCTGTGGAACACAAGGGATCACGAGATTGGTTCACTGATCTCCAGGAGTTCATTGCTGAGTCCTGTAAAGATGAGAGAGTCTGTTTCGATCGGTCTGAACTTGATGAACGAGGAATTAGAATAAAGGAGGAGAAGAAATAGGGAATTGCCTCATATTAGATCAGTTCACAAGGGGAAGCGATCAAGCACACAACTTCACGGTGACGATCAGTAGCATTACCAGAGATGCTTTGATGCGAGAGCAAGAGAAGAGACCTTTGATCAGAGTTTCGAGAAATGCTCAGCTTTTACAACTCCGTTCCCTGTGACAACAACCAGAAGCTCTAATGGATAAGTTTGTATCTAAGTTTTAGAGATGCAAACACGAAGAGATTCGGTTTGAAAACAGATTCCTAGAGTGACTTAAAAAGTTTTCAAAATTAAGCAAATCACCTTTCAAAATAGAGTTGAAGAACTTTTTGCAGCATAGCCAATAGCCCAGGTTTGTCTTTATCTTCTTTTTCCTGTTAATACGCTGATGGGCGTGTTTGTTTCTTAGTCGCTCAAGGAGCGACAACGACAAATAAAATACACTGTTCCGATGGAACTTAATAACTCCAGCGACTAACTCGACGGTGAGGACTGTGATTTTTCAGCGACTGTGCCAGCTCAAATTGGACGCTGCGACTGTTCCAGCTCAGTTTTCTGGTCGCAGCGTTTTGATTTTTGAAGTAGAATTTAAAATAGCTTTACTTTTTAACTGTTACGGTGAAAGACATAAAGCATTTACACCTTTATTTTTTTCTGTCGCTGTCGCTTCTTGAGCGACTAAGAAACGAACACGCCCGATATCAGTAACCACGACTATATCACATGAAGACATCCAAAACTAGATATCCACAAGGGATATCTGAGGCATGCAGGTATACAAAACAAAAGTGATGATGTCTTGTTCAAAGGAAAGTGAAGAAGAGAACAGTTGTGCCGATCTTACTGCAAATAAACCTTCTTCTTCTACTCTTTATTTTGTTTATTTATCTTTTAGACTTAGGAATTTTAGGATTTTGGAATCAGAAGTTGTGTGCCTATATCTGTGTTTTTGAGGCTTCTCGATTGTGTTTAGGTTACGACAATGAATTCCAGAAACGTATCGCGTTAGGCCTAACACTGGAATTGTTTCATCTGAGGTCCACTTTTGAAGTTCTTGGTTCGTTCTCTGATCATCAGTTCTGTTTTGTTTATTGTATCTTTGATTATTAATGGAGAGTACAGACTACAGAGCAACTCTTCTTAAAAAAACATTGATGATACAATTAAAGAAGATTGAACAATCGAGCTAATGCCTAGAGAAGCATATCTTTCTTCCCCAATCTCTACTAAAGGTAAATTTACTCATTGTATCATTGAAGGATCTACATGGTTTTGTTAATACCGAACTTTAGGTATTAGATTGATGGCTTCAGGTTCTCTTGAAGGCCCTGAAATCTCTTCCACTGACGAAGAAGAAGAGACGATGAAACCACAAAAGAAGAGAGGAAAGAGAAACCCGAGTCTTGTTATTCACAACACAGTCAACTATTGTCACCACAGTTGTAGCTAACTCCTCATAGACCTTGTGCAAGAAACAAACCACCCACGAAGCATTAGAGGAAACAAAAGGGCTTGAAAGTCTGCTCTATCATTGATATAAACAATAGAAACCCATGCCTTATCATCTTCTGATTTGCAAGTATCCGACCTAGCTGAAAGTCTTATCCAAATCAAAAGCAAGTATATTTTCAACAACAATCTTCTCAACCTGTTCAATGCAAATGGCAGCAACAAGAGAGAAAAAAAAAATCAATTCCTTAAGAAAAGATAACAAAACACAAAATTGAGTTTAAAAACACCTTGCTCATATAGATGCTAACGGCCTCCTTGAATTGGCCAGTCATCGCCTGCCACGCGTCAACTCCACACTCGCCTAATTGCAACTTGACTTCACTTCGCACGTGTCTCCCCACACGTGTAATGCTATATCATACTAATTACCTTGGCTTCTAATCGAATCCTGAGAACAGAGAAAGCTTCCATAGACTCGAAGATACGAAAGCCCTTCAATTTTAAACCCTAATCTCGCTCTCTTTCTCTCTCTCGTCCGAATCAAATCCGATTGTCGTGGTGGGAGGAGAAGCGAAGCCCTAATTTTTCTCAGACGCCGTTCGTACTAGTTTGGGACCGAAAGAAAAGGACAAGATGATTTCCACGGCGAACGGCGAGGTAATCATTACTAACGATGGAGCTACGATCCTCAACAAGATGGAGGTTTTGCAACCAGCGGCGAAGATGTTAGTCGAGCTTTCCAAATCTCAAGATTCAGCCGCCGGAGATGGGACTACAACCGTCGTCGTAATCGCCGGTGCGCTTCTCAAGGAGTGTCAATCGCTTCTCTCAAACGGGATCCACCCTACTGTCATCTCAGACTCGCTTCACAAGGCTTGTGTTAAGGCGATTATATCTTGACGGCCATGGCTGTTCCGGTGGAGCTCACTGATCGAGATTCACTTGTTAAAGCTGCGAGCACGTCGCTTAACAGTAAAAATATTCAACGAACAACACAGAGAAAAATAAGTTAGTGAAGGTAAAAAAAACTTAGTTAAAAAAAGGGAACAATTCTACTTAGCCGCAAAAAGGAAAATAGAATAGTTTCTAAATTCTAAAGTAGTTGTCCTATGTATAAATAGTCATTTAAAACATGAGAGAACGATAAGGCGTCTTCTGGGACATCGCGGTTTTACCAATCCCAAAAAATCTCTCGAATTATCACAAAATTTAATCAACTCTTGTGGTAAACGGTTAAAATGGGGAAGTGTCAACCTGACTTTTAGGCCAAAAATATATTATTCTATAATTGTTTGATTAATAGCAAAAAATTTACTAACTAAGAGAAACACATGTATGCCCATATATTTACATATTTTGGTAGTTTTAGTTTCTAATATTTTTTCAAAATATTTTTATAATTGCTTTACTAATAGCAAAATCTTTAATAATATAAAACAAGTAAGAGAAAATGAGGCATGATATAATAAAAATTTAAATAACAAATGATACTAAAAATATAATTAAATCAAAAACAAAAAAAATTGAGTAGTTTTGCATCACTAATGTCAATATATAGTTACTTAAATGATTAGTAAGCCAGAAATCTCTTACTAATAAAAGGAACTAATTGAGGCCTCTTAGGCCATCCACATCAGCAATGGAGAGGTTTTCTAAGAGGATGCCATGTCAGCAAACATATGAAGTCAGATTGAAAAGCGAATGACGACGATTTGCATTTTCGTTTGTTTGTTTATGGACCCATTTCAAAGCCCATCAAAAAGAAACATTAAAGTGTCGCCGTAGCACTACATCTTCAATGGACCCATAATGAGTTAATGACATTGACCAACCAAAACCTTTCTTCTTCCTCTCCTTCATCAGTTAAAGCACTCGCACGTTTGCAGATATGTATTTTCAAGTCATTTGTTAAGGCATTAACTTTTTATCTCCTAAGATCTCACTCTAAATTGTCCTTTTCTCTCCCTTCTTCTCTCTCCTACAACAGTCTTCTTCACAAACAGAAATCTGAATCGGATCGAATAATTCGAAATTGGTAGCCGGAAGAGTGCGGGAACGCTCTACATCCTAGGTACATCACTTCCTCTCATCCCTTTCCCTGCAAAATCTCTTTTTTTCCCTTTGTATTTACACACATATACGTTCTAACCCTTCGACTTCTATTTGTGTCGAGCAATGGTTAGGAGGAACCTGTGACACTATACCAAAAAAAAACAGCAACAAAGCCGTTAATCGAGCTGGTAGCTGGTTCTGTGACACATGGTTATAACTTATAAGCAATCCTCAAAAGGTACATCGATTCTCTTCGTTTCTCTTAAGGATACATCGATTGTCTATACATTTATGCTTTCTTTTTGTTTTTTGGGTTTTTTCCCCCACATTCCTACCTAAATTGTGTTTCATGTGTTTCTGTTACCCGCCTTCTTATTATACAAATACGTTATTTAGGTCTAAGCTTTGGATCCCTCGATGGAACAAAGAATAACCCAATGGCTTCACTCCCCAAATCAACAATTTCAGAAATTCAATCGTCCAAAGGTTAGATCATCAGTTTTTGTATTCTTCTTCAATCTCCCCTAAGTACATATTTGGACGTTTTCTCCACCACCTTTTTCTTATTTGTTTCACGGTTTCAGATTCCATATATGAGCAGAGGATATCAAGAGTGTTCTTCAGTTCAACCTTAGTCATAAGAGCATTGAATCCTTGACATACAAAGAGGACGATGTTTTAACGTAGATACCCGCACATCTCTGTTGGAAAAAAAGGTTTCTTCTCTTTTCCTCTTTTATGCAACGTCAAGTTGTACAAGTATAGTTATATTTAAACGTTTTTATAGAGTTGAACCCTCTACTTTCTCATACATTGCCGTCTTAGTTGATCCAACGGCGGGTTGATTGATGCCATTTTTAACACTCTTGCGTTCTTGTATAAAACTCAACAACATTTGATAGAAAAAAATCGCGTTATTGTACAATGTGTTTAGTGACCGGCTTTGTTTTGTGTTAAAATATTTTAGAGTGTTATTGTACAAAGTGTTTAGTGACCAGCTTTGTTAGTCGTGTATATTGGTTCAGTAAACAAACAAGCAAAGGTTATTAGAATGATAAATGTCCTATGCTTTATTCGCTTAACAAACAATCAAGAATATTAGAATATTGATAAAAAAAACAAAAAAAAATAATTACGATTATTAGAGTACTGGTGTTTCCTTGGAGATTCCAATTATTATACATAATTAATTGTTCTAACATACAATTTCAAGTATATGATATCAACTTATAAAAATTTGGTAATTTGTTTTATCTACCTAATAATTCTTTTTGGATATGTTAATCTATCATGTAATTGAGTTAGTCATCATATATTTGGTAAATTATATCAATTTGTTTTTAAAATGTCAACTTGGTAGCTTCCCCACCTTTCTTTTCTTAAAGTAGAAAAAAATGCCTCTACATTAACTTGGTAGCTTACTCAACTATGTTTACTAACTCAAAATTTCAAATGTTAAATATATACATATCCGGGCGTAGCCCGGAGTAACCCCTAGTATATATTAATAACATTTGATAAAAACGATATATAAATAATGTAATCACTCTTCTTATGTCCACTGATATAAGAGATGTGAAATTAGAAATTTCAATTATTTTTAAGTCGTGTTGAAAAGTTAGTGAAAAAATGAAAAATCAACTAGTTAAAAAAAAAAAGAATAAAGAAATAAAACGGATTTTAATTCCTTTTATTTTTTTGGACTTGTAACTTGGAACCCTTGTTTCGTTTTCTTTCCTCGATCTTCTTCTTCTTCTTCCCCAATCTCTTCTTATTTGGTGAGCTTTTTAGATCCTCGTTTCTGGTTCTTTTTTGCTCATTGTTTGTTTCCGAGGTTTAAAAATTCCTTAAATTCGTTCAATTCCTCGATTGAAGATACCTGAAAATCGCGATTGTTCTAGGTCCGCCGCTGTTTGGATCTGCAAATTCCCTTCGAATTTGATATATTTTTGATTCAAATTCGTCGGAGGAGCGAAGATGAGCGCGAAAAAGCTTGAAGGTTCGTCGGCTCCGGCGAATCGACGGGATCCCTACGAGGTTCTTTTTTTATTTAAGGACGCTAATGATCAAGAAATCAAATCCGCTTACAGAAAATTAGCTCTCAAGTAAGCCAAAATTTCTTAGGGTTTCTGGTTTGTTATATATGAAATCTGGAATTGGTCCTATTTGAATTGTATACTGTGTCTATGAATTCCATTGATATGTGAAGAATCTTCTATGTCATGCTTTTGACTTTGTTGAAGATCCTTCTGTGTATATCTATTGTATCCTAATGACTTTACATTATTGGATCCAATACAATTGATAGGTATCATCCGGATAAGAATGCGAACAATCCTGATGCTTCTGAACTTTTCAAGGAAGTTGCATTTTCTTATAGCATTTTGTCTGACCCTGAAAAGAGAAGGCACTATGACAATGCAGGTTTTATGTGTTGTGTTAGAATCAAAAGAGTTTTCTATAGAGAGTGAATGTTGTATGTGTGTTTTTTTTGTTACAGCCTGGGATTGTTCAGCTTGGTAATGTACTTATGCATTATTTCTTGAGGAACGGCTTGAATGCTTCAGGGTTTTAATATATGCTTGAATGCAGAACGTCTTCCGAAATCTACCCCAGGGTAGGATAAGGTATCAAATGTTGGTTTACTCTTTTTTTTTTTCTTGGTGTTCATACCTCTTTTTCTTTTCTGATTGTTTCGATTTTGCATATTGCGGATGGCCAGGGGTAGAGTAGAACCAGGGATTTAGATGGTGAAGAACTCTTGGAGCAGTTGCCAGCTTTACAGCAGCTTCTCTATCGTCTCATCGGTTGCAGGGTACTTTTTCTGATGTTATTAGTTTCTGTTGTTGATAGTTTGTGACATTGTGTTGTGGCTGCACTTGCTAATCAATGAACTGCACTTACTTTTTTCAGCCAGAAGGTGCTGCTAACCACAATCATGTTATTCAATATGCACTTGCTCTGGTACGTAATAAATTCTCCCTGGTCCTAGGATTAACATTTCCACAACTGGACACAGTTGTTGGTGTCTTGCTCTGCAAAAGCGAAGCTCGAAAATTTCTAAACTTCTTTATCATCGTATTATAGGTGTTGAAAGAGAGTTTTAAAGTCTATTGTGCTATCAATGATGGAATCATCAATCTCATTGACAAGGTAGGTCTAGTTTGTCTTTTTGCCATCATAGCTATCATATCTCTCTCTGCTTTCCTTATTCCCTACTTATTTTTTCATATAATTTTTCATCACTTCCCTTGAGATATACAAGCGTGCAGGTCAGCAGGTGATTTTGTTGGACTATTTCAGTTGGTATATATTTTACTTGTCGCTCATTTTGTGTGTAACAAGGGATAATTTGTTTTTTCAGGCTCGTAGCCTTTCTGATTTATATGAAGCCTGCAAAGGATTGGAACTTGCAAGGAATTTTGAATTTCCTGTTCTAGGAGAGGTACTAACTGAGGACAACTTTTGATAAATTTAATTGACAACCATTGCTTGTTTCTGTTACTTAATACATTACTTTACATTGTTTACTTCAGCCTCCACAATCTTTTCTGACAACAATGGAGGAGTATATTAAAGAAGCACCGCGGGTTGTCGATGTCCCAGCGGAAACACTGGTATCTATGCATATATTCTCATATTAGTGATCCAATTTTTTTTTTTGGTCTTTTGGCTTTTTTTTTCTCTCTGTCTTATGTGATAATAAAGTTGTCTACATTCAGCTTCTAACGTATAGGCTGGATGATGGACTGAATGTCGAAGATACTGAACTGTCACATGAAGAACGTGAAATGTTACCTTCAGATGATGCCGTTGTTGTATCTGAAGAAACAGAACCTTCTCCCCCGCCTCCTCCTTCAGCCAACGCTCAGAACTTCATTGATACCGATGATTTACTGGTGAAAAGTCTATCATGATCACTTTATGATTTTGATTTCAATTTTGTTACTTACTGCGATTCCTATGTCTCAAGTTCTATTTGTTCAATTTTCCCCACAGGGCCTGAACACTGGTGCTCCTGATGCATCAGTGATCGAAGACCAAAATGCACTTGCTTTAGCCATTATTTCAACTGATGGTGAGCTTCTTGCTGGACCATTTACATGTACACTAATATTCTGCCAGTCTTGCGTTTCATGTGATATTAATTCAGTTTTGTTAAGTCACAGCTGGAGCATGAGAGAAAAAAGTTGCAACTCAGTGATACATGAGGCAGTGTGAAGGAGTTGTTCAATGAACACAGAGCGATAGTGTAAGTCTCTACTATCCTTAGAAGTTCCCTAGATCTGATGCCATGTTAAAACGCAATTCAAGATAAGAAGATTGGAGATTTTTGGGTTGAGTAGATAGATTTTTAGTGTTGACGAGAACACAGAGTTTTAGTGTTTTAGTGTTGGGGGATGTACTTAACTTTTGTTTGTTGATTGGTTAAGTTTACATATTTACTAATTGTTTTGGATTAACTTTCGTTTTAGGGAGATTTTGTTTCGAATCTAACACTTGGGATGCCTCCACTTCGATGAGGTATTTCTGTTTTTCCCGCTTTGTTTGTGTTTTTGATTTTTTTTGTTTTTTCTTAGAAACCCAAAAAAAGATAATGGATATTTATATGGCTGGGCAAAAAACACAAACCCAAATCGGAACCCACCCTAAAAATCCGGATCAAGTCGGTTATGTCTACCCATGTGTGTAGTGGTATGGCTAGAACCAAATTACCACTATACATGTCTACCCATGTAAGGGTTTGGGTCCGGGTATTACCCGGACCCGAACATGCATTAGAATATCCAAAATATTTGTTCCCATTTGTACCCAATACTCAACTGATACTAGGTTATCAACAATTATTCGGAAGCGTACCAAAATACACGTAACGTAATTGAAATCATACAAATGTTCAGGGATTTTGTACCCCGAACCTTCCTGGTATCGGGTACAAAATCCCTGAACAGAAGAAATACCCATTGTTTTTGGGGTATTTATAAGTTCTTGAAAACCGAACTGACCAAACTTGAAAAGACTGTAACCAAACCCAAACCAAATATTTATAATTACCCAATTGGGTAATAATATATTCAAAACCTGATAGAACTTAAACCCCATTGGATTCTAACCCGATCCCAAACCCAAACCCAAACCCAAACCCGAACCCGAACCCAAACCTGAACCTGAACCTGAACCCGAACCCATTACCCAAAGCCCATACAATTAGAAAAGAGTCAAATGACTCCGGATTGTGACGGGTCCTAGGACAGGGGCTCGAATCCTATAAAAGAGTTGCGAATTGGTACCCTCGGCTTTGGAAACACAACAAGACCAAATCGGCTTAGAAAGAATTTATGACAAAAGAGTCAAATGACTCCGGATTGTGACGGGTCCTAGGAAAGGGGCTCGAATCCTATAAAAGAGTTGCGAATTAGTACCCTCGGCTTTGGAAACACAACAAGACCAAATAGGCTTAGAAAGAATTTATGACAAAAGAGTCAAATGACTCCGGATTGTGACGGGTCCTAGGACAGGGGCTCGAATCCTATAAAAGAGTTGCGAATTGGTACCCTCGGCTTTGGAAAAACAACAAGACCAAATCGGCTTAGAAAGAATTTATGACAAAAGAGTCAAATGACTCCGGATTGTGACGGGTCCTAGGACAGGGGCTCGAATCCTATAAAAGAGTTGCGAATTAGTACCCTCGGCTTTGGAAACACAACAAGACCAAATCGGCTTAGAAAGAATTTATGACAAAAGAGTCAAATGACTCCGGATTGTGACGGGTCCTAGGACAGGGGCTCGAATCCTATAAAAGAGTTGCGAATTGGTACCCTCGGCTTTGGAAAAACAACAAGACCAAATCGGCTTAGAAAGAATTTATGACAAAAGAGTCAAATGACTCCGGATTGTGACGGGTCCTAGGACAGGGGCTCGAATCCTATAAAAGAGTTGCGAATTAGTACCCTCGGCTTTGGAAACACAACAAGACCAAATCGGCTTAGAAATAATTTATGACAAAAGAGTCAAATGACTCCGGATTGTGACGGGTCCTAGGACAGGGGCTCGAATCCTATAAAAGAGTTGCGAATTGGTACCCTCGGCTTTGGAAAAACAACAAGACCAAATCGGCTTAGAAAGAATTTATGACAAAAGAGTCAAATGACTCCGGATTGTGACGGGTCCTAGGACAGGGGCTCGAATCCTATAAAAGAGTTGCGAATTAGTACCCTCGGCTTTGGAAACACAACAAGACCAAATCGGCTTAGAAATAATTTATGACAAAAGAGTCAAATGACTCCGGATTGTGACGGGTCCTAGGACAAGGGCTCGAATCCTATAAAAGAGTTGCGAATTGGTACCCTCGGCTTTGGAAAAACAACAAGACCAAATCGGCTTAGAAAGAATTTATGTCAAAAGAGTCAAATGACTTCGGATTGTGACGGGTCCTAGGACAGAGGCTCGAATCCTATAAAAGAGTTGCGAATTCGTACCCTCGGCTTTGGAAACACAACAAGACCAAATCGGCTTAGAAAGAATTTATGACAAAAGAGTCAAATAACTCCGGATTGTGACGGGTCCTAGGACAGGGGCTCGAATCCTATAAAAGAGTTGCGAATTGGTACCCTCGGCTTTGGAAAAACAACAAGACCAAATCGGCTTAGAAAGAATTTATGACAAAAGAGTCAAATGACTCCGGATTGTGACGGGTCCTAGGACAGGGGCTCGAATCCTATAAAAGAGTTGCGAATTGGTACCCTCGGCTTTGGAAACACAACAAGACCAAATCTGCTTAGAAAGAATTTATGACAAAAGAGTCAAATGACTCCGGATTGTGACGGGTCCTAGGACAGGGGTTCGAATCCTATAAAAGAGTTGCGAATTGGTACCCTCGGCTTTGGAAACACAGCAAGACCAAATCGGCTTAGAAAGAATTTATGACAAAAGAGTCAAATGACTCCGAATTGTGACGGGTCCTAGGACAGGGGCTCGAATCCTATAAAAGAGTTTCGAATTAGTACCCTCGGCTTTGGAAACACAACAAGACCAAATCGGCTTAGAAAGAATTTATGACAAAAGAGTCAAATGACTCCGGATTGTGACGGGTCCTCGGACAGGGGCTCGAATCCTATAAAAGAGTTTCGAATTGGTACCCTCGGCTTTGGAAACACAACAAGACCAAATCGGCTTAGAAAGAATTTATGACAAAAGAGTCAAATGACTCCGGATTGTGACGGGTCCTAGGACAGGGGCTCGAATCCTATAAAAGAGTTGCGAAATTGTACCCTCGGCTTTGGAAAAACAACAAAGACCAAATCGGCTTAGAAAGAATTTATGACAAAAGAGTCAAATGACTCCGGATTGTGACGAGTCCTAGGATAGGGGCTCGAATCCTATAAAGGAGTTGCGAATTGGTACCCTCGGCTTTAGAAAAACAACAAGACCACATCGGCTTAGAAAGAATTTATGACAAAAGAGTCAAATGACTCCGGATTGTAACGGGTCCTAGGACATGGGCTCGAATCCTATAAAAGAGTTGCGAATTGGTACCCTCGGCTTTGGAAAAACAACAAGACCAAATCGGCTTAGAAAGAATTTATAACAAAAGAGTCAAATGACTCTGGATTGTGATGGGTCCTAGGACAGGGGCTCGAATCCTATAAAAGAGTTGCGAATTGGTACCCTCGGCTTTGGAAACACAACAAGACCAAATCGGCTTAGAAAGAATTTATGACAAAAGAGTCAAATGACTCCGGATTGTGACGGGTCCTAGGACAGGGGCTCGAATCCTATAAAAGAGTTGCGAAATTGTACCCTCGGCTTTGGAAAAACAACAAAGACCAAATCGGCTTAGAAAGAATTTATGACAAAAGAGTCAAATGACTCCGGATTGTGACGAGTCCTAGGATAGGGGCTCGAATCCTATAAAGGAGTTGCGAATTGGTACCCTCGGCTTTAGAAAAACAACAAGACCACATCGGCTTAGAAAGAATTTATGACAAAAGAGTCAAATGACTCCGGATTGTAACGGGTCCTAGGACATGGGCTCGAATCCTATAAAAGAGTTGCGAATTGGTACCCTCGGCTTTGGAAAAACAACAAGACCAAATCGGCTTAGAAAGAATTTATAACAAAAGAGTCAAATGACTCTGGATTGTGATGGGTCCTAGGACAGGGGCTCGAATCCTATAAAAGAGTTGCGAATTGGTACCCTCGGCTTTGGAAACACAACAAGACCAAATCGGCTTAGAAAGAATTTATGACAAAAGAGTCAAATGACTCCGGATTGTGACGAGTCCTAGACCACAATTATAAGCACGGATTTGCGACCAAATATGGTAACTAAATTATACGAATTTTGTTACTAAACTTACGTCACGTCTAGTTACAAGAGTTTTGTAACTACCCTGTCACAATTAGTCACTGTTTTAGTGATCTTGTGTTTGGTCATAGATTGTGACATAATTGTTACAAGTGACAAGAATAAAAACATGTGAACTAAAAGATAGTCATCTAAATTATATCATTTGAACTATATAACTTTTATTTATTGTGAAAATAAACTATTTGATTTTTATTTGTAGTTGAGGTATTTAAAATTTATTTATTAGATTTGTTTGGTTAATTATAATTTTTAATATGATATATTGCTTAATGATTTATTATGTATATGTATATATATATTTTTATGTACACGGTTTCAACATATATCCGCTTTTTGAAATTTATATAAAAGTCGTTTCCACGTTTCCAAACGCTTCGTTTTTAAGTACCCGCTTTTTATTTCATGCGTACTTTAGCCCCCTCTTAAGGCGTGAACGTAGGCTTGGAGCTCAGACCTAACATAAATTTTTTTTATTTTATTAAAAGAAAATTAAAAATTAATTTAATTATGAATAAAATTATGTGTAACATATGAAAATATGAAAAACAAAACTCTAAATAAATAACGAAGGTTTAAATGTTTTTAGAAAATATTAATCTAAATTTGAAACAAATAATATTTAAAGCATATTTGAAAATATTGTGTTAATATGGATTATTTTTTCATCAGGCTCACTTTATGTTAATATGGATTATTTATTTTGGAGAACACCATCTGATGTATATACACATCCATGTTTTCTTGGATTATTTAGTATTTCTGGAAAGCCATAAGTGATAAGGTTTATAGTAACATGGACCAAAAAGTCCATCTGATATTTTGAGACTGGCAGAAAATGAAGAGCAAGCTTGGCAGGTTGCTCAAGTCGAGATCTCGAAGGTTAACATAGGAACGGTGGTAACAAATAATCATTCTCTTTCGAGAGTAGAACATACAGGGCAACACAGATCATGATACCAGTGTTTCATAGACGGTTCTTGGAAAGAAAGTGATCGATTTTCAAGATTAGGATGGTTCTGTTCTCATCCAACCGAAGGAAGGCAAGACATGGGAGCTGCAAATACTCGAAGAAGCTTAACCTCACAACATACAGGGGTAGAAGCATTAATTTGGACAATGAGATGTATGATCGGCCAAGACAAACAAGAAGTAACTTTCCTTACAGACTGCTCAGATCTGGTGAAGATGGTGTCTTCCCCGAAAGAGTGACCAGCGTTCGCGACATACCTAGAGGCGATTCAGAGTGACAAAGAAGAATTTGATTTATTTACTATATCTTTAGTTTCACGAAATTCGAATATGAAGACGGATAAACTGGCACGAACTGTTCGTACCCAACCGCATCTTACTACTTATGTAAACAATATTCCACAGCATTGGCTCATTTAAGTCAATCTAATAAAGTTGTTGACAAAAAAAAATATCGTGGATTTTGACTCAAGTCAGGATAATTCTTTACCAATAAATTTTTCTTTACAGGATTTTAAAAGTAACATCTATTTCTACTAAATCAACAGTCACTTTAACAAAAACTGCAGCATTCACCTTTTGACATGTGACATAAGTCTCATTTTTTGCTGTTTTACTTTCACGTTAGCTTTTCTTTTTCACCCATGGAAAAACTGTTGCCAATACATAAAAAAAAATCTTTATCCTTTGCACTTTCTCCTTGCCACGATCTCCACCTCTCTCTTCTCCTCCCAAATTTCTTTTTTTTTTTTTTTTTTTTTTTTTTGATAACCCAGTATCCAGACCACACAGTGATCTGACTAGCCCACTGGGCCTAAGCCCGCGTCACAGGGATTTTTAAGCCTCCACTTAAGGGCCCCCTGATAAACTGGTGGTCTGGGGCGCCTGAGCAAGTCCGCAGGTAAATTCCCAGGTGGCCACAGGAGTGAGAGAGCGAAACTGCGTCTGGGGAGGATCGATCCCTGGCCTAGACCAACAGGGCGATCCTTCCAACCAAACGAGAACCACTCGCCCACCACCATGTGGTTTCTCCTCCCAAATTTCTATGAACTATAAAATTTTTCATCGCCATTCATCTCATAAATCAAGTATTTTCTTCGTCTAAAAAACAAATTTATAGTTTCCATGATCTCCATCTCCTATTTATGTTTTTTTAATTCGTTAAATCTGTCGAAAAATTCATCATCAAAAATTATATCTGTAAATTTTATCTGTGTATCTAAAAATCATATACTATTTCTATTGATTCCCATGATTTTTTTTTCCTGTTTCTTTTTTTTTTTATTATTCTAATTGGATTCCTCTGTTTACGTGTCTACGACTTCTCAGGTTTCACCCATGGTCAAGACTTCTCATCAAATTACTTTGTGCTTTTGATGGTTGATTCTTCGAATTCAAGGTTGAGGTTAGTATGACGACGGAGTAGCTTCTCTAGGAAACATATACATTAATGAGACCGGTCTGGTAGCTAATTGGCCGTAAGTCTTTCCGGAGGCTATCTTCATGGGGACACGGCGAGAAGCCGATTTGTAACACTCTGCTTCATCACCGCTTCTATTTTTGAGCGTTCACTTCTCTCTCTCTTTCTCACTCATCACACCTTCTGGATAATTCATATATTTATGGTCGCTTCAAGTAGTATCTCACCTTAATTTTGTTGGTCACGAATGATTTATCAAACAGAAGGGATGAGACTGAGTGTAGAAAAATCTCCACATGTCCATTTTTCTTACACATGTATTTATTTATACCAAAAGATCTTTTATTTAATTTTGTTTGGAACGTCCAGTATTTTACATTTGGGTATCTTTATTCTTTGATGCCAAAATACTATACTAGAGTTTATAAGTTATTAATTTAAATACTTATATAATGTAAGACTAGCAAATAAGTAGGTTACTTTTTTTTATATATTTTGATCACATGTATTTATTTCTTTCCAAAAAGTAAAATAAAATGATAGTTGTAAGATTTTGGAAAAAATTAAAATAACAATTACTACGTCTGTGCATGGCACGGGCCACACACTAGTATTTAATATATTTTTAGTGACAAATTTAATATCCAAACTCTCCCTTATCCAACGTGATAATGCATCAAGGTTTATAGCAATTCCACATTTTTAGCTACGCGTATTAAAATATTTTGAACTTTAGCAGAAACTCCCTAACTTCTCTCTAAACGTGATGCCATAGAATCTCAGAATTGCTCCTTCTCCGCCTTGAGATTGCTTCGTCTACGTATACCGTCAGTGTTTTTCCTTTGTCGGTTAAACTTATTTTAAAAAAAAAAACTATTTTGTTTTTGGTACAAATCTGGATTCGGAACCCTATAGCTAGCATTTGGATACATGGTTTCGAAAAAGCGATGGACCGGCAAAACAAGGTATCATCCGATTTCATATGTCTTTGATCTTGTTTCTTAAGACTAATTAATTGAATTGTATTATAGTGTCATCATATACACACATTAAGCCTTCAAACCAGTAGCCAGCCATCCTTGAGGTTACCTTTTTATTATTATAAACTCTGAATCCATTCTCAATTTCAACCCCAAATTGTGTAGTTAGTTTTACTCTTCTTTTTCATTGTGTGTGTTCGTTCAATCACCTTATTATTTTCATTCTTTTTTTAATCTTCTGTAGACGCTTGAGCCCATTGAACAAGATGAGAAATTTTGCCTGGAGAAGGCTGCCATGTTTTTTGGAGATAGCAAAACAACATTACCGAGCTAATAACAAGCTTGGTAGTACGACGACCAAAGCGTTTCCACTTTGGATTGGGTTTAATAATTTTCAGGTGTTTTACACCGTATTTAAAGGAAGATGATAGTGTATATATTCTGGTTTCTATATAGCCTTAGTATTCTTTAGTTTGTATTTTCTTTTGAGTTATGTTTGTGGATTATCGTTTGTTTGGATGTTAGTCTGTTTTCTTTAAGATCTCTATAAAATGTTGTTCGTTTGCTAGTTATTATTTTCTTTTTTGATGTTTTATTGTATAATTATATATTTTTAAAGAAAATGATGATTGCAATTATTAACAAACAACTGGTAATCGTTTGTTTGTGACTGTCCATGTGTTTTTCACATTCCTAATTTTGTAACAATTTGATACGAGTTCAGTAGAAAAAAAAATCACAAATGAAAATCAAATTGTGACGTTTGTGTGACAATAATCGAGTCACTAATTGTATCGGATTTGTGACAATAATTTGGTCGCAAAATGTATTAGATCAATGACTTATATATGGTAATAATTTGTGACAAATATGTGACGATCTTGTTATCACTATTTGTGGCAAACTTGTGACAGTATCATCCGTCACGAATTGTGTATTTTTCTGTGACTATATGATTGTCGTCACAATTAGTTACAAATTGTTACCGTTGTTAATCGTCACATACATTTGTGATCTTTTTGAGACATACACGGATTTGTGACGATTTTATTGTGACATTTTAGAATTCGTGTCATTTTCGTCACAATAGAGTTATTGTGACCGAATATTTTTATATTGTGACGACAATAATCATAATAATATTCACTTTTTACTGTAGTTAAAAGCTTTGTCGTTCAAGTTCTAAAGAAGTTCCACCGGATGAGCATGGCGATGTTAAGTTTCGCTTTCGCTGGAAAATCTTGTTCGGTTGCTTACGTCATCGTGATGCTTCGTGCTTCTTAGGAGTGGTGGGCATTTTGCTTCGTATGGAAGAATGGTTTGACATGTGGCTTGTCTGTGGAGTGATTAGTATTTTATTTTAATAATGCGAGTTTTCATCGCTTCTTGATGACGACGTCATATCCATCTATAATGCTAAGCAATTCTCCATTTGGGCTCAACTATAATTTTGGGCTGTGTTTCTCTTTGAAACCCAATAGAAGCGAGACCACATGTTTTTAACATATTGATAGTAGGGTCTTCGTTTAGGTTTCGCTGTAGCGGGTTTGTGCTATTGTCTGTAGTTTTTCTTTTTCTACTGGATTTGCCTTAGTATCTGTCCGGTTCGATATCTTGCCATGTTTGTGTGAGTTCGGAGTGACTCGGTTGGATGTGATCGTTCCTTGTCTCTACTCAAAAGATCTGATCGAGATCTGCTCAATTGAAAGGTTTCTACTTTCTACCAAAACGTTTAAAAGTCGTGATTCTTCGACATCGTTGTTTCCAGAAGAAGTTTCTGGGAGAAGTGTGAGGATTTAGAAATTTTTGTCTTGGATATATCTTACCGGATAGGAAGCTTAAGAATCATAGATCGTAAGGATGTTAAAATGGGTTAAAGCCAGTCCATTAAAATAAATAAAAGACTTAGGCCTGATTAATAAGAGAATTTGAGGCTAATATAAGGTTCGGCTTAAAAAGGTTTCGGGCTAAAATAGGGCCGGCCCATTACACAAAACTGTTTTTTTCTTCTTCTTTGATTGTAAACGACGATGTTTTTTTTTTTTTTTTTTTTCTTTTTCCTTCTTCGATCTTAGGTTTCTCCCACACGCTCTCTTCTTTTTCTTCGATATCTCCATCTATGTTTTCTTCTTCGATTGCTCTCTATATTTTTCATTGGGTTTGGGTTCGTGTTCGTCTCTAATCCATCCCTAAAGGTGAAGTGTGTTACGGTTTGTCTCTAATTAACGATATGGTGTTTTCATATACATAATTTGGTGGGTTCGTGTTAGATTATCGAAATTTTGGTTTCAAACTTGTCCGTCGCTGGAAAAATTGAATTTTGTGTAGCTATGAATTAGTTATTTGAATTAGTCATTTGAATTAGTTTCTGAATTAGTTAGTTTCTGAACTAGTTTCATTCGGCGGTGTTGTTTTCATTTGGTTGTGATTTTGCATGCTTTGAGTAGAGGAATGGATGAATCTTATGATCGTTCTCTGTGGTGGGTTGCAGGGTATTTGTCGGATTGGTGTTTGGTTGGAAGGGTACGGACGGGATTCTGTCTATGGAGTATCTCTGATGCGACCGTCCTAATCCGATACTCCAAGTGAGTTTGATCTATTTAAGTAACAGAAGAACCAATAGCTTTAGAATCTTTATAGGCATTGAGTCAATCCCGCAGCCAAATCTCTACGTTCTTGTTCTTTGGTTTGGTTTCAAGAGTTGGTGATTAGACTTCTTGGAGACTAAGAGATTCGTTTTTGAATTTGAGATATAAGATGATATATTATCAGAGGAAGCTAAGTACTTACATGTGAGATTAACACATGTTTTGGTAAATATTTGATTAGATAATTTTATATCTCTCGCAGCAATCCATGTAAAATAGTTCGCAGTTTATAACATCTCTGTGTTATTGTCTTTCATGCACACCACATGTTCGATGAAATTACTAAACGATTTAATCGTTATCCAAATCCTCACTTGTTTTCTTAAATGTTGCAGGAATCAGGGAAAGTAATCATTTTTGGCTTAATTCTGATTTGGGTTCTTCTTACTTATAGTCCTCTCACTAGTCAACATGCTTCTGGTTTCGCCTGCTTGTAGAGGTGTTTATCTTCAGACCATAGATCCAAATCCAATTGATTTTTCAGCCAGAGGCTCTTATGCAAGTTGCTTTCAGGTTACCATTTCATCTCCTGTAACTTTGATCTTATTGATTCCAGTCTTAAAGTTGTAAAGTTTGGATTTTTCTTATATATGCAGATTCCTCCTTCAGTCTCTCAAAGGGAGTGTTTGATGAGGTTAGGAACGGTCTTTTGTTTTAATCAGAAGCATAGAGAGCAGACAAGTTTCAAGAAACGGCATGTATCTACGCAGAATGTGGATCTTCCTCCTATTTTACCAAAGAACAAGAAGAAACCTTATCCGATTCCTTTTAAGCAAATTCAAGAAGAGGCTAGGAAAGATAAGAAGCTTGCTCAGATGGGTATAGAGAAACAGTTGGAACCTCCTAAAAATGGATTGCTAGTTCCCAATCTTGTTCCTGTGGCGTATCAAGTGATAGATAACTGGAAGTTGTTGATCAAGGGTTTAGCACAGCTTCTTCATGTTGTTCCCGTGTTTGCTTGTAGTGAATGTGGAGCGGTTCATGTTGCCAATGCTGGTCACAACATTAGGGATTGCAATGGTCCAACAAATTCACAGCGACGTGGTTCTCATTCATGGGTTAAGGGTACCATCAATGATGTTCTCATTCCTGTTGAGTCGTACCACATGTATGACCCTTTTGGGCGGCGGATTAAGCACGAAACACGGTTTGACTACGAAAGAATCCCAGCACTTGTTGAGCTATGTATTCAGGCTGGAGTTGAGATCCCTGAGTATCCTTGTCGCAGAAGGACACAGCCAATCCGAATGATGGGGAAGAGAGTGATCGATCGAGGTGGATATCTTAGAGAGCCTGATAAGCCTCAGACATCATCAATATCATCTCCACTTGCCGAGCTTGACACGCTTGGTGCTTGTGAAAGGTATCCGCCTCCCACACCAGAGGACATACCTAAGATAGCACAAGAAACAATGGATGCTTACGAAAAAGTGAGATTGGGGGTGACGAAATTGATGAGGAAATTCACGGTGAAAGCATGCGGATATTGTTCTGAAGTGCATGTAGGACCATGGGGACATAGTGTGAAGCTGTGCGGGGAGTTCAAACACCAATGGAGAGACGGGAAGCACGGATGGCAAGATGCTCTTGTGGACGAAGTCTTTCCTCCAAACTATGTATGGCATGTGAGAGACCTTAAGGGAAATCCGCTTACCGGAAATCTGAGAAGGTTTTATGGTAAAGCCCCTGCTTTGGTTGAGATTTGTATGCACAGTGGAGCTCGGGTTCCTCAACGCTACAAGGCCATGATGAGGCTTGACATCATTGTTCCTGATTCACAGGAAGCTGACATGGTCGCGTAGGTCCTTGGACATGTTCATAGTAGAACTCCATTGTTAGGATAGAAAAGCTTCAAAATATGGTTGATAATAAAATGAGCTGCCTAGCTAGGATCTTTCCTCATAGGATACGTTAGAAATCTTGTCATATAGTGTATTTTACAATTTGGGTGTAAAATATTTTAGAATCCTGTGTAGAAATTAGATTAGTTGACTTTAAATATTTGTTTGATTCTCTGTTCTAGACATCTCACCGGTCATTTGTTATTATAATCGAGACGACCTCAGTGGTATTTGTTTAATTTATTTCTTTGTTTTGAAAGATTTTAAAGATGTTTTGATCCAACGATTAGTTGTTGAAAAACCAAATGATGGAAAAGGATTTCTCGTTGGTGCGGAAGGAGGAGGAAGAAGATAACAGGAATGGGGCGAGTTATTTGTCAGTGGAGATGATGAAGAAGGTGAGCTCCATGGCAGCTCCGATGGTGGCAGTTTCGGTTTCTCAGTTCCTCCTTCAAGTCATCTCCATGGTTATGGCTGGTCATTTGGACGAGCTCTCACTCTCAGCTGTCGCAATCGCCACTTCCCTCACTAATGTCACCGGTTTCAGCCTCATCGTTGGGTTTGCAGGTGCGTTAGAGACTCTGTGTGGTCAAGCTTTTGGAGCAGAACAATTTGGAAAAATTGGGGCATACACGTACAGCTCAATGCTTTGTCTTCTCGTCTTCTGTTTTCCAGTTTCTCTTGTATGGATCTTCATGGACAAAATCTTGGAGCTCTTCCATCAAGATCCTCTAATCTCTCAGTTAGCTTGCAGATACTCAATCTGGCTCATACCGGCTTTATTCGGATTCGCTCTTCTTCAACCTATGACTCGCTATTTCCAGTCACAAGGATTAATTCTTCCTCTCTTCGTGAGCTCTCTTGGAGCTCTCTGTTTTCACATTCCTTTCTGTTGGCTTCTTGTCTATAAACTGAGATTTGGAATCGTTGGCACCGCTTTGTCCATCGGTTTTTCATATTGGCTCAACGTGTTTTTGCTTTGGATTTTCATGAGTAACTCTGCTTTGCATCGTGAAATGAAAAACCTTGGTTTGCAAGAACTCATCTCGAGCATGAAACAGTTCATCGCCCTCGCTATCCCCTCTGCAATGATGATATGGTAATTTATACATCTACATCCAAGAAAAACAAATCTCAGCAACATTTAGAGCTACTTGCTCTGTTCTGATCTAAAATGGATCCTAACTTTTTTTTTTGTTCTTTTTTTTTTGCAAGTAAAGCCTGGAATGGTGGTCGTTTGAGATTCTACTACTAATGTCTGGACTCTTACCAAACTCAAAGCTCGAAACATCGGTGATATCCATTTGGTACATTCATATCATTTTGTACAAAATTTTAAACAGTCAGCAAGCTTGTGATCTTTCAAACTTTATTCATTGAGCAGCCTCACAACATCGGCTTTGCATTTCGTTCTGGTGAATGCGATAGGAGCATCCGCAAGGTTTTACAGATTTCAATTGTTCACAAGGATCTGATTTTTTTCATGTAAAATAATATCTCTAACCCCTTTTTATCTTGTTTAACACTATAGCACATATGTTTCAAACGAGCTAGGAGCTGGAAATCACAGGGCAGCTCGAGCGGCGGTTAATTCGGCTATTTTCCTGGGTGGTGTTGATGCAACAATAGCAAGCATCACACTTTACAGTTACCGAAATAGTTGGGGTTATATATTCAGCAACGAGAAAGAAGTGGCTCACTACGCAACCCAAATCACACCCATTCTCTGCCTATCCATTTTCGTTAACAGCTTTCTTGCCGTGCTATCAGGTAAAGACGATTATACTTTGCTACTTGAAGCCCAAGAAAAGTATATTCAACTCTAGAATTCTTTCATTACTCAGGGGTTGCCAGAGGAACAGGCTGGCATCGTATAGGAGGTTATGCAAGCTTAGGATCATATTATCTTGTCGGAATCCCGTTAGGTTGGATCTTGTGTTTTGTCATGAAAATGAGAGGGAAAGGACTTTGGATTGGTATACTCATAGCCTCCACTATCCAACTAAGTGTTTTTACCATTGTCACCTTCTTCACCAATTGGGAACAAGAGGTATATAAATTAGTAAATTACTAATCTTCTTTACTTCTTTTTATGGTTACAGTTTTGAATCTGGTTTTGGTTTGAGTTTCAGGCAACGAGAGCCAGAGACAGAGTATTCGAGATGACACCACAAGTCAAAGGCAACCAAAAGACGCAAATTTTATTGGAAGAGGATACACAAGTTTTACTTGATCATATTACAGAAACTGTTTAAAAGTGTAAAACCACTTAATGCAACTCTATTGGTCTACTTCGTTTTAGCCTTCTATTTACTAATTTTGGATGCTTTACATTTGCATGATGTGCGATTTTAAATGATGCGTCTTGAGAATATGGATTCTTGGTTTTTAGTTTGTCAACAAACTACCCATTTCACTTAATAAGAATTTGGAGTCCAATTTCATGCACATAAACTAAGAGAAGTGACCAAAAACCTTTTGCCCAAATATTCATTCTTGTGCGAAGTTATGAATTCCTTAAATAATATAGAAACTTTGAAAGTTTGGATGTAATTGTTTCAAAAAACATCCACAAAAAACTATCATAAGTTGGAACGACATAGAGATGATCAATATGGTAGTCTAAATCTTTCCTTTGAAAAAACTATCATATTTTTACTATTTTTATTAGATTTTTTTTCGAAATTTCTAACAAATAACTCTATCTCTATATGAATTGTAAAGTAGTAAATCTTCAACATCTATGCATGTAGTTCAGGAAAAAAATAAACAATTCTTAAGAAAGAAAATGGATAGTATAATTGTAAGAAGGTTTAGTGAGCTACATTTGGGCACAATCAGTCCTCTTAAACGACACAGTTTCAGAAACTGTGTCGTATCCAACAAGGAAGTTCATTTGCGCCAAGTTCCCATAGATTGTTAGCTGTTCATTTTCAGCAAATGCAAAGCAAGACACATCTTCAGACACTTCCACAAACGTATTCACTTTGTGGAGTTTCACATCACCTCCTTTGAAATGAACAGTTATGTCTGGAACTTTAAAACTAGAGGTGTCTCTATAACAAAGACTCAGAACTCTATTAGGATCTTGTACTCGCTCTACTTTGATTGTGGAAGCAACTGCAGATTCCAGCTTAGAATAAAACTTGGATGGCAATAGAGTTAGAGTGGTACCCGAGTCGATAACGATGTTTCCTTCTTTGGTTCCAAAGATTGTGCCCGTGAAATGAATTTTCTTGCTTCCCACGCTAATGGCTTCTAGGGTTAGGAAATAGAACGTGGAGGGATCTTTCTTGACTAAAGGGGTTGACACAACTCCATCTCCCGAGACAAAGCCGTTTGTTCCAAAGTTGATCTTGCTTGTTAGTCTGGTTTCAGATGTTAAAGGCACTAAACAATAGGAGAATTTACCGTTGATGGATTTCCCGAGTTGTGAGACTAACGATGTAGATCCTCCTCCGAGTCCGATGATCCCTGAGCCAGCCGCGTCAAAGATTCCTGTGTTGTCGTGTCCGCACCCAATGATCACGTTTCTGAGCGACACATGGCGGCGACGGCTAGATCCAATCGTCAGGGTGTCAATGGCAACGTCACCTTTGGTGTATGAATTGTCACCGTATGAAATCGTATAGGAACAAGTGTCTTCATATGTGGAACAAGAAGCGTCTTCTAGGGCTCTACATTGGGTTGAGGAGCAAGAAACCTTTCTATATGTCGAAGATTGTTTAGGATCAAAGAGTGGAGCTTTCTGTTTGTAACAATCTTTGCAAGGATTGCACTGAGTCCAAATCAAGTCACTGCCTGTATCCGCAATCGCTAGTATCGGGAACGGGGGAGTCCCAATCGATATATTCATGAGATACTCACCGCGGTTTGAAGTGATAACAGATTGTGGTGAGTTTGGTGAAGCATCATCATTGCTGAATTGGAGTGTACTGCGAGCAGAACGGCGGACAGCATTTCTCATACGTTGTGAAGAGGTCTCACCGGGATTGTAGAACGGTGATTTGGGAGAATCGCGGTGGACCAGCTCAAGGGTGAAGCCATGTTTCGGATAGGCGTTCACGTTTGAAAGTAACAAAAGGGACAAGATTGTTGTAGAAATGAGAGAAGCCATTTTGAGAATCCTTTGAGAGACGTCACTAAAGCTATTTGAATAATCATATTGTTGACTACATGAATGAGTTGACTTATTTGTAATGTTTTATGATTTGTGGTAATTATTAAATGCTAAACGTAGTTATGGTAATAAATGCAACAAATTAAGGATGTAATGTTCTTTGAATATTGAATATTTTTTTCATTAAGAGAACCTGTGAATATAAAAAATGTATACTTGTCTATTGTATAACTGTGATGGAACATTAATATTTTAAAATGAGTATAAAATCTAACCATCTTTCAAAAAATTTATATAAAAAGTATATGGTCAAAATCCAACATGATAATAATGATAAAATTTAATATTGATAATTTATCAAATAACATTTTCGAAAATAATGTGTACCTTTTCAGTAGGTTTAAAAAATTGGTATAGGTGGGCGCTTTTGAATTTCTCGATGTCTCGATTTTTGTAAATTTAGTAAATCAAATTGGTATTCAAAAATCAGTAATCAATCAGTCAAATCGGCCTATTTGATATCGTTTTCAACAAGTGAAAAATTAAGAAAAAAATAAAACAAAAAAATACTTGAGTACTAAAACATTTAATTAGTATAAATGTTTTAGTTATGGGACTAAGTTATTTTAGTTTCATGTAACTAGGTGTGAATATATATAACAAATTGGAATACGTAACGTTTTAACATTCAATATATATTTATATATTTTGGCAACCACACATTACATTCATCCAATATTGTTTTTATAAAATTATGAAAACATTAGAAATATAAGTAAATAATGTACTTACACCTAGACCCCTCCAAAAGCCCGATTAATCTAGGCGCTAGGCTCATATCAAACGCCTAGCTAATGCGTAATAATTATTTGAACTTAACTTCCAAATAAACTACTAAAAAATTATTAAATAACAAAAATAAATAATGTGCCAAAATAGCTTATTAACAAATATAAATAACACACTAAAATAACTTACTACCAAAATTTTAAATTGACTAAATAAAAAATATAATAACCTCGAATTTATAAATTTTAAATTATTATCTAAAAACATAGGATTAATTTTCAGTTTTACTTTAAATATAAAGGCAAATGGTGTAAACTACTGCCTTTCAAAATATCTTTTATCTCAACTAGGTTCACTTTTGTTACTATGAACAATCATAACTTTTTTACATCCAAATGAACCACAATTTCAAAATGGTTCGGTCGATCATTATGTTTGATCACACGAACCATGGAGATTTACTTTCTTCGTCTTTTTCTTTTGCTTGTTTTCAAAAGTGACACATCATTACCATAAATGGTTCTCTTAGATGGGTTTGATCCGTCAGTCCTAAATCGTCAAATTTTTTGAACCCATCGGAATTTGTCGGAGATTGCATATGGTATTTCTCAACGGATTTTCTATGAAATTTGATTTTTTAAAATAATTTAAAATATTTTGATATTAAAATAAATTTAGAAAAATAAAACATATAACTAAAAAATCAAAATATAACTAAAAATTTCAAATATAATAGAACATAGAAATTTAAAATGATCTGGTATATAAATTGTAAACATACATATATTGTTGAATTTATTTATTAGGGTGAAGCTCACCATCTTCATAGTAAAATGTTTGCTAAATTGAAACTAAGTTGAACTTTTTCACTTTATTCGTTTCTTGAATATTTTGTAACATTTTCCAATTCAACCGTTTTTTGTTTCAATATAAGATATTGATATTATAAAATACCAGAAATACAATCCTAAATCTAATTAACCACCTTATCTATAAAAAAAATTATAAACTTAACTAACCACCTAATTCTTGATCTAGAAATCCCCGCCTAACTCCGATTACTCCTCGCTTAATCGCTAGGCCCACCCTATCCGCCTCGATTAATGACTAATCCCTTGAAGAAATCAGTTATCCGATTACTCTCTGTTTAATCCGATTTTTTTCCCGTCTAATCCAATTACTTCTCGCCTAATATTATATAATCTAGTTGTTTTATATTGCAAGTATAAAACAACTTTTTTTTTGTGATACAGACATTTAAATTGAGGATTTTGTGTTCAAAATTTTATAAAAATCATAAAATTTTGTCTTAAAAATACATTTTTATGAGTTTACTATAATTTTGAAAACAATAGTAGATTAATATGTTTAAAAACATTAATATGTCCCCGATTTTAGTCCGATTTTCCGATTAATCGCTAGACCCATACCGAGCGTTTGACTAACGCCTAGTGATTTTTCGAACAAGAAAATCTAACTAACCAACTAAGAATAAAAAACTATTTATAAACATTTAAATCTAAAAGTTTGAAAATCTAATCTGTTTTAGGGTTAGAAAGAGAGGACATCCGATTTGAGAGAGAGAGAGTGAAATTCAGAGTTGTGAGAGAACGAAAGGAGAAGCTCTTATTTATAAAATAAATTGTGTCAAAAACTTACTTTTCGTGGGAGTTCAAATTTCGGCAATCAAATCTGTCAAAAACAAATATAAATTCTTTAGAAATTCCGTCGGTCAAATTTTCATGTTTTTGGCAGTTAAGTTTTTTGAAACCATCGGAAATTTCAGACGAACAATTAATTACTTTTCTTTTAAACACAATATAGAACTAAAAAAACCATCGGAATCATGAAACCGTTTAACTTCGTCAAAAATATGTCGGAATTTTTCGACGGAGCATGAAACCTTCATTAGAAATTCGGTCATAATTACCCTTGTTTTCTTGTTGTTGAGCTTGAAGAAGCAAGAATATAAGTAAAACATAAGATAGATGCAAATAGAAAACAAGAACTAAAGAAGTAAATGATTCAAACCTGGATCAGATTGAGCTTATCAACTAATGTTTCAATACATTGCTTTCTTCCGGTTTCGTATGAGACAAAAGAAAAAGGTAATCAGTTACAGAGAATAAAAAAAATGATTAAAGAAACACACAGAGAAATATTGGAAGTTAGAAAATTCTTGCCTTGATTCTAGCATGATCCTCCTCCACTCTTTGATGGGAAGATAGCTCCTTCAAGTTCTATTATTTCTTTCATGACTAACATTCTCCTTCGGTTGGAAGTCAAAGATTTAGGTACCTTTGTGACGACTAATATACTTTGTATAATGTGTAACAGTATAATAAAAAAATGGGGCATAATTTCTAACATATACAAATACATTCTATGTCTTAAGAAGCTGCTCATGCTACCGATGTTCCTCAAGTTCTACCTTTGCTCATTATATTTTATTGAGTTGCTACTTGAGGTGAGAGACTTCAAAATCCTATATACAGAAAAATTAAAGACAGGACAAGTTTCATTTTAGTATCACATACTTATAAAATCCTTTTTCCTATAGTTCTATCGAAAGAAAACTTCCCCATTCTCGTGAATCTGAAAAATTAAGTTGAAGCAACAATGACTGAAATACATTGACTGAATATACTTCAGAGGAACAACAAGACAACGACTAAAGTAACGCTAGCTATTACTATGTAGAGGTTTAAATACAAAGTTGTTACCTTTTTAGCCCGAAATCCCTTAACGGCGGTCAGTGAGCCATAGAGTTCACTCAGGTTAGAGCCTTTTGAAGCCTTTCCTCGGTTTGTTCCTTCCTTCCCTCAGAAAATTATAATACATCACCATAACTAATAGGAATAGCTGATCACTTAATCAATTTCACAGAACCTGAACTGAAAATAAGTGGAAAACTACTAGATTTGCCTTCAGCGGAATCAACAAAAGAAGAGTCAGACTTCAGGCCAATAGAAGAAAAATAGAAGCACTACAAAGCAATCACAAGGAAAGTCAAACCATACTATGATGATAACGTTTAAGACGGGTAAAAGTATAAACACCATTCCAAACAACAGCCCTCTGCTTGTGAAGTGTCACAACGCATGCAACTAGAAGAGACCCTTGCACATAACTCTCTTCCCAATACTACATAGAAAGAAAAAAAATCACTAATTAGTATGATGGTAACAATGCATATAACATTGCTCTAAACTTTAAGTAACAAATATAGGATTTACAGAGGAAGACGTAAGTGACATACACGATCCTTATGAATAGGTTAAGGCTTCTTCTTCATAGCATCATTCGTTAAAAACTTTAGCAAAAGGCCAGAACGAATGATTAACTGACTCGTGGCCCTTCATGAGTAAGCCACTTTTGCAAATTCTCCTGAAAACGTGCATCATAAGTAACAAGAACAAGAGATATACAATTTAAATTAATAGTTACTATACATCAAATGTGTTAAAAGATCCTAAACCTGATAAACCAGAAAATAGCCAAAACAAATAATAGATTGTACATAGACCTGTAAAAATCATCGAACATGTTTACGACAACCATGTGAGACCTGTCCATTAACTTCGAAAGGAGACCTACCCACTATCTTTTCGAGCTTCCTGAGAAGAACCAGATATTGAGACAAACTCTTAGCAAAACGTTGGGAAAAAAAACAAAGTCAACATAAAAAAAGACGTTACCCTTGAGAACAATCTTATTCTGTCTCCCATCTAACAAGAAAACAAAGTGGATATTACGGCCCGAGGGGTATTGAACTGAGTAGCCCAATGTTATCTATGGTATTAGGATCATCGGGATCATCGAGCATCGAAGTTCTTTTTTGTCTTGATTATGTCAAAATGATGATAAAAGTGTGTGTTGAAAATAGAAGTATCAAGGAGCGGAGAAATAAAATCAACTAGAAGAAATATGAAAAATCATCCATTGAAAAAACTATATTTCGAATAAAAGATAGTAAAGAAAGAATATAAGAGAGAAATTATATACCTAAATCAGTATCTTCACATAATGGTGTAAAAATAATGGTTGGGGTTGCTGTTGAATCAAGATACGATCGGCGGTAAGTCCTCAAACGTATCCAGCACCACCTTGAGTTCCACTAAATCTGGATACTCCCGCTACTGCAACTCCATGGCATTTTCAGTCTTACCAGAGTAATTAATTGCACAGACAGAGAGGAGGTTATTAAAAAACAAGTCTTCAAGGTGCAGGCCAATTGGAAACACTGATGTATGTGGTGATGAAAACATACCCTAGGCACATACTAATGGGTTTAAGGAGGCTCCCTCTCCTCTTCACATTCATAAACCATTCCAAATCATTGCACATGTGTCTACATATAACTGTCCAAATGTATGTGCCATGAGTCCTTCCCTTAGCGTTCTAAGCTTCCTGTAAAGAACCAAGATATTGATACAAACTCTTAGCAAAACTCAACATAGAAAAGACAATACCCCTGAGAGCGTTCATCTCCTATCCCCGTTCTAACAAGAGAAAAATAGAGTTGAAAGTTGAAACATATTAGATCTAATTAACTAAATAGAGATGAGAAGAAACAAAACCTCAAAAAGGAATATTAACGACATACATATACGCTAGTTTAGCCACTAGCTCATGTAATATTTGAATGTGAAATTTAATAAAAAAATCCTTGGTTAAAAAAAATAAAAAATTCAGCTACGACCAGAAAAAGGTATCAAAGTTCTTACCAGAGAAAGAGCAAAACATAACAACAGTTACAAAAACAAAATTGGCAACCTGAGTTAGCCAACAAAAATAAACCATCTTGCCTGAATGCTACACCACAGAACAATGTTTTTCAAAAATAACATAAAAATTACCTCAATTTCTGAGTCTGTCTCAGTCCATTTGGGCCAATAGTCAACTATAGTAAAACGTTGATCCTTGGACAGAGAAGGACTAAAGGAAGACCTGGCTGCTGCAGTTTCACATTCACAGTGGTCCATGCAATATCGCCAAATGAAGAAGGGAAAGAAGAGAACTTGAGACTACCTTCTTGGACTCTGGCTCCTTAATCTAGCTGCTGCATTTTTCTCTCATGATTTCTACTTTTTCTGCTCTCTTTTTTTCTTGCATCAAGATTTTTACAACCCACTCTTAAGACCTTTTTGCGAAAACCTACGGGATTGAAGCTTTCAATGGAACCTTTAAACTAGAGTGGCGTATTTCACTTTCAAGTAAACCAAGTTTTTTCTTGAGTTGTTCAAGTGCCTCTTCAGCAACTGCAAGGTTTATGTGTGTAATAATATCCTCTCCTGTAACACTTGCTGCCTTATGTTTAGCGTGCGTTTTGTTGATATCCTGTTTTAGAGTTTAAGGTCATCCAATTGCAGAGATTATCACAGTAAAATACTATGATGCGCCTCTTACCTTTAATATACTTTTGTAGAGACACAATAGATGCATTCTCTCCTCTTCGGTCTCCTTCCGTTTGGCAGATAACTTTTTCGTCTTATCAAAATTAGAATAAGAGTTCTTTCCAGAAGATGCTCGGTCTTCTTCGGCACGAGAAACACTCACATCTGCTCGCCGTAATTTCAGATTGAGCTCATCAAGCTAAAGTTTCAACACATTTCTTTCTTCTTGTTGCATATGAGACAAAAGGAAAGGGTAATCAGTACCAGAATAAACAAGAGTAATTAATTGCACAGACAAATATTGGAAGTTAGAGATTTCTTGCCTTGATTCTAGCATGATTCCGAGTTCTCCACTCGGGGTTTTGATGGGTCGATAGCTTCTTCACTTCTCCTTCTAGTTCTACAACTTTCTTTTAAGCCTAACATTCTCCTTCTGATAGAAGTCAGAAGATTTTGATACCTATGTGGCGACTAATTTACTTTATATAATTCGTAACAGAAAAAAAGAAAAACTTGGTATCTAATTTCCAACATTTAGGAACTCATTTTCTCTCTTAAGCAGCTGCTCATGCTGCCGATGTTCCTCGAGTTCTATTTGCGCCGCGCAGTATCCATCTGCATTCAGATATTGTAATGGATACTATGATAAGACATCTGGAAGCGACCAAAATCCATATATCCTTACAATTGAAAACTTGCTTACAATTACCTTTCCTCATTATTTTCATTGAGTCGTTGCTTGAGGTGAGAAACTTCAGAATCCTATATACAGAACATTAAAGACAAGAGATGTTTCATTCTAGAGAATACAAAGCTTAAGCAATCTGTGGCTATACTTGCTTAGTCATTGCCTCTAGTTCTGTTTGGAGTTGATTAGTCAAACTAATACCAGTCTTTTAGGAAGACTATTGAAGCTAGTCAATCAATTAAGAACCAACGCTGCCTTGTCCAATTATTCTCTAGCCCGAACCTCTGCGTGCAAATTTAGTTCTGAGAGTAAACATACATACACAATCAGAAATTTTGAGACTGTCACTAAGAATCCATCACTGTTCAAAACAACAACTATTGTTACCTTGGTCTTTTGGTCAGCTGTATATCTCTCAAGCACTTCTAAAGCATTTTGGCATCCTCAAGATCAATATGCTTTTCATTTAAAATCCTTTGACTACACAAAATAGTAAAAAAATGAATTGTTCTAACCTTTTCTTTTTAAGTACATTGATAGAATACTCAAGTTTCTCAACTGATCCTTCTACTAGCTTCACTTTTTCTTCTCTCTCATCTTCATATATCTTTCTTGATTCATACAGCTCTTAGAAGAGGAGAGGAGAAACGAAATTCAGTAAGCAATACAAAAAGGACTGAGAAAATTGACATAATTTTTCAAGTCTAATTTTGTTGTTGTCTACCTCTTAAGCGTCTATTTCTTTAGCCTCAGATTTCATCTTCCCAAAATCTTCTTTCAAAACTGTTTTACCCAATTCACGTAATGAAGATGGGTCCGTCAATTTTCCAGCATCAGCATCAAGAGAGACAAGTACACACAGAATTAGTTTTGATATGGTAAGAAATTACTTTCATAAGAGGACTGAGAACTTTCAAATTCATGACAAATCACAAATATATAGAAGTTTTATTGAGACCAAAATCAACTGAAGGAAGCTAAGTCAAGACCCTGACCAAAATCAACTGAAGGAAGCTAAGTCAAGACCCTTGCCTGGCAGGCTGGCACTGAATGCAGCCCAATGTAGAGCAGACAACCCTTTTGCATCATGGAAGTTGATGGTAACTCATCGCGGAAGAGTCAACCCAGAACGGGACTTGACCGACTTCATGCAGCCGGGGGATAGCCAAGAACACAACCTACAAAATCCTCTGCTTCCGCAAACTTGCATGACCACCTATAGCTAGTAATTACTTCCTCAGGACTCAACAAAAATGTCCCAAACCATGAGCTGTTCGAAACTTAAAATTGTAGATGAGAAAAGAGTTATCTCCAAACAAAACCACAATGAGAAAAAGATGAAATATAGGATACGAAAATATGATACCAGTTCACAAACTATACATAAAACAGAAAAGCAGAATGAAACTACTGTTGTAAAGCGTACATGGGCTTACCACTGCTAGAACTATTAGATTATCGCGCAGAAAAAGTGTTAAATGAACCTAAGATATCCTTCTTGGACTCTGACTCCATAGTCTATGAGGCAAAGGAATCTTCCTCTAATGATTTCTATATCTCCCGCCCTGAGTTTTGCCTGGATCAAAATTTTCACAAGCCATTCACAAAACATATACAGCTATAGGATTGAAACTTTCAATGGAACAATTAAGTTGAAGCGTCTCTGCTATCTACAACACTTGTTGACTATCATTTGACAAAAAACAGCGGAAGAAGAAAATACATTGACTGAATATACTTCAGTTACCATTTACCAGTTTCCATAACAGAGAAACAATATAAGAATGACTATTATAACCAGGTTCCACAGGGTGTGAACTTTTACATATTATACATGTCATACAAAATGATAAAGCACCAACGACATAAGAACAAAAACATGCAGTTAATTAACCCATTAATATACATTTGTGTCTACAGTGTATTACTAAAGACAATAACCAGTGGAACTAATCCATCAAATGTACTATTTTGACTATATGCAGAATATGTTTGGTGCCGTAGTAGACCAGTACCACAGCAAAATATACATAAAAATATCGAAACACAAAATGGAATGGCTTCACAAGCCAACATGAACTCTAAAAGGAGCACGCATACAATAAATTTTAAATAATATATATATATAAAGTTAAGAAAGATGCATAAGAAATACCTGTCAATATGTGCTTCTTGCAAAGTGACTATAAGACCATATTTCTTCAAGCTAGAAATTCCAAAGCCCACAACTACTCCCGCAAGACCAAAAGCTGCTCCTCTATGCTCACCGTACTTACCACTCTCCATTAGCTTATCGAAGAGCCTCAAAAAAAGGGGCAAGGGCCTCCTCCTCCTAACAAATCATCATTGAAAACAACGATAGACCTTAAGCCACTAGGAACCAAAGGTATATCAAAACTTGTCTCGGTAAGATCTCAAAATTTGTAGGAAACATACTTGCTTTGATAGCACAAGTGGAGAAAGGCATGTTAAGACTGCTCGTTGCACAGAGTCTGATGGTGTGTTCAACACCTCCAACAGATTTTCCACAACATTATGGACTTTAGGATCATCCTGCCATCATTAGTGAATATATAAGATAGAGAAGAAAATAATGTGCACCGTGACGAGATTTAAACAAATGGTAGAGTAATCACTTTTGCCAAGTGCTTTGCTAGTGATCCAGTGAATATAACAACACCCTCACGAACCAGGTCATATTCCTCTTCATCAGATGCCTACATGATAAGAGATATGATGAAGGAGCTTTAAAGTAATCATGAAACAAACAATGTATCCAGCAGGTTTTCAGTTGCTTGAAGAACAAACCTATTTATTTAAATAATTCTCAAAGATGGGGAACAGCAATGAAACGTTTTCTTTGCCATGCTTATCAATAATCATGATACCAGCATTGATCATCTTTCCACGAACATATGTGTTGGGATCAGCCTGCATATGAGATAAACGCTCAGTTTCATACAATTTTCTGAAAGTCAAAAGCTTCAAGCTATAGTTTCTGAAAACAACATAAAATGTGGGTTTCTAGGTGATAAATTGTGAAACCCAAATCCTTTGCAAACCCAAACCCAAATCTTTTATTTGACAAGCATTCATCTGACAAGATGAGAAGAAATACCAGTGCGCGGGATATCAAAAAGGTCATAACAGCAGGATGGTCCTTTGTTGTCAATACGTCAGCAGCAGATTGCAGTGCTAAGGCAATTCCTTGCCTTCCCATCCAACCAGCATCAAAGACATCCTCGCCAGACGTCGCATCACGGATGTACAGAGAAATAAAGTGTAAAGACCAATTAATCTTTAAAGAACCATATTTATTGCCACAAAAAGTAATAATTCAAGAAATGCAATGACCTGGATTGATGTCGGGCTTTAATGAAGAGAATCTGCCAATGCTTGTGCTGCAGCTAAACGGACATTGAGATTTATATGAGAAAGTGCTTTAAAGATTCCTGAATAATCAGTCCCCAAATCATGACCATGGCCATATATCATCTGCTGATTCAGCCACTGACTGCAAGCATAAAGATCACAGAGCATCAGATGGTGCAACTAAGGAAAACAATAACTTTGCCCTAGTCAAGTACACTACGGAAAACAATAGGAGGACAATAAGTTAGAATAATATCAGCAGGAATGGTAAGAAACACACTGGAAAAATGAAGGTATCTACAGGAAGTGGTCCTGATTTACAAGATACATATACCTGTGTATAATTCTCTCAAAAAGGTAACTAGCTGTTACAAAACACATGATTAGCAAGACCCATCTCCTCAAGGGCATCTCCTGTGAACATTTTAGCGTGTTGTGGCCTCCTCTTTGAGCATCAGTTCCCGTGCCTCTTCCTTCACCGTTTTTCCTTTGTCTGCAATTATTAGAGTTTTAACTACTCAAAACTTGCAGCTGAAAATTAATATTTACCCATTGCACTCTGTATGAAATGTCAGAGTAAAATATTAGAGTTCAACAAGTGTCTAGAGAGAGAGAGGAATGAAATGCTAACTCCATAATTTACTCAAGAAAGACGAAGTAAAAGTGAGGAGATTTTTTAAGGTCAGTCTCTCAAAGCATATCATGAGAGAGTCGATCTGGAAGGTCTTGTAGATGCTAGAAAAAATAAAACATAAGTCATCAGGAAACTATTTAAACGGTATATGTATCCTCTGGTGCCAGAGACACCATTGCGTACAAGGAATATACTGCCGCTTGCTGCTCGGGAGTCTTAGGACTCATTAAACCCATTGGTCCAAGTAGACTCTGAAAGAATCATTCAAATCAATAGTTGATTGGTAACGCCAGGAAACAATTAAAAACCACAAGTTTCGGTGACATAGAAGTCATAAACAGTCGTGAGATTACCTGGCAAACACTTTCTCTAATGGTAGAAAAAGTGTATGAAATGCCAAAGTAAAATATCAGAGAGAGGAAGGAAATGCTAACTCCATAATCTACTCAAGAAAGAAAGAGTAAAAGTGAGGTGATTTTTTACCTTACTGTCAGTCTCAGAGCATAATATCAGGAGAGAGTCGATCTGGAAGGTCTTGTAGATGCTAGAAAAATAAAAGATAAGAAGTCGTGAGATTACCTTGCAAACACTTTCTCATGTAGCAACATCATAACCACGAGTTTTGAGACACTTTTGCAATCTCTGCATATATCAGAAGGTGTAAATCACTATTAAAAAGTGCAATTAAAAGAAACATGAGTAAGTAGAATTAACCATGTCGAATGACTAATGTGAAGATTACCTTCCAAACAGCATCTCTTTTTCCAGTACCAACTATGCTGGGGCGATGCGAGGAAACTATGGAACGAACAATCCATGAGCTTGAAGGTCCAGCAACTGCTGCCAATGAAATGACAACCAAAGCCTTCACTAACACCTCTACAGAAGGGACGAAAGGAGCTTGATGATCGACGGGATTATCTACGTCACGTTAGAGGTGCCAAGTTAGTTCCTAGAATGAATAAGTCATTACTAGAATGAATAAGTCATTACTGTTAATAAAAAGCCAAGATCAGAAAAATAATAGTGATAACATTAGCGATAACTAAACACAGAACAGGCAGCAGTATACCTACTGGCTGGGTGGGCTGAAAAGAATTTAAGAATACAAAACGAGCTTACCATTTCTACCTGTTTCTAGAATAAACGATTTGGTCCCCAGTTATGGTGGAAAGGAAATCCGAGAAGTCGTCTAAAAGAGTAGTGGCTAGCTGTGAAGTTGCGAGGAAGATATTCGTAACAGAATTGTAAGAATAAACGATTTGTCTAAAAGAGTAGCGTCTAAAAGAGTAGTGGCTAGCTGTGAAGTTGCGAGGAAGATGTTCATATCAGAATTGTAAGCTGTTTTACGAACATTCCAGCTTGGATGGAAAACTAGAAAGAGAAGTAACTACATAGAAAAGAGATGAAACATAAGTCCAGAACAGGGAGAAACATGAACTCTCTTAGGCTACCTGTAATAGGGATTTCAATGAAAATGCTTCAATAACCCTGAAATCGGGTAGGAGAGATAGTTAAAGCTTCTACAAACAGTAAAACAACGAATCTCACACATTAGGCAGGAGGTTCACTTGGAGGAGTTTTCTATTAGGAGCATCTCAAGAAGGTCGACAAATACTACACAATCATCACTTGAAAGTTTTTGAGGCCTTTCTGTTGTGACATGCAAAATACAAGAAAGAAAACGAAGAAAAATGCAGCACACCAAAAGGTAAGTACCCTGCCATGGTAAAATTGAACTCATTTTGAGATATCAAAGTAGAGGAAATACAATTTACCAGTTTCCACGGTAGAAGAACAACAAGACAATGACAAGTATAACCAGGTTCCACAGAGGTTAAAGATAATTCTTTATCTTTTATTACAGAAGCAAAAAAAAACATGTAAAACTAATCAACAGGGGCAAACATAAGCTAAATAACTACTTAAACAAAATTGGCAACGTGAGTTAGCCTAAAAAAATGAAACCATCTTTCCTGAATGCTACACCAAAGAACCATAATAACATAAAAATTACCTCAATTTTTGAGTCTGTCTCAATCCATTTGGACCAGAAGTCAACTATAGTAAAATGTTGATCCTTGGACAGAGAAAGACTAAAGGAAGACATTCACTGATGCAGTTTCACATTCACAATGGTCCATGCATTGAAGGCATTTTCCTCTCAGGATTTATACTTCTTCTGCTCTCTTTTTTTCCTGCATCAAGATTTTTTACAACCCTTCTTAAGATTTATTTTCGAAAAGCTACGGGATTGAAGCTTTCAATGGAGCAATATCTTACCTTTAAACTAGAGTGGCGTCGAGAATGATTAGAACTCTACAACAAGAAATATGGAAAAAATGTTATTAGAAACAAAGACAAAAAAAATTAAAGTATGAACTACTCAAAACTTGCAACTGAAAATTAATATTACCCATTGCACTCTGTATGAAATGTCAAAGTAAAATATTAGAGCTCTGTTTAATACCAACTCATCAAAATTCTTTCCCACCACAGTCACTATGCTTGCGTTTTCCGGCAGATTACACGGGGTTTGATCTTAGCTCATATATGTTCCAAGTCTCTTCAGACTCGACGATATCCTAAAAAGAACATCAAAAGAGGATTCTATATGACTATATCTCATACTTACATTATCTGGAACTGGCTCTGACTTATAGTAGCGTGAAACAACTCCATGAGCGAGTCCTGAACACAACTCCTAAATTAAAAATCGAAAAGAGGATGACATGAATCAGTTACCATATGAATATTTGAAAGGAAGAAAAAAAAAAGGTAAAGCAGATTCATACTTCTATATTGTTTGGTGAAGGATCTGATACGAGCAAATACTTGGAGTTCAGGTTGTTATCAAAAGCAGCAACATGTTGATAAAAACTATAGATTAGTCCCACATTGGCTTTGCATTATTGTTAGTAGATCACAAAGTGTCAATCACACAGACTGAGGTCACCGGAATAAGGTCAAGAATTATCAGTAGGTAACAAAGAGTCACTCCGTAACTTACAACAGTTTTATTCCCAGCTTCTATTCTGAATTAGGTCAAGAATGGCATTGCAAGGTTCTCATTTGTTATATCGACATATATTAACATAAGCTGAAAGAAAAGAATAACCAGTTAATAGAGAGTCTAAACACAAATTTTGTCTGGTCTTTAAGATTCAGCATAAGAGAATTACCTTCGATTTAAATTTTCTTGCAATATCTTCAAGAGGCTGAGCAAGTTTCTGAAAAACATTTGAGGTAATCTCATCCATTGCTTGCAATCCAGTTGACTGATATAAAAACATTTAAGCATCACAAAGGGACATAAAACAATGCATCATGACACAAATCATGCAGTGATACACAGGTCATTAAAGAGATATGAAATAAATACATGTCACAATAACTAGAACACAGACACGGAAGAAACGGTGGCAGTTCTACTCAGATAAAATAGCACTGGAAATATTCACTTCATGGTTAGCATGGCCGCAACAAAAACATCTACCAAAATAGTTCATCATAAAACCAAAATAACTATGTTCTACGGTGTAACGGTGTAAAGTTTTTGAGAAAGAGAGATAAAATGATTGATTCATCACGAAGCTTACTTGTCTTTTTTCAACATCTGGGTCTTTCAGTCCTTTAGATAAGAATGATAAGAGGAAGCACCCTTTCACCAAGCTTCCTAACCAGCTCTCCAAGTGATCTTCCTGCTACCTACACAGTATAATAGACTCATACAACTGCAGGATAAAATATAAGGAAAGAAACAAAAAAAAATTAGAATACAAACCTGGCGCCTCTCAGAAGATGGTGATGCCAAAGAAGAAATTAAGGTACTCATCAAAATTGGCATTATTTCCTTCAACGTCTTTGGTGTATTTGCTATAGGTTAGCTGTTAACCTTGAACATTGGTTACCACGTAAATACTAGACTACAGGTTTTGAAAGGAAGGATAAACAACAAGAAAAACACAACACAAAAAATGCTGTTAACCTTGAACAATAGATCCCCAAGCAGTTCAACAGAACTTTGACGGATACGCCAATTATCATTGAAAATACCATCCTCCACAACTGGAAGAAGAAGAGGCAGAGACCTGCAAAACCAATGATGCTACTATTAATTACAGGATCCAATCTCCTGATACAAGACCTGAGATCTAAATAAACTCAATTCAAACATAATTTATCAATGTAATTTACCACAAATTCAAGAGTAACAATAATGGCACCTACTGGCTTAAAAATTTAATCAATCTACGGATCATATTAGGTCAACATTAGCTAATCATGCCAAAAAAAAATCAGAGAGAAGCTTTTATAGTGTAAATTTATACGTTGTAGCATGGTGCTCGACCAGTACATGGCCAGCCCCCAGGGATGCATCACGAACAGATTCATTCTCATGGGCAAGACCTAAAACATCAAAGAGCACCACCAATTTAGTCAATGAGTCAAAACCTAGTTCAGAAGTTAAAAGTTTGCCAAAAAGTAATAGGTCCACAATTCAGAATGGCCGGTACGACAAGCTGCAAGTACTTCTCGAATTGAGCACCCAAGGATCATGGTAAGAACTGCGAGTAACAAACAAAAGCTTTTAGAATTTTTACAAAACTGACATTTAAGGAACATCTAAGGAGCAACTGGTTTCACCTTGAAAAGCGGAAGGTATCCATCTCGGACCGATGCTTTTTGATGAGAACAATGACGAATGAGGTCAGTAAGTATATTCTCAAAGTAATCTGTCCCAAGAGCTGCTATAACCTGAAATATAAGGAGAAAACGTTCTACCAGATGCAGCTACAATTTGGGGAAACAATTGTTAAGCAGATGCTGAGATAAATGATTTCTAAATTTCTGTAATTCCATTTGCCATACACCATACCAGTTTTAAATGTACTTGATTGAAACATTAAAAGAAGGTACCAAATAAAGTGAGTACAAAAGCATATATACAGAGACGTTTCTTTGAGTTAAATGTAAATTAAGAGAATCAATCAGCTTATAATTGAACAGTAAAACCCTAATACTCATGCAATGATGTATTGGAAAATCGAAGTATTGAAAACCGTGAAGATAACAAGATTAAGCTCATAGTGTAAAAACACATCTTATTCTCCATACCTCACTTAATCCCTGAGCAGCTCCAGATCTTTCAACATTGCTTGTATCAGATTTTAGAGTTTCAAACAGCCACGGAACAAGATCTGGGAAATTATTCTCTCCCATTCCTCTAATAAGTGACCCAACAGCCCTTGCTGCAACAGAACGTACCTCGGGAATTGGATCCACAAGAACCTGAGAGAACTCATTATTTTGGTAAGAACTGCAGTTTACTTTTCTAACCTCAGGAAGGAGCAATCCTATGTAAGGAAACATATCCTTTGGCTCTGTCACCAAAGAACACATATTACCGACAATTTGAGAAGCTCTCTTTTTTTTGTTTCAGAACTTCTTTCTCTCAATCCTCTATGCACTATTGGTACCAATAGTGCAAGCGAGGGGGCATCAACAGAATTAACGAATGTTGTCTGTAATAAGAGAAGAAAGATTCAGAAAGAAACAGAAAAGAAGAGATGTATAATCGAACACAATTAAATACGGAAGCCTTACTTGAAGAAGGATGACAAGCGAATGTCGTGTGTACTCATTGGGATCTGTTAAGGCCAATAGAAGAGTGGGGACAAAAGAGGATATCTCTGGGTTCTTTATGACACTTCCAAGTTCCAACCTAGAAATAATGGTGAGTGGGAACTCTAGTCAGTAAAATCCACCAAATGTGAAATTTCTTCTATTATATCAGTCTAACCTGCTGAAGTGACCTGCCCAGCTGACTGGACATTTGGATGTGTATCAGTCAAAACCTGTATAATGTTAACTCATGATATCAGATACAGTTAAGAAGCAACTGATATCTACAACCATACACACCTCTGTAAGTTTTGGCACAGCCCTAGGAAGGCATTGAGACAGTTGCTGAGGAGCACAAAATGCCATAGCACCGAGGAGCTGTACACTGTTTTGCTTTGTTCTCCATGCTTTATCTTCAAGACCCTATCAGAAAGAATGAAATCAACAAAAAAGTACCTGTCATGTAAGAGCACAGAATAAATGCAACTAGGTATACCAAGTTTAGTAACTGAACCTTATTTCTAAGGAGCAGCACTGCCATCATTAGTGAATATATAAGATAGAGAAGGAAATCATGTGCATTGTGTCGAGATTTAAACAAATGGTAGAGTTATTACTCTTGCTAAGTGCTCCGGTGAATATAACAACACCCTGAACCAGGTCATATTCCTCCTCATCAGATGCCAACATGATAAGAGATATGATGAAGCTCTGAAGCAATTCATAATAATCATGAAACAAACGGTGTATCCAGCAGGTTTTCAGTTGGTTGTAGAACAAACCTCTTTATTTAAATAATTCTCAAAATGAAACGTTTTCTTTGCCATGCTTATCAATAATCATGTTACCAGCATTGATCATCTTTCCACGAACATCTTTGTTGGGATCAGCCTGCACTTGAGAAAAACACTCACTTTCATATAATTTTCTGACAGTCAAAAGCTTCAAGCTAAGTTTCCGAGAACAACATAAAATGTGGGTTTCCAGGTGAAAATCCTTTGCAACATGGCTTAGAATGGGAGAGTTCTTTCATTTGACAAGCATTCAGCTGATAAGATGAGAAGAAATACCAGTGCGCAGAATATAAAAAAGGTCATAACAGCAGGAAGGTCCTTTGTTGTCAATACATCAGCAGCAGATTGCAGTGCTAAGGCAATTCCCTGCCTTCCTATCCAACCAGCATCAAAGACATCCTCACCAGACGTAGCATCACAGATGTACAGAGAAAATAAAGTGGAAAGAGATAGCTTCAAAACCAATTATTCTTTGAAAAACCATACTTATTGCCACAAAAAGTAATAATTCAAGAAAGGAAGTGACCTGGCTTGATGTCGGGCTTTCATGAAGAGCATCAGCCAGTAGTTCTGCTGCAGCTAAACAGACATTGAGATATATATGAGAAAGTGCTTTAAAGATTCCTGAATAATCAGTCCCCAAATCATGACCATAGCGGGCCTATATATCATCTGCTGATTCAGCCACTGACTGCAAGCATAAAGATCACAGAGCATCAGATGGTGTAACTATGAAAAACAATAGGAGGACAATAACTTTGGGAGCCCAGTCAAGTACATCAATTTATTATAGTTGACACGGCAAACAATGATATAAACAGTATTTGTGTACAATACAAGAAGATAACATAACTAGATATCACATCAAATTATGAAGGTTAACCTTTTCAGGGTCATGTAGAGCTATCCAAATGTTGGTTGCTATATTTAACATTCTGAGGAAGGGAGCATTTGGAAACAGCAGGAATACCCTTTACAGCGTTTAAGTAGGCCATTTTGACACGAAGATCTTTTGAATAAACTCCGTAGAGCGCCTGTAAACAAAAAATAATTTAATATGACTCTAGAAGTGGAAAATTTGCTCACAATAAATAGTTAAAAGAAATACATTTGCGACATCAGCAGCTTGCAATCTAAGACACAATTTAGTGCAGGTCCAACTGATGCTTGATATGCGGGAACAACACCTAGCACATGATATAGAACCTGAAGAAAATTTAGTTCAGATGTTATATTTGAGAAAGGGAAGCACGTGATAAAGAACCTGAAAAATTTAGAACAATTTCAGTCGTCACAGATAAAAAATGGAAAGAAATGAGCACAATGTAATTGGCACTAAAACTGAACGACTGTACAGTGTAAAAACAGACAGGGTTCAAGTCATTAAACTGATATCATCCGGAGTCTTGGAAGTGGCAGCATCGGATCTAGATGCATGTGCAGAATATGAAGCACATCATCATGAAGTTTGTCCGCTTTGATGCCATGTACAGAATATGAAGCACATCATCATGAAGTTTGTCCGCTTTGATGACAGTAAAATTCGCTCCAGTATCTGGCAAGACAAAATCACAGCCCATTTAGTGTTAGAAAATACAAGTTAGAATAATGTCAACAGAAATGGTAAGGAACACGCCGGGAAAATGAACGTGAACTACAGGAAGTGGTCCTGATTTACAAGATACGGATACGCTGTTATAATCCTCTCAAAAGGACCCTCATATGTTTTCCCAGCCTTGTCAACTGATGGACGAAAATCAGATGAAGCATCAACTTCATCACTCGAGGTCAAGCGCAGAGAAGTTGAAATTTCTAGAGCCCAGTTACACAGTGGCTGAACTGTACACCTTGCAAGCTTCACCAAGTTTTCAAAGGCTGCAGCACTTACAATAGGTGATCGCAGCAATGGATCCAAAAAAGTAGCCTGGTAAAGTGATACGGTGAGTGTAAGAAGTTAATCATAGAATTATAGGAGCCTAATATGCCAAAAGAATAATATTCATGTAAATAAACATAAGGAGTATCAGTGACAGTGGCAGAGGAATGAAAAATAATTGTTTCTGAAATCTATTCATTCACTCTATAGCATATGGATAAGTAAAACTGTTATGGAACAAAGCTTTTACATACCAAAAAAGGTTATTGGCTGTGACAAAACACAGGATTGGCAAGACCCATCTCCCCAAGGGCATGAAGCACCAACGAAATACTTTTTTGTATCCTGTGAACATTTTCCCGTGTTGAGGCCTCCTCTTTGAGCATCAGTTCCCGTGCCTCTTCCTTTGCCGTTTTTCCTTTGTCTGAAATTATTAATTCGCTGAAGAATATATATATGCTGGGGGCATAATATTATTACTATAGAGTGCACTCTGTATTGCACTCTGTATGAAATGTTAGAGTAGAATGTTAGAGCTCAGCAAGTGTCTAGATAGATATAGTAAAAGTGAGGAGATTTACCTTAATGTCAGACTCTGAGAGCATATCATGAGACATCAAGGAACAAATTAAACGGTACATATACCGTCTTAAACACTGTAAATGTATCTTCTGGTGCCAGAGACATCATGGTGGACAAGGAATATACTGCCTCTTGCTGCTCCGAAGTTTTAGGACTCATTAGACCCATTGGTCCAAATAGACTCTGAAACAATCATCAATTCAATAGTTGATTTGTAACGCCAAGAAACAATAAAAAAACCTCAATTTTCGTTACATAGAAGTCATTGACAGTCATGAGATTACCTTGCAAACACTTTCCGCGTTGGTAGACAAAAAAGTAGTAACATCAAAACCACAAATTTTGAGACACTTTTGCAATCTCTGCGTATATCAGAAGGTGTATATCACTATTAAAAATTGCAAACAAAAGAAATATGGGTAAGTAGAATTAACCATGTCGAATGACCAATGTCAAGATTACCTTCCAAACATCTTCTCTTTTTCTAATTAACCAATGTCGAATGACTACGCTGGGATGATGCGAGCAGAATATGGCTCGAACAATCCATGAACTTGGAGGTCCAGTAACTGCTGCCGATGAAATGACAATCAAAGCCTTCACTAAAACCTCTACAGAAGGGACGAAAGGAACTTGATGATCCATGGGATTATCTGCGTCACTACAGAGGTGCCAAGTTAGTTCCTAGAATGAATAAGTCGTTATTGGCATTTAGGTCCAAACCTTTCTAAATGTGAAATGAATCTAACTGTTAATAAAAAGCCAAGATCAGAGAAATTATAACATCAGAGCTAACTAAACACAAAACTGGCAGCAATATACCTAGTGGCTTGGTGGGATGAAATAATAATACAAAAAGAGCTTATATTTTGTACCTGGTTCTAGAAGAAACAATTTGGTCCCCAGTTATGGAAAGAAAATCCGAGAACTCGTCTAAAAGTGTAGTGGCTAGCTGTGAAGTTGCGAGGAAGATCTTTGTAACAGAATTGTAAGCTGTTTTACGAACATTCCAGCTTGGATGTCAAAGTAGAAATTGAAGCAACTGCATAGAAAAGAGATGAAACATAAGTGCAGAACAGGGAGAAACGGGTCAAAAAACATGAACTAGCTTCGGCTACCTGTTATAGTGAAGTAACTGCATAGAAAAGAGATGAAACATAAGTCCGGAACAGGGAGAAACGGGTCAGAAAACAAGAACTCATTTAGGCTACCTGTGATAGTGATTTAAATGAAAATGCTTCCAAAACCCTGAAATCAGGCAGGAGAGATAGTTAAAACTTCTACAAACAGTCAGACAACGAATCTCACACATTATGCAGGAGGTTTACCTGGAGGAGTGTTCCACGAGGAGCACCACAAGAAGGTCGACACATACTATACAATCATCACTTGAAAGTTTTGAGGCCTTTCACTTACGACATGCAAAGATAAGAAAGAAAACGAAGAAAAATGCAGCAGAACAAAAGGTAAGTACCTTGCCATGGCAAGAGCAGATCACAGAAAAAGTACCAGAAGATATCAAAGTCACATGGGATAGAAAGAATGAATAAGCAAGACCTTTTGGGTTTGTTAGGGTCAACATCTCGTTCTTCTTCTTGTTTTTTGTTGTCACTTCGTCTTCTGCAAGAAACTGAATTAGCCCTTAATGTTTTCTTACTACTGGCTAAAGACTTATAAAGTAAGTTAGTAACTTTTATGATAGTTTTGATTTTCTCCTTCTTCTTGAGAAATTGGAGAGCTTCTTGTTTATGGAGTTTCTCATCTTCTTTATCAGGCTCATGGCTTCTTCATCATTCATCCTTTTTATATTCTTCTAACAATATATCATCCAACAACTGTTTTACATGTTACATCAGATTGATCAGCCACTAATATCGTTTTAACGTTTTATACTCTCGTATAAGTTAGGGACCATACCTTAATAGCTTGCCCGTCTTGTTATATAGTTACTTGATTCAAGAAGCTTTGAGTTGTAGTCTGCGAAAAACTGTAAACCAAATATTTTGAAATTATACTAGTCTAAAGCAAGATCTTACGAGCATAAATTATAATGTACTTATGTCTGAAATGTGAATTTTACCTGGAGATTAGTGTCAGGGGGGTCCATTGTTGCTATTTTGGGCCAAGGATTCTCTGATGTACTTGAGTCTACTTCCAAGTACAAACCATCTTTCTGATCTTCTCTCTATAGAATCACGGAGTAGATGTTAAGAGAAATTAGAGACGTTACACACATGTAAAAGCTCTATTATCCTCCAATTCAAGGGTGTGTCTGAATAGTCTTGTATCGGGTTCATCGTTGTGTCCTTGAAACTCTTTGTTGAACTAAAGGCCAAGAACTTCTGTTCCATTTCCTCCATCTGCCTACATGACAGTTAAATGACATGAAGTTAGGTGATTGACGAAAACATATTCTGGTTGAACCGCACGGGTAAATCAAAACTAACTGAGTGATGAATGTTTTGCTTGTCATTTTATTTGAGGAGCATTCTCCTCTGTTCTGTCCAGGTTTATTGAAATTCTACCACCTTTATTGAAGTTCTACCACCTTTATTGGCTCTTCTTCATTGGCGGATGGATAATGTCTCACTGGTGTTCATACTTCATCTTGCTGAATAATACAACTGATTACACATGCACCTGCAGGACACAGGCTAAAACTCACTTCTTCCTCTTTAAGAATCTTGGTCCTCGTCCTACTGAGACAATAGAAATAAAACCAGATTAGGTAGACACTACAACACATGAGCTGTTTTAAACAGTCATGCTGTGTCAACTGTCAAGTAGCTGACACTTATTTTACTCGGGAGAAACTGCAGTTCTTTGATTATAAGTTTATAACTGTAGCGCAATTGATTCATGTCATTTCAGAGCATCTTTGTCATATCTAGTTTCCTTGGCAGCCTAAGCATAGTCTCACAAATATTATATAACAGTGATTCAAGAACTAGTAATGTGGTTACCATTATGAGACCACCAACAACCCATCCACAAGATTGTGGGGATTTAGACATTGCTTCTCAACCCATCAACAAGATTGCCACTGCTTCCATTTGTTCCTTCCTTGTCAGCTTTGTTTCCAATAATGATGAGATGAAAAATGTATGGGACTGGAAGACAACCAAGCCCACCAGAAGAAAGAGGAGCTGAACATGTCCCAGTTACTGAAACTTCACCCGCCATTTCTGAAAATAATTTCTGTTCTTCTCTGGGAAAGATCATGAACAAAAATGTCCTGAAAAATTAAACAGTATCATCTGTAAGACATAATTTGAGACATAATTGAAAAGACACACCTTCAATTTGTGAATAGAACAGTGAGCGGCAATCTTTTTTATCTCTCATGACCTGATGCAAAACTGGTAACAAACAACAACAAAGCCGTTTGTTAGCTATTGAACAAAAGATTACTTCTTGTATATATATATACTTCATAGAGGGCACAACGTTCTCTACCACCTTCATAAAACGTCACAAGGTTCTCTTTTTCTCATCACAAGTTAATAAATGAGCCTGTGGCCAAAAGTGGACCGAAAAGAAGGCATTTCAAAGAGTAAAACACATAATCGTAGGTCTCGAATGGAAGATAGGTAATCGCCTCAAGAATGCCTTCTAAGAGTTTGCTAGGGAAATCAGTGGTATGGGAGTTTTTTTGGAGATAGTCTCAAATTCCCTATACTTTATAAGAAACGCATTAAAAACTTGAAACTCGAAAAAAACGCAGGAAAGGAAAAGGGATTATGGAGTGTTTACCATATATGTTCCTGAGATCTTTAGGTAGTCGTGTCGCCAGAACTGCAAAGTACTCTTGTCACTAAAAATAGGAGTTTATAGATATCAAGGCGATTAAGTCTCTCTTAAACAACCTGGAAGATATGTTTATATATGTTATGTTCATAGCCGGCAATTATGTTTGGAAGCTTCCTTTCTTTCAGCAGAAGGATCATCAAGATCAAGCTTGGCTATAAGTTCACCAGCCTGTCAAAAAAACATACAAAACTGTAGGAAACCAATTTTTGATTAGCAGTGGAGCGGTTTTTCACCTGCATTGCTTGTCCTTCAGAAGTTTTGAAATGGATAACTCTTGACGCAAGTGAGAGAAGTGGCATGCACATCTTCATGACCTCACCTGTTGTTTGTAGTAAACAAGTTCTTCTATCAATGAGAAGACAGGTTACCATCCAACTGAAATGACAGTGAAAACCAACCAAGGAGGTGAGATTCTCTAAAACCACCTAACTGGGTGACACATCTTTCTGTTTAATAGTATGGAACAAAATCAGAGAAGTTTCATGCATCGACAGACCTTCATCCAGTAGAGTTCGTATTTCTGATACAACTTCTGAATTTTTCAACTTCTAGTTCTGTTCGGGCTAGTGAGCCTTGGTAAAACTACATGTTTAGTGCTTTGATACTATACACATACCGTATATTTACTTCCTGAAATATTCAAAGACACTTGAGAATGCACAAGAGATATATGCTGCAATTTAAGAGAACAAAACTAAGCTACAAAATCAATACGATAGATACAAAAGAGAGTGATGATATTAGATTACCTCTGGCGAAATTTCCTTACTTCTCAAGACATAACGTAATCCAAAACCACAGAAGCACTGGTCATGGATGCTTTCTGAAGAAGTAGAATATCTCGTCACAATATAGGAAACTTTCCAAGAAAAATAGATATCTGAGAAAGAGGGTCTTACATAGAGTGCTCCACCGATAACAGCCGGATACCATGAAGGCCTCTCTGCTCTGACCCGCATAGCAATCTTACTTGATGATCTTGTAGTTTGAAATTGGATAGAATAATTAAAATGGAAAACAGGAACCTACCATTATCTCACATTCTATTGTAGGATTTAGTGGAGATATACTAGAGCAGTGAGCTTAGTTTGTGTTGTATTCTCAGAGTCCCCTGTACTGCACACCCTCAGCTTGAGGTATTGATGTTCCATCGGAACCTGGACAAAGACATATTAATATTTGGTAGTAAAATAACATCTACGCTTTCTGTAAATCTAACAAGTAAATATAACAGACATTTTATTCTACTGGGTATGTTGATAGTGTCTCTTTTTCTGGTGCGGCTTGCTCTACTTGTCGTGTAGTTGGACTACCTCTTTCTTTAGCTGTAAGAAATGGGATAGATCATAAGTCATAACTCAAACCTCCAGAATACTATAGATCAATTAGATTGTGAACAAGAAAATAAATAAATGCAGGGAGAAATTATAAGTGTAACTGCAATACCAAAGAAGATAGTCATAATAGTGAGTTCATGGTACAACCTATTTCCTAAGATCTTAACATGGTGAGCTACCTAACAACCTTAAGGTCCTTCCAGTTGTGCCGGAAACGACCGAAGCCTAACCAGCACTTCTCAACTGACATTCCAGTTTGGCCAACTCCCTCTGCAAATACAAAGAAATTTACCGGATATGTAAAAAGAATGTAACAAAAGCATACAGAGACAGAATAGATTAAATCTAACAAGGAAAACTCTATCACAACCATTGAATCTAACAAGATCAACTATATCTCGTCCACATATGTATCTTAAGCACAAACATTCAACATCATCAATCAATCTTATCACTCACCTATATGTCCAAATGCTCACAAAGATCTCAGTCCGTCTCACTAGCAGAAACTAAAACCTGATGAGAGAAAAACAAACCTTAAGAACTCGACGTGGGCACCATCAAGCTGTCTAGTTCACTTACCAACCCAAATCATATGAGTATAACAATCATTGCAGAGACCACGTTAATGATTGTTCATAAGGCAAGGGCAAACAGTCATAAGAATTCTAGAACTTCGATGTTTGATTATGGGATGATCCAGCGTTAGTCCAGCAACGTGCATGAAACCGAGTGAATTAGGCTAATCAGATGCTAAAAAGGTGAAAAAATCATTAACTATTTTGGATCTTCTAGACACAAACAATCAGCATCAATCTTTGTGGCAAATAAGCGATCCAATTTAAAATCTTTATTTGTTTTGTTACCTATCTCCTTGGTCAATTCGTTTAGTGAAATCAAGATTTGAACTCTCTGCGTAGTGGCTTAACCTCTGAAGATAATGAATCCTCGATTTTGCATCAATCGATTGATGTTATCCCCTTTGAAACGAATCGCGAATTGACCTAAAACTCAATTCTCTTAGAATACAAATTCCAAAAATCTCTTAAAAACTAATCAAATCTCAATCTCAATAATCCTCGAACATATAAAGAAGAACCCAGAAAGTATTGTTATAGCGTTGAACACGATCGTGACTTTACCTTCCTCGTCTTCCGCAGGATCTCGTCTTTTCTCCGTCAGAAAATCCACCGTCTTCTCCTTCTCGTTCTTCATCTTCTTCAACATCGCCTCCTACTCCACTAGATCGTTGTCCAACGACTTCGTTTCTTTCCACTTCGCTGAGATCGGCTACAACGGAGGCTCGACGATCTAACTTTTCTGCTTCAACGCTTCTCAAATATTTCGCCGGAGATGGAGATGTCAAAATTTGGTAGAGCGTCTGAGAGCCCAACGGTCAGAATTCGAAATCCAAAACTGAGACTTTTGTGAATTTAAAAGACTCTTGGTCTCCAAGGCTTACGCAGAGTTATATCACTCGTTTCGATTTTGCGTTTTTGACCGTTTGAAGAGTGTTTCTTCAACCCTTAAACCAAAGCAAATTTACATAACCAAATTTTCATTAAACCGACTCCATAAAAAACTATAACCGTTGTTTATTAAAATCGATCTGGTTTAATTGAAGGACACATGTCCTTTGATCTCTAGCGCCTTGTTGGGGATTCTGTTCTGTATCATTTACCCATAAGCTCAATCCAACAATCAGAATCATTCCTTCGCTTAATGTAGCTGCTGATCTTCTCGGCTTCTTCTTCGTCAAATCGTGGACTGGGTTCTTGTCTAAATTAGGGTTTTCATCTAAACCCTTTACTAAGCAAGAGAACACTGTTATTCAGACTTGCGTTGTCTCCTGCTACGGTCTTGCTTATAGCGGTAAGAATCGTTACTAGCTTGCAAATGGGTTAATAGTAATCTTCCTGATTTGTTTACTTTTAGTTTCATGTGTGTTGATGATGAACAATGGGTTTGATTTTGAAGCTGTTTCTATATTCATTATGAGTCAGTGTCAAATGTTAGTCTCTGTTGATAAATACTAGTGTTTATGGTAAGAATCAGGTAACTTTATCAACAGGATTCTCCATTAGCTTAAACCACAATTTGGATAATCTTGTTTACGTGAGAGAATCATTCATAATACTAAGTTATTCTAGCTACTGTGCAAGTTTAATACGGATGATACTAACTTTGGATCCACTTGATGACTTTGTTGAAGGGAGTTGTAGCTATTCCAATTCCACATAGTCGATATGCAGCAGATGCACATTGATGGCCTCTGACACATGGTGTTCCAAGCCACTCTACATTTCTGGATAATAAGATGAATCATGCCCATCTCTTACTTATGCCTTGGAGCCAAAGTTGAGCCACACACGAAATTGAATCAGCTTCAGCCATTTTTTTCTCGGTAGAACTTTGGTAAGGCATTCATTTTAGTGTAGTTTACGTATAGACATAGTTAGTCTAGGAAGATTTGTTGGGGATTGTTGCTTTGTTTGACAGCTTACCAACTGAGTTGGATTTTGAAAGGAAAGTAGGGGAAAATGTTAAATTTGCTAAAGAATGAAGGAACTCAGTTGGTTTTTTTTTCAAACTTGTGCAGCTTTCATGTCGTCGTCCCCTATGCCATACCCTTTAGACTGCTTTTATTCTTGCTTCTGACTCTGTTTAGAGCCTCTTGCTCGTTGTAGATTGATTTTATTTTGTGACTATATATGGCTACATTATGGTTATTAGGTAGGGGTGCCTACATAGCATAGTCAATGGGTAAAAATCCAGAGTCATCTTCATGTTTAAACTAGTCCAAAAACCGCAAAGAGCAACACTTCTGCTTTAGTTGTATCGTTGAAATGGTAAGGATTAGGAGAATCTTGATAGGTTTGAGCTGTCTTGTATTTTTAGATTTGTATTAATGTAGCAAATTTGAGGTTTAGGCGTGGAAGGTTTGACCGTGTATCAGGGAAGGTTTCAAGAAAGGAAGAAGTTGAAGAACAAGAGCATAGATTAATTGTCAGGTTGTTTCTGATACATAGAAACTTGAAAGGGTAAGAACAATCAAGAAATAGAAACTGATCTTGTTTAGTTCATGCTTGTTTTGTTGTCCTAAGCAGAGATAAACACTAGTTTTGTTAATTCACTTCACTCGTAAATTTTTACGTCAAATCTATCATCTTGTAACACTTGCTTATTTCATTGAATGCATAACTCTTTCTTTGAGTGTTTGTCTCATGCTAGTCCGAATTTGAAAGCTTAAGGCCGCCGAATCCACTATCATTTTATATAATTTTTTTTTCAAGTTAAAAATGTTCCATGAACATACAAAACTCAGAAATATTGACTCTGTTATTTGGTTACAAACTTTTTTTTTTTGGTCAAAATTTGGTTACAAACTAAATAACCAAATAACATCATCAAAACACGAGTTGTTTCAATGACTTCACCAACCATACATGAATCTTTCGTTTCATTTCGCTCTCATTCCCATATTTTCATGTTCATTAACAAAAACTGCTGTTGGTAATAAAAAAATTCAGCAGAATTTGAACTATGAAATGGAGATAGTGGTCGAGCGAGAAAGAAAATCACAAAGCTAGTATAATCCAACAGTTACACCAATCCGTGCGTTGTTTCTATATTTTCATGGTAAAAAAGAAGTTGTTCTAGTAGTTATAGTATAAACACATTTATTCTGGTGGCAAGCTTTGCAATACGAGAAGCTTAACTTGAATCAGAATTCACCCACACAACTGCAAGAGTCACAAGGGAAGCATAGATTGAAGTAGGCAGCTTCTGCACAACTTTGCCAACTCCCGGGACACCTTCCGTGGCCTTCTTCGTCGCAATAGCCACAGTTGGAGCCACAATCAAAGATATGATCAAACCCTGACTCCACGTTAAATGTCTCAGCCGTAATCTGCTCAATAAACTTCACAAACTCATCCCTATCAATTTCTCCATCCAAGTTGATATCGCAATCCTGTTAGAAGAACATCACACAAACAATATGAGCAATCAAATTTACCAAATTTTTTAAAGACTTGAATTGATTGTCTGGTTGTCTCCATTTTATTTTGGTTAACACAAAATTTATTTGCTAATACTTAAAATCAATATTAATATTTCGGTAGACCCTAATCAAGCGTTTGATCCAGCCAATTAATCGGAGATTAAGCAACGATTTTGTATCCATAATATTTACTTTTTACATGTTTTGAAAATGTAAAAGTTAAATATATTATTTAGACTATAATTTTTTTTTTTTAAATGTGTTTTTATTTATTCCAAAAACTTCAATGAAAATCCTTTTAAAACACTTTAATCAGTTGCCTAGACCGATTAGTCATGAGCAATACTTGGGTGCACCCTAGGGGTGAATCCTTTTATTCACCCCCTTTTATTTTAACCAATCAGAATTCGCCACTTAATAAAAAAAATTAAACTCATTTAATTATTAAATTTAATCCCTAACCATTCTTTTGTACACCCAAACCGATATATAATCTCGTTTAATTACAAAATCTAAACCCTAATTCTCCTTTGTAAACCCAAACCGCCATTTAAACTCGTTTAATCGTAAAAAATCTAACCCTAATCGTATTTTATAAACCCAAACCGACATCTAACCTCGTTTAATTGTAAAATCTAAATTTGTTTATAAACCCAAACCGATATTTAACCTCGTTTAATCATTAAATCTAAACCATGATCGTACTTTATAAACCCAAACCGACATCTAACCTCGTTTAATTGTAAAATCTAAATTTGTTTATAAACCCAAACCGATATTTAACCTCGTTTAATCATAAAATCTAAACCCTAATCGTACTTTCTAAACCCAAACCGACATTTAACCTCGTTTAATTGTAAAATCTAAATCTGTTTATAAACCCAAACCGATATTTAACCTTGTTTAATCATAAAATCTAAACCTTGATCCTTTCTAATAAACTCAAACCGATACATAATTTCGTTTTAGTGGTAAATTAGATTTTAAAATTAAATTAAATTTTTATTATTATTATTAAATGACAAATTTTGATTGGCTCAAATATAGGGAGTGAATATAAGGGTTCACCCCTAGTATTTTTCTTTACTATGTGCTAAAACAATGATGTAATAATTAAACAGCATTTGGGCTCATAATGGTTGAAAGATATGTCTGCGTAGGCCCAACATTACTGATATAAACAAGTTTCATTTTCCGGGTCGGGTCATAAGATCCGAATTTACAAAGGCATTCAAATTTCACTCTCTTTGTTCAATCTAAAACCCTAAATCTTGTTCGATTAGTTTTCGCTAAAAACCTGAGTTTGAAATCGTTGAAGATTTGAAGACACTTAGATCTGTCAAAATGGGCAAACCAAGCAAAGCGTGTGGTTTTTTTCAAACGATTGTTCATATGGGCTCAGATTTTTTTTTTGGTTCTTTAATGGTTTTGTGTTTGAGATTTGGTTTAGTGACACAAAGTTTCTGACGTTATTTTTCATTTTTAAGAAATTCGATAAGAAGCTTCAATTTTACACAAGTAAGCTCGAATTCGAAGTTTTTTCTCCTAAACAAAGAAATTGCAATGTGTCTGAAACTTTGTTTGTGAATGCAGAGGTCAAAGATACAGTTACTTCTTTGTCTGTCCAAAAGGAGATTGGCAAGGTAAACACTTCCCTTAGGATTATGTTTCCCCCATTAGTGAAAGTATCAATCTATGTTAGAAATTATTAAGAATGTTGCGATACTGCAATTTGTGTCCATTGTTTAGTGCAGGCATTGTAGGAATTGTAGGAGTTTGTAAATGAGCTTACTTCTATTATGGAGTTGGTTGCTATTGTGAAAGCTTTGAACTTTTTATATATATGTATGATTTGCTAATGAGGGTAACTCTAAGTACGGTTTGTTCAGAAGAAGAAAATCCACAGCCGTCAAAAGAAGTTAAAAGGCGTATGATCTCACCAACCTCTCGGAGTTTCTTCCTGAGTTTAATGCTTTGCAGAAGTCAGCTCTTCCTGCACCCGAGTTGAAGATGAACTGTAAAAGGCGACAAAAGCTCGTGTAAACTCTCTATTTCCACTGTGGTTGAACTTTCTTTGTTGCCAATTGAATCTGAAGGATTGTGTTGTGTGTTTTTAGATTGACGGAAGGGGAAAGATTGAATAAGGTTCTAGACCATCCAGCTTTTCAAGCTGATCCAATTGGTTCGATATTTCAGTATTTGCAAAGTCAACAGCCACCGGAGGAAGAGAAGCCGAAGAAGAAGACTAACACAAATGGAAGCAAGAAAAGGAATAAGAAAAAATGAAAGGCTGAATCCATGGATTTCTGATCTTGTCCTATAGAGATAAGTTTACTTATGTTTTGTTTTGTTGTTTTGTTATAGTAGTAACAAAAAACATGAGTTTGGGAATGAAGAATCTTCAAATTTGATCCTTGTTATTGTGCAAATGACATAAATTTTTCATAAACCTATAAAATGTGCTCGAATCACCAACACAAATCATCTCATTAATCACACCATTCAAGAGAGAAACCTAAATTTGTAAACTTATTTTATGGTTTCAAGCTAAATCTTCTGTGGAACACAAGGGATCACGAGATTGGTTCACTGATCTCCAGGAGTTCATTGCTGAGTCCTGTAAAGATGAGAGAGTCTGTTTCGATCGGTCTGAACTTGATGAACGAGGAATTAGAATAAAGGAGGAGAAGAAATAGGGAATTGCCTCATATCAGATCAGTTCACAAGGGGAAGCGATCAAGCACACAACTTCACGGTGACGATCAGTAGCATTACCAGAGATGCTTTGATGCGAGAGCAAGAGAAGAGACCTTTGATCAGAGTTTCGAGAAATGCTCAGCTTTTACAACTCCGTTCCCTGTGACAACAACCAGAAGCTCTAATGGATAAGTTTGTATCTGAGTTTTAGAGATGCAAACACGAAGAGATTCGGTTTGAAAACAGATTCCTAGAGTGACTTAAAAAGTTTTCAAAATTAAGCAAATCACCTTTCAAAATAGAGTTGAAGAACTTTTTGCAGCATAGCCAATAGCCCAGGTTTGTCTTTATCTTCTTTTTCCTGTTAATACGCTGATGGGCGTGTTTGTTTCTTAGTCGCTCAAGGAGCGACAGCGACAAATAAAATACACTGTTCCGATGGAACTTAATAACTCCAGCGACTAACTCGACGGTGAGGACTGTGATTTTTCAGCGACTGTGCTAGCTCAAATTGGACGCTGCGACTGTTCCACCTCAGTTTTCTGGTCGCAGCGTTTTGATATTTGAAGCAGAATTTAAAATAGCTTTACTTTTTAACTGTTACGGTGAAAGACATAAAGCATTTACACCTTTAATTTTTTCTGTCGCTGTCGCTTCTTGAGCGACTAAGAAACGAACACGCCCGATATCAGTAACCACGACTATATCACATGAAGACATCCAAAACTAGATATCCACAAGGGATATCTAAGGCATGCAGGTATACAAAACAAAAGTGATGATGTCTTGTTCAAAGGAAAGTGAAGAAGAGAACAGTTGTGCCGATCTTACTGCAAATAAACCTTCTTCTTCTACTCTTTATTTTGTTTATTTATCTTTTAGACTTAGGAATTTTAGGATTTTGGAATCAGAAGTTGTGTGCCTATATCTGTGTTTTTGAGGCTTCTCGATTGTGTTTAGGTTACGACAATGAATTCCAGAAACGTATCGCGTTAGGCCTAACACTGGAATTGTTTCATCTGAGGTCCACTTTTGAAGTTCTTGGTTCGTTCTCTGATCATCAGTTCTGTTTTGTTTATTGTATCTTTGATTATTAATGGAGAGTACAGACTACAGAGCAACTCTTCTTAAAAAAACATTGATGATACAATTAAAGAAGATTGAACAATCGAGCTAATGCCTAGAGAAGCATATCTTTCTTCCCCAATCTCTACTAAAGGTAAATTTACTCTATTAGATTGATGGCTTCAGGTTCTCTTGAAGGCCCTGAAATCTCTTCCACTGACGAAGAAGAAGAGACGATGAAACCACAAAAGAAGAGAGGAAAGAGAAACCCGAGTCTTGTTATTCACAACACAGTCAACTATTGTCACCACAGTTGTAGCTAACTCCTCATAGACCTTGTGCAAGAAACAAACCACCCACGAAGCATTAGAGGAAACAAAAGCGCTTGAAAGTCTGCTCTATCATTGATATAAACAATAGAAACCCATGCCTTATCATCTTCTGATTTGCAAGTATCCGACCTAGCTGCAAGTCTTATCCAAATCAAAAGCAAGTATATTTTCAACAACAATCTTCTCAACCTGTTCAATGCAAATGGCAGCAACAAGAGAGAAAAAAAAAATCAATTCCTTAAGAAAAGATAACAAAACACAAAATTGAGTTTAAGAACACCTTGCTCATATAGATGCTAACGGCCTCCTTGAATTGGCCAGTCATCGCCTGCCACGCGTCAACTCCACACTCGCCTAATTGCAACTTGACTTCACTTCGCACGTGTCTCCCCACACGTGTAATGCTATATCATACTAATTACCTTGGCTTCTAATCGAATCCTGAGAACAGAGAAAGCTTCCATAGACTCGAAGATACGAAAGCCCTTCAATTTTAAACCCTAATCTCGCTCTCTTTCTCTCTCTCGTCCGAATCAAATCCGATTGTCGTGGTGGGAGGAGAAGCGAAGCCCTAATTTTTCTCAGACGCCGTTCGTACGAGTTTGGGACCGAAAGAAAAGGACAAGATGATTTCCACGGCGAACGGCGAGGTAATCATTACTAACGATGGAGCTACGATCCTCAACAAGATGGAGGTTTTGCAGCCAGCGGCGAAGATGTTAGTCGAGCTTTCCAAATCTCAAGATTCAGCCGCCGGAGATGGGACTACAACCGTCGTCGTAATCGCCGGTGCGCTTCTCAAGGAGTGTCAATCGCTTCTCTCAAACGGGATCCACCCTACTGTCATCTCAGACTCGCTTCACAAGGCTTGTGTTAAGGCGATTATATCTTGACGGCCATGGCTGTTCCGGTGGAGCTCACTGATCGAGATTCACTTGTTAAAGCTGCGAGCACGTCGCTTAACAGTAAAAATATTCAACGAACAACACAGAGAAAAATAAGTTAGTGAAGGTAAAAAAAAACTTAGTTAAAAAAGGGAACAATTCTACTTAGCCGCAAAAAGGAAAATAGAATAGTTTCTAAATTCTAAAGTAGTTGTCCTATGTATAAATAGTCATTTAAAACATGAGAGAACGATAAGGCGTCTTCTGGGACATCGCGGTTTTACCAATCCCAAAAAATCTCTCGAATTATCACAAAATTTAATCAACTCTTGTGGTAAACGGTTAAAATGGAGAAGTGTCAACCTGACTTTTAGGCCAAAAATATATTATTCTATAATTGTTTGATTAATAGCAAAAAATTTACTAACTAAGAGAAACACATATATGCCCATATATTTACATATTTTGGTAGTTTTAGTTTCAAATATTTTTTCAAAATATTTTTATAATTGCTTTACTAATAGCAAAATCTTTAATAATATAAAACAAGTAAGAGAAAATGAGGCATGATATAACAAAAATTTAAATAACAAATGATACTAAAAATATAATTAAAAGAATATTTATGTTAAAAAAATAAAAAATAAAAAAAATTGAGTAGTTTTGCATCACTAATGTCAATATATAGTTACTTAAATGATTAGTAAGCCGGAAATATATATTAATAACATTCGATAAAAACGATATATAAATAATGTAATCACTCTTCTTATGTCCACTGATATAAGAGATGTGAAATTAGAAATTTCAATTATTTTTAAGTCGTGTTGAAAAGTTAGTGAAAAAATGAAAAATCAACGAGTTATTACGTCATACGAATAAAGAAATAAAACGGATTTTAATTCCTTTTTTTTTTTTTTGGACTTGTAACTTGGAACCCTTGTTTCGTTTTCTTTCCTCGATCTTCTTCTTCTTCTTCCCCAAAATCTCTTCTTATTTGGTGAGCTTTTTAGATCCTCGTTTCTGGTTCTTTTTTGCTCATTGTTTGTTTCCGAGGTTTAAAAATTCCTTAAATTCGTTCAATTCCTCGATTGAAGATACCTGAAAATCGCGATTGTTCTAGGTCCGCCGCTATTTGGATCTGCAAATTCCCTTCGAATTTGATATATTTTTGATTCAAATTCGTCGGAGGAGCAAAGATGAGCGCGAAAAAGCTTGAAGGTTCGTCGGCTCCGGCGAATCGACGGGATCCCTACGAGGTTCTTTGTGTATCTAAGGACGCTAATGATCAAGAAATCAAATCCGCTTACAGAAAATTAGCTCTCAAGTAAGCCAAAATTTCTTAGGGTTTCTGGTTTGTTATATATGAAATCTGGAATTGGTCCTATTTGAATTGTATACTGTGTCTATGAATTCCATTGATATGTGAAGAATCTTCTATGTCATGCTTTTGACTTTGTTGAAGATCCTTCTGTGTATATCTATTGTATCCTAATGACTTTACATTATTGGATCCAATACAATTGGTAGGTATCATCCGGATAAGAATGCGAACAATCCTGATGCTTCTGAACTTTTCAAGGAAGTTGCATTTTCTTATAGCATTTTGTCTGACCCTGAAAAGAGAAGGCACTATGACAATGCAGGTTTTATGTGTTGTGTTAGAATCAAAAGAGTTTTCTATAGAGAGTGAATGTTGTATGTGTGTTTTTTTTGTTACAGCCTGGGATTGTTCAGCTTGGTAATGTACTTATGCATTATTTCTTGAGGAACGGCTTGAATGCTTCAGGGTTTTAATATATGCTTGAATGCAGAACGTCTTCCGAAATCTACCCCAGGGTAGGATAAGGTATCAAATGTTGGTTTACTCTTTTTTTTTTTTCTTGGTGTTCATACCTCTTTTTCTTTTCTGATTGTTTCGATTTTGCATATTGCGGATGGCCAGGGGTAGAGTAGAACCAGGGATTTAGATGGTGAAGAACTCTTGGAGCAGTTGCCAGCTTTACAGCAGCTTCTCTATCGTCTCATCGGTTGCAGGGTACTTTTTCTGATGTTATTAGTTTCTGTTGTTGATAGTTTGTGACATTGTGTTGTGGCTGCACTTGCTAATCAATGAACTGCACTTACTTTTTTCAGCCAGAAGGTGCTGCTAACCACAATCATGTTATTCAATATGCACTTGCTCTGGTACGTAATAAATTCTCCCTGGTCGTAGGATTAACATTTCCACAACTGGACACAGTTGTTGGTGTCTTGCTCTGCAAAAGCGAAGCTCGAAAATTTCTAAACTTCTTTATCATCGTATTATAGGTGTTGAAAGAGAGTTTTAAAGTCTATTGTGCTATCAATGATGGAATCATCAATCTCATTGACAAGGTAGGTCTAGTTTGTCTTTTTGCCATCATAGCTATCATATCTCTCTCTGCTTTCCTTATTCCCTACTTATTTTTTCATATAATTTTTCATCACTTCCCTTGAGATATACAAGCGTGCAGGTCAGCAGGTGATTTTGTTGGACTATTTCAGTTGGTATATATTTTACTTGTCGCTCATTTTGTGTGTAACAAGGGATAATTTGTTTTTCAGGCTCGTAGCCTTTCTGATTTATATCAAGCCTGCAAAGGATTGGAACTTGCAAGGAATTTTCAATTTCCTGTTCTAGGAGAGGTACTAACTGAGGACAACTTTTGATAAATTTAATTGACAACCATTGCTTGTTTCTGTTACTTAATACATTACTTTACATTGTTTACTTCAGCCTCCACAATCTTTTCTGACAACAATGGAGGAGTATATTAAAGAAGCACCGCGGGTTGTCGATGTCCCAGCGGAAACACTGGTATCTATGCATATATTCTCATATTAGTGATCCAATTTTTTTTTTTGGTCTTTTGGCTTTTTTTTCTCTCTGTCTTATGTGATAATAAAGTTGTCTACATTCAGCTTCTAACGTATAGGCTGGATGATGGACTGAATGTCGAAGATACTGAACTGTCACATGAAGAACGTGAAATGTTACCTTCAGATGATGCCGTTGTTGTATCTGAAGAAACAGAACCTTCTCCCCCGCCTCCTCCTTCAGCCAACGCTCAGAACTTCATTGATACCGATGATTTACTGGTGAAAAGTCTATCATGATCACTTTATGATTTTGATTTCAATTTTGTTACTTACTGCGATTCCTATGTCTCAAGTTCTATTTGTTCAATTTTCCCCACAGGGCCTGAACACTGGTGCTCCTGATGCATCAGTGATCGAAGACCAAAATGCACTTGCTTTAGCCATTATTTCAACTGATGGTGAGCTTCTTGCTGGACCATTTACATGTACACTAATATTCTGCCAGTCTTGCGTTTCATGTGATATTAATTCAGTTTTGTTAAGTCACAGCTGGAGCATGAGAGAAAAAAGTTGCAACTCAGTGATACATGAGGCAGTGTGAAGGAGTTGTTCAATGAACACAGAGCGATAGTGTAAGTCTCTACTATCCTTAGAAGTTCCCTAGATCTGATGCCATGTTAAAACGCAATTCAAGATAAGAAGATTGGAGATTTTTGGGTTGAGTAGATAGATTTTTAGTGTTGACGAGAACACAGAGTTTTAGTGTTTTAGTGTTGGGGGATGTACTTAACTTTTGTTTGTTGATTGGTTAAGTTTACATATTTACTAATTGTTTTGGATTAACTTTCGTTTTAGGGAGATTTTGTTTCGAATCTAACACTTGGGATGCCTCCACTTCGATGAGGTATTTCTGTTTTTCCCGCTTTGTTTGTGTTTTTGATTTTTTTTGTTTTTTCTTAGAAACCCAAAAAAAGATAATGGATATTTATATGGCTGGGCAAAAAACACAAACCCAAATCGGAACCCACCCTAAAAATCCGGATCAAGTCGGTTATGTCTACCCATGTGTGTAGTGGTATGGCTAGAACCAAATTACCACTATACATGTCTACCCATGTAAGGTAATACCCGGACCCGAACATGCATTAGAATATCCAAAATATTTGTTCCATTTGTACCCAATACTCAACTGATACTAGGTTATCAACAATTATTCGGAAGCGTACCAAAATACACGTAACGTAATTGAAATCATACAAATGTTCAGGGATTTTGTACCCCGAACCTTCCTGGTATCGGGCACAAAATCCCTGAACAGAAGAAATACCCATTGTTTTTGGGGTATTTATAAGTTCTTGAAAACCGAACTGACCAAACTTGAAAAGATTGTAACCAAACCCAAACCAAATATTTATAATTACCCAATTGGGTAATAATATATTCAAAACCTGATAGAACTTAAACCCCATTGGATTCTAACCCGATCCCAAACCCAAACCCAAACCCAAACCCGAACCCGAACCCAAACCTGAACCTGAACCTGAACCCGAACCCGAACCCATTACCCAAAGCCCATACAATTAGAAAAGAGTCAAATGACTCCGGATTGTGACGGGTCCTAGGACAAGGGCTCGAATCCTATAAAAGAGTTGCGAATTGGTACCCTCGGCTTTGGAAAAACAACAAGACCAAATCGGCTTAGAAAGAATTTATGACAAAAGAGTCAAATGACTCCGGATTGTGACGGGTCCTAGGACAGGGGCTCGAATCCTATAAAAGAGTTGCGAATTGGTACCCTCGGCTTTGGAAACACAACAAGACCAAATCGGCTTAGAAAGAATTTATGACAAAAGAGTCAAATGACTCCGGATTGTGACGGGTCCTAGGACAGGGGCTCGAATCCTATAAAAGAGTTGCGAATTGGTACCCTCGGCTTTGGAAACACAACAAGACCAAATCGGCTTAGAAAGAATTTATGACAAAAGAGTCAAATGACTCCGATTGTGACGGGTCCTAGGACAGGGGCTCGAATCCTATAAAGAGTTGCAAATTGGTACCCTCGGCTTTGGAAAAACAACAAGACCAAATCGGCTTAGAAAGAATTTATGACAAAAGAGTCAAATGACTCCGGATTGTGACGGGTCCTAGGACAGGGGCTCGAATCCTATAAAAGAGTTGCGAATTGGTACCCTCGGCTTTGGAAACACAACAAGACCAAATCGGCTTAGAAAGAATTTATGACAAAAGAGTCAAATGACTCCGGATTGTGACGGGTCCTAGGACAGGGGCTCGAATCCTATAAAGGAGTTGCGAATTGGTACCCTCGGCTTTGGAAAAACAACAAGACCAAATCGGCTTAGAAAGAATTTATGACAAAAGAGTCAAATGACTCCGGATTGTGACGGGTCCTAGGACAGGGGCTCGAATCCTATAAAGAGTTGCGAATTGGTACCCTCGGCTTTGGAAAAACAACAAGACCAAATCGGCTTAGAAAGAATTTATGACAAAAGAGTCAAATGACTCCGGATTGTGACGGGTCCTAGGACAGGGGCTCGAATCCTATAAAAGAGTTGCGAATTGGTACCCTCGGCTTTGGAAAAACAACAAGACCAAATCGGCTTAGAAAGAATTTATGACAAAAGAGTCAAATGACTCCGGATTGTGACGGGTCCTAGGACAGGGGCTCGAATCCTATAAAAGAGTTGCGAATTGGTACCCTCGGCTTTGGAAACACAACAAGACCAAATCGGCTTAGAAAGAATTTATGACAAAAGAGTCAAATGACTCCGGATTGTGACGGGTCCTAGGACAGGGGCTCGAATCCTATAAAGGAGTTGCAAATTGGTACCCTCGGCTTTGGAAAAACAACAAGACCAAATCGGCTTAGAAAGAATTTATGACAAAAGAGTCAAATGACTCCGGATTGTGACGGGTCCTAGGACAGGGGCTCGAATCCTATAAAAGAGTTGCGAATTAGGTACCCTCGGCTTTGGAAACACAACAAGACCAAATCGGCTTAGAAAGAATTTATGACAAAAGAGTCAAATGACTCCGGATTGTGACGGGTCCTAGGACAGGGGCTCGAATCCTATAAAGGAGTTGCGAAATTGGTACCCTCGGCTTTGGAAAAACAACAAGACCAAATCGGCTTAGAAAGAATTTATGACAAAAGAGTCAAATGACTCCGGATTGTGACGGGTCCTAGGACAGGGGCTCGAATCCTATAAAAGAGTTGCGAATTGGTACCCTCGGCTTTGGAAACACAACAAGACCAAATCGGCTTAGAAAGAATTTATGACAAAAGAGTCAAATGACTCCGGATTGTGACGGGTCCTAGGACAGGGGCTCGAATCCTATAAAAGAGTTGCGAATTGGTACCCTCGGCTTTGGAAAAACAACAAGACCAAATCGGCTTAGAAAGAATTTATGACAAAAGAGTCAAATGACTCCGGATTGTGACGGGTCCTAGGACAGGGGCTCGAATCCTATAAAAGAGTTGCGAATTGGTACCCTCGGCTTTGGAAAAACAACAAGACCAAATCGGCTTAGAAAGAATTTATGACAAAAGAGTCAAATGACTCCGGATTGTGACGGGTCCTAGGACAGGGGCTCGAATCCTATAAAAGAGTTGCGAATTGGTACCCTCGGCTTTGGAAACACAACAAGACCAAATCGGCTTAGAAAGAATTTATGACAAAAGAGTCAAATGACTCCGGATTGTGACGGGTCCTAGGACAGGGGCTCGAATCCTATAAAAGAGTTGCGAATTGGTACCCTCGGCTTTGGAAAAACAACAAGACCAAATCGGCTTAGAAAGAATTTATGACAAAAGAGTCAAATGACTCCGGATTGTGACGGGTCCTAGGACAGGGGCTCGAATCCTATAAAAGAGTTGCGAATTGGTACCCTCGGCTTTGGAAAAACAACAAGACCAAATCGGCTTAGAAAGAATTTATGACAAAAGAGTCAAATGACTCCGGATTGTGACGGGTCCTAGGACAGGGGCTCGAATCCTATAAAAGAGTTGCGAATTGGTACCCTCGGCTTTGGAAAAACAACAAGACCAAATCGGCTTAGAAAGAATTTATGACAAAAGAGTCAAATGACTCCGGATTGTGACGGGTCCTAGGACAGGGGCTCGAATCCTATAAAAGAGTTGCGAATTGGTACCCTCGGCTTTGGAAAAACAACAAGACCAAATCGGCTTAGAAAGAATTTATGACAAAAGAGTCAAATGACTCCGGATTGTGACGGGTCCTAGGACAGGGGCTCGAATCCTATAAAAGAGTTGCGAATTGGTACCCTCGGCTTTGGAAAAACAACAAGACCAAATCGGCTTAGAAAGAATTTATGACAAAAGAGTCAAATGACTCCGGATTGTGACGGGTCCTAGGACAGGGGCTCGAATCCTATAAAAGAGTTGCGAATTGGTACCCTCGGCTTTGGAAAAACAACAAGACCAAATCGGCTTAGAAAGAATTTATGACAAAAGAGTCAAATGACTCCGGATTGTGACGGGTCCTAGGACAGGGGCTCGAATCCTATAAAAGAGTTGCGAATTGGTACCCTCGGCTTTGGAAAAACAACAAGACCAAATCGGCTTAGAAAGAATTTATGACAAAAGAGTCAAATGACTCCGGATTGTGACGGGTCCTAGGACAGGGGCTCGAATCCTATAAAAGAGTTGCGAATTGGTACCCTCGGCTTTGGAAAAACAACAAGACCAAATCGGCTTAGAAAGAATTTATGACAAAAGAGTCAAATGACTCCGGATTGTGACGGGTCCTAGGACAGGGGCTCGAATCCTATAAAAGAGTTGCGAATTGGTACCCTCGGCTTTGGAAACACAACAAGACCAAATCGGCTTAGAAAGAATTTATGACAAAAGAGTCAAATGACTCCGGATTGTGACGGGTCCTAGGACAGGGGCTCGAATCCTATAAAAGAGTTGCGAATTGGTACCCTCGGCTTTGGAAACACAACAAGACCAAATCGGCTTAGAAAGAATTTATGACAAAAGAGTCAAATGACTCCGGATTGTGACGGGTCCTAGGACAGGGGCTCGAATCCTATAAAAGAGTTGCGAATTGGTACCCTCGGCTTTGGAAACACAACAAGACCAAATCGGCTTAGAAAGAATTTATGACAAAAGAGTCAAATGACTCCGGATTGTGACGGGTCCTAGGACAGGGGCTCGAATCCTATAAAAGAGTTGCGAATTGGTACCCTCGGCTTTGGAAACACAACAAGACCAAATCGGCTTAGAAAGAATTTATGACAAAAGAGTCAAATGACTCCGGATTGTGACGGGTCCTAGGACAGGGGCTCGAATCCTATAAAAGAGTTGCGAATTGGTACCCTCGGCTTTGGAAAAACAACAAGACCAAATCGGCTTAGAAAGAATTTATGACAAAAGAGTCAAATGACTCCGGATTGTGACGGGTCCTAGGACAGGGGCTCGAATCCTATAAAAGAGTTGCGAATTGGTACCCTCGGCTTTGGAAAAACAACAAGACCAAATCGGCTTAGAAAGAATTTATGACAAAAGAGTCAAATGACTCCGGATTGTGACGGGTCCTAGGACAGGGGCTCGAATCCTATAAAAGAGTTGCGAATTGGTACCCTCGGCTTT